CACCTGGGTACACCACGTCCACCTGGGTACACCACAGTCCACCTGCATACACCACAGTCCACCTGCAACACCACAGTCACCTGGGTACACCACAGTCCACCTGGGTACACCACAATCCACCTGGTTACACCACAGTCCACCTGGGTACCACCACAGTCCACCTGGGTACACCACAGTCCACCTGGGTACACCACGTCCACCTGGGTACACCACAGTCCATGGGTACACCACAGTCCACCTGGGTACACAACAGTCCCCTGGGTACCAACAGTCCCACCTGGGTACACCACAGTCCACCTGGTACAACACAGCCCACCTGGGTACACCACAGTCCACTGGGTACACCACAGTCCACCTGGGTACACCACACAGTCCACCTGGGTACACCACAGTCCACCTGGGTACACCACAGTCCACCTGGGTACACCACAGTCCACCTGGGTACACCACAGTCCACCTGGGTACACAACAGTCCACCTGGGTACACAACAGTCCACCTGGGTACACAACAGTCCACCTGGGTACACCACAGTCCACCTGGGCACACAACAGTTCACCTGGGTACACCACAGTCCACCTGGGTACACAACAGTTCACCTGGGTACACCACATTCCACCTGCGTACACCACAGTCCACCTGGCTACACCACAGTCCACCTGGGTACATCACAGTCCACCTGGGTACACCACAGTCCACCTGGGTACACCACAGTCCACCTGGGTACACCACAGTCCACCTGCATACACCACAGTCCACCTGCATACACCACAGTCCACCTGGGTACACCACAGTCCACCTGGGTACACCACAATCCACCTGGGTACACCACAGTCCACCTGGGTACACCACAGTCCACCTGGGTACACCACAGTCCACCTGGGTACACCACAGTCCACCTGGGTACACCACAGTCCACCTGGGTACACCACAGTCCACCTGGGTACACAACAGTCCACCTGGGTACACAACAGTCCACCTGGGTACACCACAGTCCACCTGGGTACAACACAGCCCACCTGGGTACACCACAGTCCACTGGGTACACCACAGTCCACCTGGGTACACCACAGTCCACCTGGGTACACCACAGTCCACCTGGGTACACCACAGTCCACCTGGGTACACCACAGTCCACCTGGGTACACCACAGTCCACCTGGGTACACAACAGTCCACCTGGGTACACAACAGTCCACCTGGGTACACAACAGTCCACCTGGGTACACCACAGTCCACCTGGGCACACAACAGTTCACCTGGGTACACCACAGTCCACCTGGGTACACAACAGTTCACCTGGGTACACCACATTCCACCTGCGTACACCACAGTCCACCTGGCTACACCACAGTCCACCTGGGTACATCACAGTCCACCTGGGTACACCACAGTCCACCTGGGTACACCACAGTCCACCTGGGTACACCACAGTCCACCTGCATACACCACAGTCCCACCTGCTACACCACAGTCCACCTGGGTACCACAGTCCACCTGGGTACACCACAATCCACCTGGGTACACCACAGTTCACCTGGGTACACCACAGTCCACCTCGGTACACCACAGTCCACCTGGGTACACAACAGTCCACCTGGGTACACCACAGTCCACCTGGGTAAACCACAGTCCACCTGGGTACACCACAGTCCACCTGGGTACACCACAGTCCACCTGGGTACACCACAGTCCACCTGGGTACACAACAGTCCACCTGAGTACACCACCGTCCACCTGGGTACACCACACTCCACCTGGCTACACCACAGTCCACCTGGCTACACCACAGTCCACCTGGGTACACCACAGTCCACCTGAGTACACCACAGTCCACCTGGGTACACCACAGTCCACCTGGGTACACCACAGTCCACCTGGGTACACCACAGCCCACCTGGGTACACCACACTCCATTTGGCTACACCACAGTCCACCTGGGTACACCACAGTCCACCTGGGTAAACCACAGTCCACCTGGGTACACCACAGCTCACCTGGGTATACCACAGTCCACCTGAGTACACCACAGTCCATCTGGGTACACCACAGTCTACCTGGGTACACCGCAGTCCACCTGGCTACACCACAGTCCACCTGGGTACACCGCAGTCCACCTGGGTACTCCACAGTCCACCTGGCTACACCACAGTCCACCTGGCTACACTACACCTGGCCACACCACAGTCCACCTGGCTACACCACAGTCTACCTGGCTACACCACAGTGCACCTGGCTACACCACAGTCCACCTGGTTACACCACAGTCCACCTGGGTACGCCACAGTCCACCTGGGTACACCCCAGTCCACCTGGCTACACCACAGTCCACCTGGCTACACCACAGTCCACCTGGCTACACCACAGTCCACCTGTCTACACCACAGTCCACCTGGCTACACCACAGTCCACCTGGCTACACCACAGTCCACCTGGCTACACATCAACTGGCCTCGTCGCGTTACACCTGTGTTTCTCTAACAAATTATAGAGGAATACAGAGCGTTGGGGGAGAACCAAACAAGCCTATAGAATAGGGAACAGGCCTATAGAATAGGGAACAATCCTACAGAATTGGGAACAGACGTATAGAATTGGGAACAGGCCTATATACTAGGGAACAGGCCTATACACTAGGGAACAGGCTTGTAAAATAGGGAACAGGCCTATATAATAGGGAACAAGCCTATAGACTAAGAAACAGGTCTACAGAATAGGGAACAAGCCTATAAAGCACAGAACATGATTATAGAATAGGGAACAGACCTATATAATAGGGACCTACATGAAGACAAGAGGACACATGCACCTAATGGGACTTGTGTCGTACCTAACACATTGTCAGTAATTTTAGCAACATTATTACAAGCTGAGAGAGTTCGAGAGGTCAGTATAGTGTCTTCGGTGTTAAAGAATTGTAAAGAAGGTCAGACATTAACAGAAAGAGTACAACACAAGGAATTTGGCGACAAGTTGTTATCTGTGATACCAAGCTTAGAATATCAACTGCCTCCTACATACATTATCAAGGCACAATATCAACTGCCTCCTACATACATTATCAAGACACAATATCAACTGCCTCCTACATACATTATCAAGACACAATATCAACTGCCTCCTACATACATTATCAAGACACAATATCAACTGCCTCCTACATACATTATCAAGACACAATATCAACTGCTCCTACATACATTATCAAGACACAATATCAACTGCCTCCTACATACATTATCAAGACACAATATCAACTGCCTCCTACATACATTATCAAGACACAATATCAACTGCCTCCTACATACATTATCAAGGCACAATATCAACTGCCTCCTACGTACATTATCAAGGCACAATATCAACTGCCTCCTACATACATTATCAAGACACAATATCAACTGCCTCCTACATACATTATCAAGACACAATATCAACTGCCTTCTACATACATTATCAAGACACAATATCAACTGCCTCCTACATACATTATCAAGGCACAATATCAACTGCATCCTACATACATTATCAAGGCACAATATCAACTGCCTCCTACGTACATTATCAAGGCACAATATCAACTGCCTCCTACATACATTATCAAGGCACAATATCAACTGCATCCTACATACAATTATACAAGGCACATATCAACTGCCTCCTACGTACATTATCAAGGCACAATATCAACTGCCTCCTACATACATTATCAAGACACAATATCAACTGCCTCCTACATACATTATCAAGACACAATATCAACTGCCTCCTACATACATTATCAAGGCACAATATCAACTGCCTCCTACATACATTATCAAGACACAATATCAACTGCCTCCTACATACATTATCAAGGCACAATATCAACTGCTCCTACGTACATTATCAAGGCACAATATCAACTGCCTCCTACATACAATTATCAAGACACAATATCAACTGCCTCCTACATACATTATCAAGGCACAATATCAACTGCCTCCTACGTACATTATCAAGGCACAATATCAACTGCCTCCTACATACATTATCAAGACACAATATCAACTGTCTCCTACATACATTATCAAGGCACAATATCAACTGCCTCCTACGTACATTATCAAGGCACAATATCAACTGCCTCATACGTACATTATCAAGGCACAATATCAACTGCCTCCTACATACATTATCAAGGCACAATATCAACTGCCTCCTACATACATTATCAAGGCACAATATCAACTGCCTCCTACGTACATTATCAAGGCACAATATCAACTGCCTCCTACATACATTATCAAGGCACAATATCAACTGCCTCCTACATACATTATCAAGGCACAATATCAACTGCCTCCTACATACATTATCAACTGCCTCCTACATACATTATCAAGGCACAATATCAACTGCCTCCTACATACATTATCAACTGCCTCCTACATACATTATCAAGGCACAATATCAACTGCCTCCTACATACATTATCAAGGCACACTATCAACTGCCTCCTACATACATTTATCAACTGCCTCCTACATACATTATCAAGGCACAATATCAACTGCCTCCTACATACATTATCAACTGCCTCCTACATACATTATCAAGGCACAATATCAACTGCCTCCTACATACATTATCAACTGCCTCCTACATACATTCTCCAACACTGGTGAAAAACCAGCCAACGTTGGGTATCTTAATTAACGTCAGTGATGGTGATGTCAGTTTAAGATGTTACTACTAATTTCAATGCTGGTGTTAATGGTTTGTTATGATGTTAATAACGGTACAAATGATGTTAATTTAGTATTATAGCAATGTTACTATTGGCATTTATATATACCAAAGTCAGAGGTGATGTTATATATCTTTAACTCTTACTTAAATGTCATTTTTAATGATACTTATATTGTCATTAATCATTTTAATACTAGTATTAATGGTGATCTTAATTATGGTGCAATGATACCATTGTGGTGTTTGTGGTGCTGACAGAGTATGTATCACAGGAGAACTGGCAGACCAACTCAGTGAACTCACGCTAGGACTGGACAAGAAGATCAAAGGCAGGAAGCTGCCACCGAACTACCTCTGTCATTTGTGCTTTAAGAAAGGTCACCACATCAAGGAGTGTCCCCAGGTATAGTAAACAACGAGTATCCTAGGAATGGTATCCCATTATCTACCTGGAGGGTATTCCTGGGTCAACGCACCCACGGCATGGTTCATGACCAGGCCTCATGGTGGATCAAGGCCTGATCAACCAGGATGTTACTACTGGCCACACGGAATCCAATGTATGAACCACAGCCTGGCTGATCAAGCACTGACTTTAGGTATCTGTCCAGTTCCTTCTTGAAGACAGATAGGGGTGTATTGGTAAGCCCCCTTATGAATGATGGAAGGCTGTTGAACAGTTTTGGGTCTCTGACACTTTTCTGTGTTTTCTCTGTGTACTCACGACACCCATGCTTTTCACTGGGGAGTATGTTGCACAGTGCACCGTCTGCCGAGCTTTTTGCTCTCATAAGGAGTGATTTCTATGCGCAGATTTGGGACTAGTCCCTTTAGGATTTTCCAGGTGTAAGTTATAATGTACCTTTCTCGCCTGCACTCCAAGCACTACAAGTCAGTGAACTTCAAACGTTCCCAGTAATTGAGGTGCCTTACTGAACCTATATGTGCAGCAAAGGTTCTCTGTACTTTCTCCAGATCTGCAGTTTATCCTTCATTGAAGAGGCAGTTAACCAACAGCAGTATTCCAGCTTAGGTAGGACAAGTGTCTTAAAGACGGTCATTATGGCATCCCTTGTCTTGAAGGTTCTCATTATCCATCTTATTATTTTCCTCAGTTGTGATAATGGCACTTGTAGTCCTTAAGATGAGATCCTCTCACTCCTAAGATCTTTACAGTAATTTTTCACTCTAGTGTGTTGTGTACATCCACAATTACTTGGTTTATGTTCTAAATCCTTATTGCAATAACTTTAGCTACATCGTTTGCAGGTCAACCGTCCCTTGTTGATCGTTCTTTCTGTGACATCTAAATAAGTTGTCTCCTGATATCTATGTTTCATTGCCAAAGTGATCTTTTGTGTAGGTCTCTGTGAAAGCTACGAACATTGCATTTGACTCCGTGAGGAGTTCACTGATGATAGGTACTTTGTTACTGGTGGATGGCTCAAGGCCTTGTATACAGCATTTGCAAATACAAATGATATATTGCTGATTTGTTGGGGTGGCATATTTGTCGGCACTAATATTTGTGGTTCTGGAGTGGTGCCTCCAATCCAACAAGGTTTCCAGGTGGTGGAATCTATTTTTTTTTTTTGTAATTTCTTGCCATTTTTTGTGCATCCTATCACTAAAAATCTCTTGCTATTGAACTGTAATGTGACTTCGGAGGCCTGGTCGTGGACCGGGCCGCGGGGGCGTTGATCCCCGGAATATCCTCCAGGTAGACAGACCATGGTTGGTTGGTTTCTCATGGTTTATGGGGTTTGTATCTTCTGGTCTCTTTCGAATAGTATGTAGGGCAGTCTGTGGTGCAACAATGTTTCTCCTAGACTGACGTATAACGCATTTTAGGATCAAGAAGTTTATGGAGAGTAGAATGACACTCATTTAGTCAGAAGATCCTGCATAACTATCACAACTTAGTTGATCAGGCTTATGTGTTAGGTTGAATACCTCCAATAAAAAGCAGGTGAGCGACGAGTACACTAAATTAGGACCCGAAAAGTGTCAGAGTTCCCCAACTTTTCAACGCCCTCCCTTCGTTCATAAGGGAAATTACCAACAAACTTCTGGTTGCCTTCAAAAGAACTTAATAAGGTCCTCAAATCAGTTCCTGACCAGACGGGCTGCAGTTCGTATGTGGGACTGTGTGCAGCCAGCAGTAACAGCCTGGCTGATCAGGCCTTGATCCAATGAGACGTTGATCCAAAACCATCCTTCAGACTAAGTAAGATTCAGTGGGTATCGATCCATCCAAGAGTTTCTGCCCATATTATAGTTCGTTGATTTCTGGAATAACAGTTATTATTACAATTTAGCAAAAATCGCCAAATTATAATAAGCAAGGATTATCAGTTATATTCGTTTTTTTATTTGTAAATAACTAATAATTTGTATCTGGTTTTACAGTTAGCATAAGATCTAAATATGTGGCCAGTGCTAAGAATCACTGGTTGTGTGCTTGGGAGTGGCTGCCATCTGTGTTATGATCCTGTGATAGATTGGAGTAATTTGTTAGACTGAGAGCCAGGGAGGCTTACAAATGGTGTAGCCACTGGCTTCTAGCTAGGGTGCTTCCAGGGTGTCTACGTAGGTAGGTAGGTAGACGTTGTGTGTATCGATGGTTAGGTTCCTCTCAAACAATAAGTGACAGTGTGTTTGGATGGGATCAAACAGGTGTAATGAATGTCATTCTGGACTGTATTGAGTTATGAGACCCTGTAATGGACTGCTTTGTAATTACCTAATTTATAGCTACAGGAGCAGAGGTCCTGCTAGGCAGAGAGAGAGAGAGAGAGAGAGAGAGAGAGAGAGAGAGAGAGAGAGAGAGAGAGAGAGAGAGAGAGAGAGAGACAGACAGACAGACAGACAGAGAGACAGACAGAGAGACAGACAGAGAGACAGAGAGAGAGAGAGAGAGAGATGCATATGACAGACGCAGGAAGAAACCAATAAGAGAGTTTGTAAACAATGAGACACGTGATTGTGATGCAGATTGATGGTGGAGTTGACAGTGATATGCAACAAGGCAGTGATTGATGGCGGAGTTGACAGTGATATGCAACAAGGCAGTGATTGATGGTGGAGTTGACAGTGATATGCAACAAGGCAGTGATTGATGGCGGAGTTGACAGTGATATGCAACAAGGCAGTGATTGATGGCGGAGTTGACAGTGATATGCAACAAGGCAGTGATTGATGGCGGAGTTGACAGTGATATGCAACAAGGCAGTGATTGATGGCGGAGTTGACAGTGATATGCAACAAGGCAGTGATTGATGGCGGAGTTGACAGTGATATGCAACAAGGCAGTGATTGATGGTGGAGTTGACAGTGATATGCAACAAGGCAGTGATTGATGGCGGAGTTGACAGTGATATGCAACAAGGCAGTGATTGATGACGGAGTTGACAGTGATATGCAACAAGGCAGTGACTGATGGCGGAGTTGACAGTGATATGCAACAAGGCAGTGATTGATGGCGGAGTTGACAGTGATATGCAACAAGGCAGTGATTGATGACGGAGTTGACAGTGATATGCAACAAGGCAGTGACTGATGGCGGAGTTGACAGTGATATGCAACAAGGCAGTGATTGATGGCGGAGTTGACAGTGATATGCAACAAGGCAGTGATTGATGGCGGAGTTGACAGTGATATGCAACAAGGCAGTGATTGATGGCGGAGTTGACAGTGATATGCAACAAGGCAGTGACCAATGAACACAATCGGTCTATTATCTGTTAATAATATAATATTCTGTAATGTGCTGCGAGGTATTAATTTTATATCTTAAATAAAGGTTAGAATCGCTAACTTTCCTCTAACTCAACTATTTTTGAAAGTTCTTTAATTCTGATCTCCTCATTTTAATGGTATTTCATATTAATAATTATAATTTTTAGAACATTAGTCTTAATGAGATGTAAAGAAACAGGCAGACGACTTAGAAAATATCCAACGGCAACCATTGGTACACTTGTCTTGGAGGCTTCTGTGGATACAAGGAGTTCCAGCCTGTTACTGATACACTATCTTGGGAGTTTCCTGTGGATACAGGAAGTTCCAGTCTGATATTGGTACACTTGTCTTGGGAGCTTCCTGTGGATACAGGAAGTTCCAGTCTGATATTGGTACACTTGTCTTGGGAGCTTCCTGTGGATACAGGAAGTTCCAGTCTGATATTGGTACACTTGTCTTGGGAGCTTCCTGTGGATACAGGAAGTTCCAGCCTGATATTGGTACACTATCTTGGGAGCTTCCTGTGGATACAGGAAGTTCCAGTCTGATATTGGTACACTTGTCTTGGGAGCTTCCTGTGGATACAGGAAGTTCCAGCCTGATATTGGTACACTATCTTGGGAGTTTCCTGTGGATACAGGAAGTTCCAGCCTGATATTGGTACACTATCTTGGGAGTTTCCTTTGGATACAGGAAGTTCCAGTCTGATATTGGTACACTTGTCTTGGGAGATTCCTGTGGATACAGGAAGTTCCACCCTGATATTCGTACACTATCTTGGGAGCTTCCTGTGGATACAGGAAGTTCCAGTCTGATATTGGTACACTTGTCTTGGGAGCTTCCTGTGGATACAGGAAGTTCCAGCCTGATATTGGTACACTATCTTGGGAGTTTCCTGTGGATACAGGAAGTTCCAGTCTGATATTGGTACACTATCTTGGGAGTTTCCTGTGGATACAGGAAGTTCCAGTCTGATATTGGTACACTTGTCTTGGAGCTTTCCTGTGGATACAGGAAGTTCCAGCCTGATATTGGTACACTTGTCTTGGGAGTTTCCTGTGGATACAGGAAGTTCCAGTCTGATATTGGTACACTTGTCTTGGGAGCTTCTTGTGGATACAGGAAGTTCCAGCCTGATATTGGTACACTATCTTGGAAGCTTCCTGTGGATACAGGAAGTTCCAGCATGATATATTGCCCCCATCTGCAGCGAGCGACAATGGTGCCGTATCCCCAGCCTAAATGTACACACTGTGAAGGTATCTTTCTCTTGCCTCAGGCGCGTCCTAAGGGTGAAGGACTGACACCATACCAGGGCAAGAAGCGATGTTTTGGGGAGTTCCGCTGTACCAAGTGCAAGAGAAAATGGATGAGCGGCAACTCGTGGGCCAACTGTGGACAAGAGTGCATAAAGTGCCGCATTAATGTCTACCCTCACAAGCAGGTCCGTGCTGCCTCCCTCTCTCCAGTGAGTCTTGTGCCCTTCTTCCCTGCACCCCTTCCACCCGGCAGGCAGTCAACAGTTCAGTCATTATCAGAGAGACGTGAGTGGATGACTGCTGAAATAGTAAGCAGGAGGGAATCATTGCTAGAAGACTAAGGGACATTAAGTGGCACGTCAGGTCCCCTGTCTTTTAATAAGTTTATTTTTTCCCTATAATCTGCTTTGTCCATAATTACTATGGCATTTGCTTTGTCTGCCTTCGTAAGGTGAAGTCCAGGATCTTTCCTGACCTTTACTCAGACCTCTACAACACAATTGTTAAGTTATACCATGAATTAAGGAAAGATCCTGGACTTCACCTTACGAAAGCAGACTAAGTAACTACGATAGTAATTATAGACAAGTAGATTATAGGGGAAAATAAACATAATATGAGGAGACAGGGAAACTCAGGCGCCTCTTAATTAAGTGGGAGGACTGTGTAGGTAGTGAGAATGGTAGTCGTGGTTGTTTTTATTGATTAAACAAGACATCAAATAAGTCTTTGTCATGGGGTAACCGGTTCAATGTTTCCGGTACTATGGAAGGAACACGTCAAGACGTCAAGTCCTAGGGTCTCTAAGAGCACATGTGAAAGTTGGGCGGCCCTTGGTCCCATGGTGGGCTGTGACCACTGGTATACCCGTGTAAGAGACCATAGAGAATGACTGGAGTGTAGTGAGAAGGGTAGTAATGCCGTGGTGGATGGTGGTTTTTGTAGTTGTGATGATTCTGAAGTAGTGTACTAGCTGAGTAGTCATAGTGAAGTAGGTCAAAACTAAGAAACAAAATTGACATTATTAAGGAGTAGAGCCTTTAGAGGGATAGGCTGAATTATCACTAAAGGGAAATTTACATTATGGAGACGATATTTTCTGCTGAAGGGTAAAGAAACAGATCTCGATGTTAAAACGAGAAGTTAACATTATTTGACAGAACTAGAGATACCAGGTACCAGGGATTATTATTATTGACAGAACTAGAGATACCGGGTACCAGGGATTATTATCATTGACAGAACTAGAGACACTGGGTACCAGGGATTATTATTATTGACAGAACTAGAGATACCGGGTACCAGGGATTATTATCATTGACAGAACTAGAGACACCGGGTACCAGGGATTATTATTATTGACAGAACTAGAGATACCGGGTACCAGGGATTATTATCATTGACAGAACTAGAGATACCAGGTACCAGGGATTATTATCATTGACAGAACTAGAGACACCGGGTACCAGGGATTATTATTATTGACAGAACTAGAGATACCGGTACCAGGGATTATTATCATTGACAGAACTAGAGATACCAGGTACCAGGGATTATTATCATTGACAGAACTAGAGATACCGGGTACCAGGGGTTATTATCATTGACAGAACTAGAGATACCAGGTACCAGGGATTATTATCATTGACAGAACTAGAGATACCAGGTACCAGGGATTATTATCATTGACAGAACTAGAGATACCAGGTACCAGGGATTATTATCATTGACAGAACTAGAGATACCGGGTACCAGGGATTATTATTATTGACAGAACAAAGATATACCAGGTACCAGGGATTATTATCAGTGACAGAACTAGAGATACCAGGTACCAGGGATTATTATCATTGACAGAACTAGAGATACCAGGTACCAGGGATTATTATCATTGACAGAACTAGAGATACCAGGTACCAGGGATTATTATCATTGACAGAACTAGAGATACCGGGTACCAGGGATTATTATTATTGACAGAACTAGAGATACCAGTACCAGGGATTATTATCATTGACAGAACTAGAGATACCAGGTACCAGGGATTATTATCATTGACAGAACTAGAGATACCAGGTACCAGGGATTATTATCATTGACAGAACTAGAGATACCGGTACCAGGATTATTATTATTGACAGAACTAGAGATACCAGGTACCAGGGATTATTATCATTGACAGAACTAGAGATACCAGGTACCAGGATTATTATCATTGACAGAACTAGAGATACCGGTACCAGGGATTATTATTATTGACAGAACTAGAGATACCAGGTACCAGGGATTATTATCATTGACAGAACTAGAGATACCAGGTACCAGGGATTATTATCATTGACAGAACTAGAGATACCAGGTACCAGGGATTATTATCATTGACAGAACTAGAGATACCAGGTACCAGGGATTATTATCATTGACAGAACTAGAGATACCGGGTACCAGGGATTATTATTATTGACAGAACTAGAGATACCAGGTACCAGGGATTATTATCATTGACAGAACTAGAGATACCAGGTACCAGGGATTTATTATCATTGACAGAACTAGAGATACCAGGTACCAGGGATTATTATCATTGACAAAACTAGAGATACCAGGTACCAGGGATTATTATCATTGACAGAACTAGAGATACCGGGTACCAGGGATTATTATTATTGACAGAACTAGAGATACCAGGTACCAGGGATTATTATCATTGACAGAACTAGAGATACCAGGTACCAGGGATATATTATCATTGACAGAACTAGAGATACCAGGTACCAGGATTATTATCATTGACAAAACTAGAGATACCAGGTACCAGGGATTATTATCATTGACAGAACTAGAGATACCGGGTACCAGGGATTATTATTATTGACAGAACTAGAGATACCAGGTACCAGGGATTATTATCATTGACAGAACTAGAGATACCAGGTACCAGGGATTATTATCATTGACAGAACTAGAGATACCAGGTACCAGGGATTATTATCATTGACAGAACTAGAGATACCAGGTACCAGGGATTATTATCATTGACAGAACTAGAGATACCGGGTACCAGGGATTATTATCATTGACAAAACTAGAGATACCAGGTACCAGGGATTATTATCATCTATTACAGAAGTCTTAAGACATAATAGGGAGGTTCCCGTTATGGTACAGAGTAAAACATTAGATGAAAAAGGAAATAAGAGTTAACGTGCTTGTCGATACTTCCAGTCCAGAGGTAATATTAGCTTATCAACCCCAATAAAAACTCATATTAATTCCTAATATCTACAATGGATTTGCTATAATAACAATAATAATGATAGAGTGAATTTTATTAATAAAATAACGAGGGCTCTGGTGGCCTGGTGGTTAACGCTCTCGCTTCACACTGCGAGGGCCTGGGTTCGATTCCCAGCCAGAGTAGAAACATTGGACGTGTTTCTTTCCACCTGTTGTCTATGTTCCCCATCAGTAAAATGGGTACCTGGGTGTTAGTCGACTGGTGTGGGTCGCATCCTGGGACACTGACCTAAGGAGGCCTGGTCACAGACCGGGCCGCGGGGGCGTTGACCCCCGGAACTCTCTCCAGAATAATATGCAGGGGGGGGGATCTTTCAATTTTCCGATAAAGCCAATGGTAGGTATTAGATTTGTCAGGAAACATGACAAGTGTTTCCTGACGCGGATCTTAGTTATATGATGATCCACGGTTGGAGCTTTTGGTCATCTGACCGAGGCCTTCCACTGGCTTGTCTCTCCACTAAACTTAGGGTCCCATAAAGCCAAGTAATATTCACTAAATTTTGATCTTATCTGATTAATAATTAAATAATACCAGAAGAACCAGTGGCGTAACTGAGACTAGGATGCAGCAGTGGCGTAACTGAGACTAGGATGCAGCAGTGGCGTAACTGAGACTAGGATGCAGCAGTGGCGTAACTGAGACTAGGATGCAGCAGTGGTGTAACTGAGACTAGGATGCAGCAGTGGCGTAACTGAACTAGATGCAGCGTGCTAACTGAGACTAGGATGCAGCATGGAGTGAGACTAGGATGCAGCAGTGGCGTAACTGAGACTAGGATGCAGCAGTGGCGTAACTGAGACTAGGATGCAGCATGTAGTGAACTAGGATGCAGCAGTGGCGTAACTGAGACTAGGATGCAGCAGTGGCGTAACTGAGACTAGGATGCAGCAGTGGCGTAACTGAGACTAGGATGCAGCAGTGGTAGTGAGACTAGGATGCAGCAGTGGCGTAACTGAGACTAGGATGCAGCAGTGGCGTAACTGAGACTAGGATGCAACAGTGGTATTGAGACTAGGATGCAGCAGTGGCGTAACTGAGACTAGGATGCAGCAGTGGTAGTGAGACTAGGATGCAGCAGTGGCGTAACTGAGACTAGGATGCAGCAGTGGTAGTGAGACTAGGATGCAGCAGTGGCGTAACTGAGACTAGGATGCAGCAGTGGCGTAACTGAGACTAGGATGCAGCAGTGGCGTAACTGAGACTAGGATGCAGCAGTGGCGTAACTGAGACTAGGAGCAGCAGTGGTAGTGAGACTAGGATGCAGCAATGGCGTAACTGAGACTAGATCAGCAGTGGTAGTGAGACTAGGATGCAGCAGTGGCGTAACTGAGACTAGGATGCAGCAGTGGTATAACTGAGACTAGGATGCAGCAGTGGCGTAACTGAGACTAGGATGCAGCAGTGGTATAACTGAGACTAGGATGCAGCAGTGGCGTAACTGAGACTAGGATGCAACAGTGGTATTGAGACTAGGATGCAGCAGTGGCGTAACTGAGACTAGGATGCAGCAGTGGTATAACTGAGACTAGGATGCAGCAGTGGTATAACTGAGACTAGGATGCAGCAGTGGTATTGAGACTAGGATGCAGCAGTGGTGTAACTGAGACTAGGATGCAGCAGTGGTATTGAGACTAGGATGCAGCAGTGGTGTAACTGAGACTAGGATGCAGCAGTGGTATTGAGACTAGGATGCAGCAGTGGTATAACTGAGACTAGGATGCAGCAGTGGTATTGAGACTAGGATGCAGCAGTGGTATAACTGAGACTAGGATGCAGCAGTGGTACTGAGACTAGGATGCAGCAGTGGTACTGAGACTAGGATGCAGCAGTGGTATAACTGAGACTAGGATGCAGCAGTGGTACTGAGACTAGGATGCAGCAGTGGTATAACTGAGACTAGGATGCAGCAGTGGTATTGAGACTAGGATGCAGCAGTGGTATTGAGACTAGGATGCAGCAGTGGTATTGAGACTAGGATGCAGCAGTGGTATTGAGACTAGGATGCAGCAGTGGCACGTAAAAGTGAATTTTCTTTTAGCAGTATACTGTCATAATAATCTATAGTAACTATCTGGCTTACAGGAAGCACTGGCAAAGGTAAAGCAATTAATTAAGAATCCAAAATATTTATTTTTATATGACAAATCTAGAGCAAAAACCACATGCAGTAAGATAAGATTTCGTTCGGATTTTTAACCCCGGAGGGTTAGCCACCCAGGATAACCCAAGAAAGTCAGTGCGTCATCGAGGTTACCTGGAGGTTATTCCGGGGATCAACGCCCCCGCGGCCCGGTCCATGACCAGGCCTCCCGATGGATCAGGGCCTGATCAACTAGGCTGTTACTGCTGGCCGCACGCAGTCCAACGTACGAGCCACAGCCCGGCTGATCCGGCACTGACTTTAGGTATCTGTCCAGCTCTCTCTTGAAGGCAGCCAGGGGTTTATTGGCAATTCCCCTAATGCTTGATAGGAGGCTGTTGAACAGTTTTGGGCCCCGGACACTTATGGTGTTTTCCCTTAGTGTACCAATGGCGCACCTACTTTTTATTGGGGGCATTTTGCATCGCCTGCCCAGTCTTTTACTTTCGTAGGGAGTGATTTCTGTGTGCAGATTTGGGACCATTCCTTCCAAGATTTTTTCCCAAGTGTAGATTATGATATATCTCTCCCTCCTGCGTTCCAACGAGTACAAGTCAAGTGCTTCCAAGCGTTCCCAGTAGTTAAGGTGCTTGACAAACTTATACGTGCAGTAAAGGATCTCTGTACACTCTCTAGATCTGCGATATTCACCTGCTTTGAATGGAGATGTTAATGTACAGCAGTATTCCAGCCTAGAGAGAACAAGTGATTTGAAAAGGATCATCATGGGCTTGGCATCTCTCGTTTTGAAAGTTCTCATTATCCATCCTATCATTTTCTTTGCACGTGCGATCGTGGCACTGTTGTGATCCTTGAAAGTGAGATCCTCAGACATTACTACTCCCAGGTCCCTTACATTATTTTTCTGCTCTATTGTATGGCCGGAGTCAGTAGTATATTCTGTTCTAGTTATTATCTCCTCCAGTTTTCCATAACGGAGTAGTTGGAATTTGTCCTCATTGAACATCATATTGTTTACCGTTGCCCACTGGAAAACTTTGTTTCCATTGGGGTCCTTAATCTTGTCCCCCAGGATGCGACCCACACCAGTCGACTAACACCCAGGTACCTACCTATTTGCTGCTAGGTGAACAGGACAACAGGTGTAAGGAAACGTGTCGAAATGTTTCCACCCGCCGGGAATCGAACCCGGACCCTCTGTGTGTGAAGCGGGAGCTTTAGCCATCAGGCCACCGGTATGGCTGTGTTTTAGTGAGCAGTTAACCAGACTAAGGGTCAACAATCTGAATGAGTTTTTATGGCCGAAACTCAAAATACTGTCAGTATCTCCAGAATTTCTGACATAACCCTAACACCATTGGATTTTGGAAAAGCAGTTGACGACGTGCCCATGCACTCTGCCCCTGGTCCAGAGACTCTGAGAACTCCATGGTCATCAAGAATTGGATACCCAACAATTGCACAGTCCAGGGCAACATGGGTTTAGATCAGGTCGCTCCTGCCTCTCACAACTACTGGACCACTATGACATGGTCTTGGATGGTCGCTCCTGCCTCTCACAACTACTGGACCACTGTGACATGGTCTTGGATGGTCGCTCCTGCCTCTCACAACTACTGGACCACTGTGACATGGTCTTGGATGGTCGCTCCTGCCTCTCACAACTACTGGACCACTATGACATGGTCTTGGATGGTCGCTCCTGCCTCTCACAACTACTGGACCACTATGACATGGTCTTGGATGGTCGCTCCTGCCTCTCACAACTACTTTACCACTATGACATAGTCTTGGATGGTCGCTCCTGCCTCTCACAACTACTGGACCACTATGACACGGTCTTGGATGGTCGCTCCTGCCTCTCACAACTACTGGACCACTATGACATGGTCTTGGATGTTCTGGAGGACAAACAGAATGTAGACATAATATACACAGACTGCGAAAGCCTTCAACAAGTGCGATCATGGTGTAACAGCACACAAAATGCGTGCTAAAAAAACTAACTGGAAAAGTGGGGAGATGTCAGGGGCCCAAGATATACAAGATTCAAGAGGGAACTGGACAATTACTTAAAGTCTGTACCTGACCAACCGGGCTGTGGGTTGTACGTTGGATTACGTGCGGCCAGCAGTAGCTGCCTGGTTGATCAGGTCCTGATCCATCATGAGGCCTGGTCACTGACCAGGCCGTGGGGGCGTTGACCCCCAGAACACACTATTAGGTATGGTTTTGTTACAACAAGTGGGAAGGGGCTTGGCCCAACTGCGAAGTGATTTTTGCTTTAATATAAAAAATACTAATATCATACTGTTATATTTACAAATATTCATTTGGCTTTGTACTTCCCAAATAATATAAGTCATCATGTGCCTTATGCCATATTTAACATTACACATGTCACGCTCCAGGTGTACATACACTCAGAGCATCAGTGTACGTACACCTGCAGAAATATATCTCAGTGTATATAACACAGAGTTTACTGTAATCCCAATAACCCAGTATTTGGGATTAAATTAGTTTTGATTGGTGGGGAACTGGTGACATTAAGCTGTAAATGATCTTGTACTGCTAGGTTTCAGTCTCAGCCAGCCAACCATATCCAACTATATATTTTAATTCTCTACAGATATAATTATTTGTGAAGCCTGTTTCATATATGTTAAGACATAATTAACTGGCTATGTCGTAATATGTCGACATTCATTATTTATATTAGTTTCATAATGTAGTTGGTACAGACAGATGTACTGTGCATCCTGCCACCTATATCCTTTGCTTAGATAAGCATTGCTCACATGTCATTTAGTATAATGGCTGTTATTATAGCATATGGTATGACTTCATTATTTACACACTCATTTTCGGGTCCTCACTTCGTATCAGTAGCAAATGAATATACAGCAAGTTGTTCCAGACATCAATCCTTTTTAAATAATGGCGTTCACTTGACTTCGAAAGGATAACTTCTTTTACCCTTGAGAGACAACCTTAATCTGTGCCTCAATTATATTTTTCTAGACTTATTCACTAGTGTTGGAGTGATGTGTTTGTCGTTCACAGCGGCCTCTGGACAAGCCGGATGGACTCGATGTGTCGGATCAGTCTAAGGTACATCCACAGCACCTCTGTGAGAAGTGCAAGAGTCTTGGCTACTACTGTAGGAGGGTCAACTAGCCGCCTGCTCCACTGCAGGAGGTCAATTAGCCGACCGCCCTGCTGCAGGAGGGTCAACTAGCCGCTTGCCGCACTGCAGGAGGGTCAACTAGCCGCTTGCCGCACTGCAGGAGGGTCAACTAGCCGCTTGCCGCACTGCAGGAGGGTCAACTAGCCGCTTGCCGCACTGCAGGAGGGTCAACTAGCCGCTTGCCGCACTGCAGGAGGGTCAACTAGCCGACCGCCCTGCTGCAGGACGGTCAACTAGCAGCCCGCCCCACTGCTGGAGGGTCAATTAGCCGTCCGCCCCGCTGCAGGAGGGACACCCACTAGTCTCTCCTGTTGGAGACGTAACTAATCGCCTTTCAAACTACAGGAAAGACAACTAACCGCCCACTGTAGGAAGGTCAGCTAGCCGCCCGACCCTCCCTGGCTACCACAAGGGGCATCACTTGTCTCCTACCCCAATTCCCTCCCTCCTTGACTCAGTGGTAGGCAACTGCTTTGGGTGGATCGAATTACATGGTCTGGTCAAGAGCCTCTGAGGACATTCTGGAATGAGCAGCCTCGTTCCACCACATAACATTCATCCACAAGTACTTGAGACTGACCGACGAACACAAGGTTTCACCCCACAAGGAAGGTGACAACACAGAACTGGTGATTTGTTGTCGGGGAAGGATGGCTGAGAGGCGTGAGATGGCGTGGTGCTTAACCAGCCGCCAGAGAACCTTACTCGGGCCCTATACTGCCACCCTTTCTCCCCCCCCCTCACTTTGCTTCCCTTCACCCCTCTTTTTTCCTTCATCACCATCTTCCTCTCTCCCTCATCATCTTCCTCTCTCCCTCATCATCTTCCTCTCTCCCTCACCATCTTCCTTCACTTAACCCTAAATCTTTCTCCTGACCCATGTCTTTTTACCCTGCCATTACCACTCGCCCTACTTCTTGCCTCACCCATCTAGCTTCACCCTATGTCCCTCTCCCTCTCCCCCTAACTTCTTTTACCCTGCCTCTCTTGACCTTCCTCTCACCCTCACGCAGCTCCCTCTCCCTGACTGAAAGGGAGTCCTGTGGCGTACATAGGGAGGGAGGAGGAGCATTACATGTATATCTTGCATTAGAAGCTGCCTGGCTTATATCCTTTGTCTTATACACTTTGTATTAATACTTAATGCATATTTTTCAGTGCAATAATGTATGCAGAAGATAGGGCAGTATATATTGCGGTGTTTTTTTAATTTCCCAATATACGAACTGTGTAATTATTATGGCTGTAATGTATTCACTATTTACACATAGAGGACAAGTGGTTTATAATTTTGTTCTCGCACTTAAGCTGAAATTTATGAATATTTCTACGCTTTTTATTTTGCAGATCTAGTTTAGGACTTTCGATGTTAATTTTCTTAATAACTGTACTGTATATACATATATGCATGAGGTATTTGTGGTTAGTGTATTAATTTTCCGAGTGAGAGGCCTCGGTAATGCTGAAGGTTGGTGCTAATATTTATAAGGACGAATGAGGCTAATTACTTGCATGACGTTGAGGCAGGTTCATGTCTTATTGTCGAGTCCAGGGTCATCACCCTCTCAGGCCTGGTCAAACAGGCTGTTGGTGCTTACAACACGCAGTCCAACGTAGGCACAGCTGATCATGAGCCCACTTGAGGATCTTGTCAATTTTAAATTTAAATTTAGTAGGTTTCTCTTCCGAGTTGATGTGATCTTATAATGGTGACCTTGTGAGGCTACACTTCAACTGTCACCTAAACTCAGGTTGTTACTTCTAGCATCGCAGAAAATTATTGATGATTTAAGATTAAATATTTTATACAACTGAACTGGCTGTTAGACTTGTACGTTCAGTACAGTACTGGCTGTTAGACTTGTACGTACAGTACAGTACTGGCTGTTAGACTTGTACGTTCAGTACAGTACTGGCTGTTAGACTTGTACGTACAGTACAGTACTGGCTGTTAGACTTGTACGTTCAGTACAGTACTGGCTGTTAGACTTGTACGTTCAGTACAGTACTGGCTGTTAGACTTGTACGTTCAGTACAGTACTGGCTGTTAGACTTGTACGTTCAGTACAGTACTGGCTGTTAGACTTGTACGTTCAGTACAGTACTGGCTGTTAGACTTGTACGTTCAGTACAGTACTGGCTGTTAGACTTGTACGTACAGTACAACAACTTTGTCCTCAACTCATGGCCAAGCATTCCTCATGATAAATTTATATATATTAAGAATATTTTGGCAGCTGTAATAAAAAATGCCATGAACCAGAACAAGCCTACTAGTATCTAGACGTTTCTTATAAAAAAGATCAGTAATGTGATATAGTGGAACAACCCTTGATGACTGATGCAGGAGCCTATCCCTGACGAAGTCCAAGACATTAAATATTGGAGGATCACCAAGATTCGACATTATACCTTCCATTCCCCCAGGTACTGTATGACCCGTAAGAATTTAGTGCTTCCCTGTGAATGTATATAACTTTGATATGGCGCCATTGGTACACTAAGAGAAAACACCATAAGTGTCCGGGGCCCAAAACTGTTCAACAGCCTCCCATCAAGCATTAGGGGAATTGCCAATAAACCCCTGGCTGCCTTCAAGAGAGAGCTGGACAGATACCTAAAGTCGGTGCCGGATCAGCCGGGCTGTGGCTCGTACGTCGGACTGCGTGCGGCCAGCAGTAACAGCCTAGTTGATCAGGCCCTGATCCATCGGGAGGCCTGGTCGTGGACCGGGCCGCGGGGGCGTTGATCCCCGGAATAACCTCCAGGTAACCTCCAGGTAACCTGGTTAGCCTGCATGGTTATTTTTGGTGAGAAATTTAAGTAATTTTTGTCTAGTTGTTCTTGTGAATTTCAGTCTTACTAACTTACAGACAATAAGCTAACTTAACAATAATCAACCAATAAATCCCTCATCTAATTAGAGCTGTGCAGCAGTAAAATACAAGAGGAGCAGTAGGAATGAAACAAAGATGATGTAATCAGTCCACTAACTTTGGAGAAAAAGTATTTGAGGGGGTCAGTCCCTCAGCCTGGAGAAGAGTTCAACTCCATGGAGCTCAACTCTTCTATTAGTGTTATTATTATTAGATCAAAACAATACACTTCTAAATGCAGTTAGTCACAGACTGAGTGAACATTAAGGGATAAATGTATTGTAGTGTCTAGGTGGATTACGACCTTGATGACCCTTACACAGTTGCCAAAAATTTAAACGTATTTTTCTTTGCTCTCGCCGCCTCAAGATGTTGGCTGCTTGTCTTGTGGTATAATAGATGCCCAGTCGTTTTTTCTCAGTCTTTAAGACATTTTCTGCTTAATATCTAACAAGTAAAACTGAATCCCTAGTATAGGGATTGAAGCACTTGGTGTATATACACAGACATACACTTCATGTATACACACATATATACAAACATTTTGATGTATATACCAAGGAAATTATTTCTCTCGGCCTTCGTTTACAGAGTATTTATATGCACTCATCCTGAGTGAACACATAACCATCAAACTCAGCACACATTTACTCCAAATAACTGATACACCATTGGTTATTTCAACTCAAAAACAAACAAACAGGAGAATGTGTATACGTGACGTGTAGACAAAGTTGTTGGAGTGTCCAGTGAGTGTTGATATCAAGTTTGTCCCTCCATGTAGACTGTCATAACTACTCTCCCCAGTGAGTGAGTGTTGATATCATGTTTGACCCTCCATGTAGACTATCATAACTACTCTCCCCAGTGAGTGAGTGTTGATATCAAGTTTGTCCCTCCATGTAGACTATCATAACTACTCTCCCCAGTGAGTGAGTGTTGATATCAGTTTGTCCTCCAGTGTAGACAATCTATAACTACTCTCCCCAGTGAGGAGTGTTGATATCAAGTTTGCCCTCCATGTAGACTGTCATAACTACTCTCCCCAGTGAGTGAGTGTTGTTATCAAGTTTGTCCCTCCATGTAGACTATCATAACTACTCTCCCCAGTGAGTGAGTGTTGTATCAATGTTTGTCCCTCCATGTAGACTGTCATAACTACTCTCCCCAGTGAGTGAGTGTTGATATCAAGTTTGTCCCTCCATGTAGACTGTCATAACTACTCTCCCCAGTGAGTGAGTGTTGTTATCAAGTTTGTCCCTCCATGTAGACTATCATAACTACTCTCCCCAGTGAGTGAGTGTTGATTATCAAGTTTGTCCCTCCATGTAGACTGTCATAACTACTCTCCTCTCACCCACATCACTCTGGTGTTATTCCCTGACCAACATTTATCGTTCAGGAACTAGTTTTTCCTCCCGCCTGAGCTAGAGAGAGGCGGCTGTGTCTCAGCTGTGGTGCCAGCAGTACCAGCTAAAATTAACTTTGCTTCTCCGCGGCGGCCAAATTCCCTCCGCCTATGTCCTGGCAGCCACACCTTGAGGGGCTGACAATATAACCATACAGATATATCTCAGATATAACATATATACATGGCGTAACTGGAAGTAAATGGGCAGGGGCTATGTCGCATCTTGGGATGAAGGGCTAGTGCCAGGGGGAGCTGTGACTCGACCCCTGCAACCACATGTAGGTGAGTACACATGCACAGGCGGGGCCAGGAGTAGTAACAACAGGTTAGGTTAGGTAAGGTTCGTCAGGAAACAGGACAAATGTTTCCTGACGCGGGTCTTAGTCAGATGATGACCCGCCTTTGGAGCTTTTGGTCATCTGACCGAGGCCTTCCGCTGGCTTACCGGTCCACCCCTTTAAAAATTATGGTCATTTATAACCATTGTTGATAATTATTAGTAGTAACAACAGATGGGGAGTAATTGTACTCAGAATTTTAATCAATAATTTAGATTGTCATAGACACTGATGTGACAAGTCTTGTATCCAGCAGCTGAGTGGCTATGAAAGTATGTGATGGGTAGTGAATGTGCCCCTGGGGTGGGTGTTCTGGGTACTGACATATAAACACCTGCAACACCTACCCCTGGGGTGGGTGTTCGGGTATTGACATAAACACCTAACACCTACCTGGGTGGTGTTTGGGTACTGACATATAAACACCTGCAACACCTACCCTGGGGTGGGTGTTCTGGGTATTGACATATAAACACCTGCAACACCTACCCCTGGGGTGGGTGTTCTGGGTACTGACATATAAACACCTGCAACACCTACCCCTGGGGTGGGTGTTCTGGGTATTGACATATAAACACCTGCAACACCTACCCCTGGGGTGGGTGTTCTGGGTACTGACATATAAACACCTGCAACACCTACCCCTGGGGTGGGTGTTCTGGGTACTGACATATAAACACCTGCAACACCTACCCCTGGGTGGGTGTTCTGGGTATTGACATATAAACACCTGCAACACCTACCCCTGGGGTGGGTGTTCTGGGTACTGACATATAAACACCTGCAACACCTACCCCTGGGGTGGGTGTTCTGGGTACTGACATATAAACATATAAATCCGTACAATAAAAGTTACAAAACTTTACTCAGTGGTTTTTCTTGGGAAGATGTAAGATCAATTTTGAGGTGATTTAGTGTTACATATTACACATATACTTTGTGTGAAGCGCTAAACCTGTGGGTTACAAGGTGTGTGTAGGCTTGAAACCACTGGATGTTGATCGCTAGTCACGCCATCATTCTAATACAGGGTACCCAAATAAAACACTGGCCAAAATAAAGATGGCCCAGGGTAAATGGGTTGTACTGGCCAGACTAAGACCCCTCTTCCTGGGCAGTATACAGGGGGTTTAATCTCCCCCTCCCACATGACCCCCCCCAGCTCCTACACCCACACATCAATCATCATTGTGTCATGTTACTGTTGATGGTATTTGTGATGTTACGTAATATCTTTGTAGTTTGTGAGTACTGTAAGACTGGGTGTGATGCTTGAATCTCTTCTTGTATTATACTTCTCACTTGGCTGGGATTATCCCCCCCTCCCCATCTAGCTGTCTGCCCCATACGGGTTTAACACTTTCTTTTAACATAATACTAATAATCGGGTTTCCATTAAGTGTTGGAGGTACATTGTAGTTAGTAATTTCCTGCCAAAAGAACAATGGTGATCCAATGGTGTCGAGTCTTCCACTTACATTACTGCTGCTAACTACCACACTATAATCTATATATATTTGATATTACTTAATGTTTTCTGTGTTGTAGCTTCTATGGTGTTTTAAGCTGTAAGGTATAATGTATGGTCATTAAGCTGTAAGGTATAATGTATGGTCATTAAGCTGTAAGGTATAATGTATGGTCATTAAGCTGTAAGGTATAATATAGCTTACTGTATACCAGTTGAAAATGGTGTTCACTTTGTGCCTTATTAATATACTATTTTTAACTATGGCTTGTACTTAATTATATATATATATATATTATATATATATATATATATATATATATATATATATATATATATATATAATAATTTATATATATATATATATATATATATATATTACTAGACTGATCAAGACAGGATGATGTATAGACTTGTTATTGTCAGAATGTTTTTATATATACGACTTAAAGGTAATTATATGGACGCTATATGATGAAAGGCAGCTTATCCTATCTTGATAAGATATTAAGTATAATTTTGATTTTATATTGGTGTATGAACTCATGTTAGTGTAGGAGAGGACGGGAAGTGGTGTTGGGGTAGATGACAGTCTATGACCTAAGTGGTGTTGGGGTAGATGACAGTCTATGATCTAAGTGGTGTTGGGGTAGATGACAGTCTATGATCTAAGTGGTGTTGGGGTAGATGACAGTCTATGACCTAAGTGGTGTTGGGGTAGATGACAGTCTATGACCTAAGTGGTGTTGGGGTAGAGGACAGCCTATGACCTAAGTGGTGTTGGAGTAGATGACAGTCTATGACCTAAGTGGTGTTGGGGTAGAGGACAGCCTATGACCTAAGTGGTGTTGGGGTAGATGACAGTCTATGACCTAAGTGGTGTTGGGGTAGAGGACAGTCTATGACCTAAGTGGTGTTGGGGTAGAGGACAGCCTATGACCTAAGTGGTGTTGGGGTAGAGGACAGTCTATGACCTAAGTGGCGTTGGGGTAGAGGACAGCCTATGACCTAAGTGGTGTTGGGGTAGAGGACAGCCTATGACCTAAGTGGTGTTGGGGTAGAGGACAGCCTATGACCTAAGTGGTGTTGGGGTAGAGGACAGCCTATGACCTAAGTGGTGTTGAGGTAGAGGACAGCCTATGACCTAAGTCAAGGTTCTCTCGGGGAACTGCCTTGGGCATGTGCCTACATCATATTATAATTTGTATTTCGTTGTTAGCGTAACCTGATAATGTAATGTATGATAAGTTTAACTGTGGTGAGAGAATAAATGGCCATAACAGTAAATCTATGTAAACTGCACGCACTTAAAGTGTTATTGACGATATTGATTCTTGCAACATCCTCCATCCTCTGCTTAGCTTCATTTATAAGCACATATTCTTAAGGTTCTCTTTATAAAAAACATAACTGGTGCATGGAGGAAGATTATTAACATTACGTATGTAAAGTTGCCACTCAGAATTCCATTTTATTGTGACTTCACCTCTCACTCTTGATGCAAAAATCATAATGGTAACCTACTACTTATGTCATTGTGGAAGTTACGAATTACGATACTCATCACAGAATATTGATTTATTTTACGGGGAGCGCTATACACGAAGGAGGTCATACAGTGCAATGGGGAATGGGAGTAAGCAGATTAGCTCCAAGGAGAGGGAGAGTTGCTCCAGTTCTTTGGATCAAGAAGCCTTCACCCACATTAAGGCCCCTGAAGCTTGAACAATTATGGGGGCCCCTTCGCAACCCCTTCTTATTCAGTAGACCCAATTTTTTTAAGCAATGTGAACTAAAGTCGCCTCTTGGGTCCACCTGGGATTTGGGGCCCTGGAGCTTAAGCTTCATTAGTTTTATAGTATATCCGTCCCTGTGTTTAACTAGCGGTATACAGGTGAAATGTAGCCTTAAGAGGCACGGAAGTTCCCCCGTCATCTTCATTTTTGCACTATAATTATAGTGGAAAATGAACATGTTATTAGAAGACGGGGGTACTTATGGGTCCCTTAATAACCTTAATAGTCTGTGGCCTCTTATCCTAACAAACCAACTTTTCATTCTGTGAGTAAACATACCACTATACAGTAAGCATACCACTATACAGTAAGCATACCCCTATACAGTAAGTATACCACTATACAGTAAGTATACCACTATACAGTAAGGACGGTAATATATACAATTAATGAATGCAAGTGTTGTAGCTGGCGTTGTTTCCACATTCCCCAAGACGCTGTATAATTCCTATGGGTTTAACACTCCCATAAAATAAATTTTGTTATATGTAAATTGCACTTCCTGGAGGGAGCCTCCAAGTTGAGGTGTGAATGTGGCTCACTAAACTGACTTGTTTTAAACACAAGAAGGGTCAGATGGCTAGCTATAATGTGTGCTCAACTACCCGTAAATGCACTAATACTACCTGGCCTCTAGCTTAGTCAAAGACTCATGCAGACTTGTATAATGTTGTCCTCTTGTTCTAGCTAAACATAACATACAGTACACATAGGCTACTGAGCTTTGGGTCGAATTATCATATCTGCACTTCCCTTCTGCTCTAAACAATGACAAAGTGAAGCATTTAAAAATGCATCACATAGTGAAATTAGGTAAAACAATATCGAAAAATACGTGCAAGGAGTATATTTGAAAATTAGATTTAATTAAGACTAGGTTCTTTGGTTGCGGTGTATGCATTCTGATTTGTATTCTGTTAACATCAAAATTTCATTTACAAAATTATTCCCCTTTGTTACACAGAATTATGAAATTAACTACCATACAAAGTGAAACTTGTGATATGGTAATTGTAGCAGCCTCTTCCAGCCTATGATAAAATAGAGGCCTCAGACAACTGGCCGGCCCAATTCAGTATTGTATCCATAATTATCTATTTACTTATTACTAATTACCTAATTATTGTATGCTTAATAATCTACCCTGTTTAGCTCTTCCGGCTCCATATAGTTATTGTACTGTACACAATAGGCTCAAAACAACCACATGGGATGGAAATTTTAGCTCAAGCTCTTTTTTTTACTCTGTGCATCGTCAGGAACTATGCAATGTTGCAAGGCTAGCAACAGATAGTAGGGGAAAAATTCTCTGAGGCAAAACAGAAGTGTAAAAGCGTCAGGTCCATGTCACAGTCTAGACTCGAGACTGTGACATAGCCTCACGACTGTGACATAGTTCCTGACGATACACAGAGTACAGATCTTGAGCTAAAGATTTCCATCCCCTGTTTCTTGTTCTGCATTGCTGAGATCACTTATTGGCGACTGTATTGCAATACAATAGGTTGTCTGTGTTTATTGTTGCGGTATTTAGTCTTTTCCATTTGATATTAATAAGGATGCGATGAGTGTAGCTGTAGAAACATAGTGATATAGGAAGAACATTCATCATGGGATTTGTGCCAGTAGTAGGCCTGAGGTGTTGCTGTCACAAATGGCCTACTTGTATACTTAAGATAATTATTCTTGTATTGATATCCCTGTGATCTCTGGGTGCAGGTACTCTCAAAGAAGTGGCAATATCACATTACTTGATTATTAGTATATATGAATGACAGCTATGTACTCAGTTGTGACTGCAGGAGTCAAATGTCTGCTCCATTGGTATTAAGGACATGTATATGTGTCAATGTTGGGAGTAGCTCACCCAATTGTGGCTGCATGGGGTCGATTCTGCTCTTGTGGTATGGCTAAAGAGTGCCTCTCAGCCCAAGTGTTTTTTGTGTTTACATAAGATATGTCCTGGTATTACAACCCCGTGACTTGTCTAGTGGACTGCTTCATGGGCCCGTCTCGCAGCCCTTCTCTTTGGAGGGGTCAAGGTGGGAATGCCTAGGCCTATCCTGGAATGAACCTACCAGTCACAGGACAAGGTAAACAGCATTCCAAGTATCTGGTGTGTACTACGTACCTCTTGGCAGGCCAAGGCACGTAGGTGTGGTATTCTTGGATGACACTTTATTTAAGTGGGGTCTCAAAGTCGCACCCTAACCAACTGAGTTCCACTTAAGTGAAACACAAGTGGTGTGACACATGCATATAGCTGGACTTAATACAAAGATTGACTCTGAAATTCTAGCTTAAGTAAAGTGCTTTTCTTGAGTACTACTCATGTTTATATATCGCATGGTCCTGTGTTTGGCTTCTTATTAATTCCATATTTTATTGCTAGAATTGATTTTACTCTTGTTTATTCATGAAGAGAATACTGGCTGACGAGGACCAGGCCTGGGAAATATGCATAATATTTATGTACTGGACTATGCCAGCCATTCTGAATGGCACACTTGTAATCCATTCACCTCACTATTCCATCACTACTCACACTTTCCTCGTTTGGCATTATTTTTCCCTCAACCCTAATGCTTTTTCAACACTCACACTTTACTCACCTCACTCTTCTGACATGTTTCATGTTAACCTGTCATCCCTTGTGTTGTCAGCTCACTACACATGTTAACCAGCCTTGTGTTTTCACGACAAAAATCTTCACTATTAAATTCTTGACACATGTGCACAAACTCGCAATAAAACAATTACAACAAATGCTGTATATTTCGGGTTCACATCAACACCATTTTCATCAGACTCAAAATGATCTTTTTGAAAATGGCCCTTTTTCCTTACACTATAAAAAAAATTCTTTGCATTAAATGCCTTTTTCTACGCACTGTAAACCATGGAGGAGAGATAACTTGAAGGTTATATGCATGAGTTTAAGCATATCAGGCAAAGCAAATTATATCACATGTGCAAGATAACATAGGTTGTGGTCCTGACAAAGATAGTGGTCCTAACATAGGTCGTGGTCCTAACATAGGTCGTGGTCCTAACATAGGTCGTGGTCCTAGTATAGGTCGTGGTCCTAACAAAGGTAGTGGTCCTAACAGATGGGGGTCATAACATAGGTCGTGGTCCTAACAAAGATAGTGGTCCTAACGTAGGTCGTGGTCATAAAGACAGTGGTCCTAACACAGGTTGTGGTCCTGACGAAGGACTAGCATAGGTCGTGGTCCTAAGGTAGTGGCCCTAACATAGGTTGTGGTCCTAAAAGGTAGTGGTTCTAACACAGGTTGTGGTCCTAAGGTAGTGGTTCTAACACAGGTTGTGGTCCTAAGGTAGTGGTTCTAACAGGTTGTGGTCCTAAGGTAGTGGTTCTAACACAGGTTGTGGTCCTGACGAAGGACTAACAGATCGTAGGCTTAACAAAGGACTACAAGAGGTTGAGGTGTGTGTAGTGAGAATGGTTGGTGTGTCCAAGTTAGAGTTACATAAGTCAAAGGAGAATTTGCGTTACCAGAGTTGCAGTATTATAGTGTTGAGCAGCTAGTGAAGGGAAGGTCCTCTCTGGCAGCTAGTGAAGGGAAGGTCCTCTCTGGCAGCTAGTGAAGGGAAGGTCCTCTCTGGCAGCTAGTAAGGAGTCCTCTGCAGCAGTGAAGGGAAGGTCCTCTCTGGCAGCTAGTGAAGGGAAGGTCCTCTCTGGCAGCTAGTGAAGGGAAGGTCCTCTCTGGCAGCTAGTGAAGGGAAGGTCCCTCTGCAGCTAGTGAGGGAGGTCCTCTCTGGCAGCTAGTGAAGGGAAGGTCCTCTCTGGCAGCTAGTGAAGGGAAGGTCCTCTCTGGCAGCTAGTGAAGGGAAGGTCCTCTCTGGCAGCTAGTGAAGGGAAGGTCCTTTTGGCAGCTAGTGAAGGGAAGGTCCTCTCTGGCAGCTAGTGAAGGGAAGGTCCTCTCTGGCAGCTAGTGAAGGGAAGGTCCTCTCTGGCAGCTAGTGAAGGGAAGGTCCTCTCTGGCACTAGTGAAGGGAAGGTCCCTCTGGCACTTAGTGAAGGAGGTCTCTCTGGCATATGAAGGGAAGGTCCTCTCTGGCAGCTAGTGAAGGGAAGGTCCTCTCTGGCACCTGAGGCCACTTACCTTCTCAAGTGCTTCTGCACTTTACCACACTTACAATTTCTAAATGCAACTCGTTTTTCAGTTCTTCAATGCGCCTTAAAATTCACATTTTGCAAGGTTAAGCCTTCAGTTCGTGTGACGATTCACTTAATTATATCATGTAACATTAACAGGAAAAAATAACAATTACAGAAACTGAATATTTCAGCCTGCATCTGAGGCCTAATTTTGTGTACAACCACCATCATATATGTCTGAAATTCCCCTGACAAATTCAAAATAAAGTATTCTCAGCAGTTACAAAAGTACCCACAGCTGTCGATTTTTTTAATTACTTTTTATTTATGTATATGTGTGGAGACACAGTTGACATTAAGTCTATTATTTACCCAGTAACTTACATTTTCCCAAACTAAACTTGTCACTGCAAAACTGTCACTAATTCTGCCACAAATATAGCGAGAGATGAGATGATATGTAAATTTTGGTCAAGTTTTCAGAGAGAAGATATATTCTACCATTGTTTATTTGGTAAAGAGAAATATATATATGAATTATCCAGCGGGGTATAAGAAATATTTGTTGCCTTAATAAGTTAGTTTAAGTTTAATATTGATCCGGGAGTAAGTGCCTTAATAGGGTATTTTTTTTTGACCTTGAGACAAAGTTCTGAGTCAGACAAACAACCCAATAATTTAATTAAATAAATTTTACTACCAATCAAATGTCAATAATGTTCAGAGTTCAATTATAATAATTAGTAAGCTTAATTGCTGACTCTGAATTGTGTTTTAGCAGGTTGTTATATGAAGCATGAGTCAGTATTAACATAGTGTGACACAAGCAGTAATTGTACTTAATAAACTCGCCTTATCTCAGCTTTGTTGTTAAATAAACAGTAGTGAAAAACATCCATATTGTTTATCCTTCTGTCATAGGTCAGTTTAGTACCAAATACTGGAGCTATCATTGATATTTCTTAGTCAGAAGTTTGGAGAACTTTGAATATAGCCTCTGACTGTTGATCAAGGTCTGATCAACCAGGCTGTTACTGCTGGCCGCATACTCCAACTGTTCTGGCACCCATCTTGTGTTTAAGGCTGGTATTAACCTGCCCAGCTGGTGATGCTGGTCGCATCCTGGGGGACAAGATTCCTGCAGTATACCTGAGATAAACCACCTCAGTTACTGGGAAGTTCCTCAACCTGTACTCCCTAGAACGCAGGAGAGAGAGATACATTATAATATGCACTTTGAAAATCCTAGAGGGATTAGTACCAAACTTGCACACGAAAATCACTCCATATGAAAGTAAAATACTCGGCAGGAGACACATTCCCCCAGTGAGAAACAGAGGCGCCACTACCATGATAACAGACAACACAATAAGTGTCCGGGGCCCAAGACCAGGTGCCAGATCAACCAGGCTGTGATGGATATGTGGGGCAGCAGGCCCCCAGCAGCAACAGCCTGGTTGACCAGGTAGGCACCAGACGAGCCTGGTCCATGGCCTAACAAACTCTCGAAACTCTTCAAAGGTATATCAAGGGTAAAGGTAACTGCCTCCCAGCATATATAAGGGGGATTACCAATAGACCCCTGGCTGTCATCAAGACCCCTGGCAGTCTTCAAGACCCCTGGCTGTCATCAAGACCCCTGGCTGTCATCAAGACCCCTGGCTGTCTTCAAGACCCCTGGCAGTCTTCAAGACCTCTGGCAGTTTTCAAGACCCCTGGCTGTCTTCAAGACCTCTGGCTGTCATCAAGACCCCTGGCAGTCTTCAATACCCCTGGCTGTCATCAAAACCCCTGGCAGTCTTCAAGACCCCTGGCAGTCTTCAAGACCCCTAGCAGTCTTCAAGACCCCTGGCAGTCTTCAAGACCCCTGGCTGTCATCAAAACCCCTGGCAGTCTTCAAGACCCCTGGCAGTCTTCAAGACCCCTGGCAGTCTTCAAGACCCCTGGCAGTCTTCAAGACCCCTGCGTCTTCAGACCCTGCTGTCATCAAAACCCCTGGCAGTCTTCAAGACCCCTGGCAGTCTTCAAGACCCCTGGCAGTCTTCAAGACCCCTGGCAGTCTTCAAGAATGTACCAGACAGACACCTAAAGTCAGTACCTGAGCAGCCAGGCTGTGGTTCCTTCGTCGGGTTGCTTGCGGCCAGCAGTAACAGCCTGGTTGATCAAGCCCTGATCCACCATGAGGCCTGGTCATGAACCGGGCCGCGGGGGTGTTGACCCCTGAAACCTTCTCCAGGTAACTTGAATGTCCCCCAGTCCCCAGGCGCTGTATGACCCATGTTGGTTTAGCACTCTCCCCCTTAAAATAATTATAATGAACATTGGCAGTACTGGAGGCTGGGGGGTCTACCTGGGGGTCTACCTGGAGGTCTACCTGGGTCTACCTGGAGGCCTACCTGGGGATCTACCTGGAGGTCTACCTAGGGTCTACCTGGAGGCCTACCTGGGGGTCTACCTGGGGGTCTACCTGAGGTCTACCTGGAGGCCTACCTGGGGATCTACCTGGAGGTCTACCTGGGGCCTACCTGGGGGTCTACCTGGGGTCTACCTGGGGGTCTACCTGGAGGTCTACCTGGGGTCTACCTGGGGGTCTACCTGGAGGTCTACCTGGGGGTCTACCTGGAGGTCTACCCGGGGTCTACCTGGGGTCTACCTGGGGGTCTACCTGGGGTCTACCTGGAGGTCTACCTGGGGTCTACCTGGGGTCTACCTGGGGGTCTACCTGGGGTCTACCTGGAGGTCTACCTGGGGGTCTACCCGGGGTCTACCTGGGGTCTACCTGGGGGTCTACCTGGAGGTCCACCTGGAGGTCTACCTGGAGGTCTACCTGGGGGTCTACCTGGAGGTCTACCTGGGGGTCTACCTGGGGTCTACCTGGAGGTCTACCTGGAGGTCTACCCGGGGTCTACCTGGGGTCTACCTGGGGTCTACCTGGAGGTCTACCTGGAGGTCTACCGAAGCCTTGGGAATGGGAGGTAACCCGGTTTGATCTGAGGAAGTAGAGTGTAGCTACAATTCCGTGGATCAAGAGCCTTTCATTCCTAATGAACATGGCTGACTGGGTCAAGATATCATGGACTACTAAGTAGTCTTTTCTAATGAAGAAGCAAGACTCTTCAGGAATATTATTCATCACTAAACCTTCAAGCAACATTCCTAAATATTTATCCTTAATGCTAGTGAAGGTTATTATTACAATCAAGGGGGAAGCGCTAAACCCGGAGGATTATACAGCGCCTGGGGGGGGGGTATGTGGAAGGCATTCAGGCTTAATTTAGGGAACTGGAGCACAGATCCAATTCCCTAAATCAAGAGCCCCTCACCAACATCAAGGAACCTTCCTTGAGGGGTGCTAGTGAAGGGCTCGTGATCCCAGGAATGTGAGTTACCCCCCCTCCCGTTCCTCGGATCAATCCTGATTACACCTCATTCCCCCAGAGGAATGACCCTCACAAGAATATATATATATATATATATATATATATATATATATATATATATATATATAATTATATATAGTGTTCTCTTCAGTTGCCATGACAACCGGCAGCAACACTAGACTAACAAATAATTTCCACTGCCTGGCGTATGTGCTAAATTAAGAGAGTATATACATTATTGTATATATAATATTTATATTTACTGGCAAGATCAAATACATAATAATACATTGTATAATAGACTCCCAGAGTGTATTATGTGTATATATTTTATGTAGAGAGATGATGTATGAGAGTTTTGGTGACCAGGACTGTGTCATGTCTAAGGTTGTATAGAGAAGCATGTCTTATCTGTCACTGTCTGATGGTTGACATATACATATCACTTGACGCTGCTCTGACGTCCCATGTATGTCATATTTCAGACGCAGCTTGACGCAGTAGTACGCATTCTTGACGCGACGTCTCATATTAAGTATAGTAAACATTCTTATCTTCTGATATTCTGAACTAATATCCTTACGGGAGGTCCTGAATCTTAGGGAGGATCTTGACCGTAGGACAATTGACGCGACTCTTATACAGTAGAAAATTAAAGCTAAATATTCATGGAAACAAAATATTACATGAAAGTGCCTGAATATAATAAGATTACCCAGATGTAATACTTTTACTAAGTTACATAATACATGGAAAAAGAATATATGTCATAATAGTGTAATAAAAATAATTATCTAGTATAATACTTTGAAACTACGATAATACTAGATATTATATATTTTTATCTGAAGTGGTTTTTCATGAATTTTTAATTAAAATACGACCAGTGTGTGTTATGGGAGCTATTTTCCTGATTCTGTTTGCTGTAAATATTCATTAAGAATTTAAAAATAAATTTTGGTTCGGGTTTTTCACATCGAACAATGTTTAATCAAAAAATGTATTTTTAACTTCGTTAATTTTTTTAATTTTATTTTGTTGTGTCGCTCGTATCTAAACTCTCTATAACTGTTCGTGACAACAGCCGTTTTGAGGAATAATCTTAAGTACAGTTGTGCCTCGGGATACGAACAGCTCCAAACACGAACAATTATGTCGGTGCTTTTGTAAGTGTATTTTTGGGGGTCTGAAACAGATTAATCTAATTTACATTATTCCTTATGAGAACAAATTCATTTGGTATCAGCACACGAACAGCCTTCTGGAACGAATGAAGTTCGTATCCCGAGGTACCACTATATGTATTAGTAGGAAATTACCATAGTTAAATGTATATTCATTACCTGGAGTATACCTGGAGAGGGTTCTGGGGGTCCATTGCCAGGTATACTCCAGGTAATGAATGTACATTTAACTATGGTAATTTCCTACTAATAAAGATTATCCCTCAAAAAGGCTGTTGTCATGAACAGTTATTTTTCTCATTGTGATTTATAACAAGTTTGTTTTTTTACAGATGGGTTTTGGTGGAGACCTGGTAGCATTATGGGAGGTGCCTCTCAGTGATGGCATCCATAAAGTGGGTTTTGAACATGGCACTACCACAGGTCGCAGAGTCTTGTGGGTTGATGGTCAGGTAAGGCACGACCAAAGTCAATGTCAAAAGTTTATTTATACAGTAATGAGTGACACTGTTATTATTATTTTTTATTTTATTATCACACTGGCCGATTCCCACCAAGGCAGGGTGGCCCGAAAAAGAAAAACTTTCACCATCATTCACTCCATCACTGTCTTGCCAGAAGGGTGCTTTACACTACAGTTTTTAAACTGCAACATTAACACCCCTCCTGTTATTATTATTACTATAATCAAGGGGGAAGCACTAAACCCATAGGATTATACAGTGCTGGGGGGAAGGTATTCATGCTTAATTCGGGGAACTGGAGCACAAATCCAATTCCCTAAATCAAGAGCCCCTCACCATCAACAAGGAGCCTTCCTTGAGGGGATGGGTGACACTAGATTGCTTCCAGAAAGTCCGTGGTTATTCAGAACATTTCCTGCAATTTTCATCTAACTAAAGACTACAAGGGTAATAAACAATATATATATTTGAGGTCATTAAAAGTATACGAGTGAGTAATTGATGAATATATATTTATTTTAGTGTGAGCATTATTACATTCAAATACAGTAAATTATTGATTTTCCAAAGATTTTAATATACTATTTACTAGTACAGTGGACCCCCGCATAACGATCACCTCCGAATGCGACCAATTATGTAAGTGTATTTATGTAAGTGCGTTTGCACGTGTATGTTTGGGGGTCTGAAATGGACTAATCTACTTCACAATATTCCTTATGGGAACAAATTCGGTCAGTACTGGCACCTGAACATACTTCTGGAGTGAAAAAATATCGTTAACCGGGGGTCCACTGTATTTCTTTTAATCGTGGGATCTATTCTGATTATGCATTGAGCTTTATTCATTTTGTTACTTTTTGTATATTTCTTTACTGTAGACAGAGCTACATAGGTGTGGATGCTGCACTACTGCTACAGCTAATAGTTTGACTTAACATATGGTATATTATTAAACAAACTGAAATACTGCCCAATCCGTGCACATACTGTTTGAAAGGTGGGATCTACATAAGGTCTGTTTCCAGTTTCACTCATCTTCATTACATGTCACTTTGGAATATTAAATTCCATCACCCATATATCTTTCCATCTCTTCATTTTACCTAAACTTTTTTTTTTTTTTGGCAGGGATTCATTCATTTGATATTTTACTGTGGAAAAGGTTGCTTAACCATGGAAACATTTATGGAAATAAGTCACTTTATCTGACTTTTGGGTTATCCTGGTGGGTAATTTACACATATGTTGTTAAGTATGATTTTTGTACTTATGTGTACCTGTACCTAAATAAACTTAAAACAATTATGATCCTGTGGTTCTTCACTAGTGACTAAACCATGAATTTAATTTTCTTTTATCGCTGCCTTCATTTTGCCCACTAACAGAAAATTAGAAATCAGTTTTCCCAAGTTATTCCTAATTTGATGTTTCGAGGGACATCTCAAATCTATGTGTCTTTGGAAAGACAGTGATAGTGTGAATGACGATGAAAGGACCCCAATGGAAATAAGTCACTCTGTCTGACTTTTTTGGGTTATCCCAGGTTCTCTACACATATGCTGCTATGTATGATAATCTATGTAACTGTATTTGTGTATACCTGAATAAACTTACTTTGGGAGGGTCACCCTACCTCAGTGGGAGATGGCCAATGTATTAAAAAAATATTACATTTAATTTTATATATTATAATAATGTAATCTCTATATCTTAATTTTTTACAATTTTCCAAAGTTTAGTACAGTAGTCTATTAGGAATTGTGGTAATATTATTTAAAATGAATATAAAGTAACCCACTCCCAATGGAAATAAGTCACTCTTGACTTTTTTGGGTTATCCCAGGTTCTGTACACATATGCTGCTATGTATGATAATTCTATGCAAGTGTATTTGTGTATACCAGAATAAACTTACTAATAATATTACAGTGTACACACTGTAATATACAGTTTTTTTCAGGGAAAGAATTCAATTAGTAAGCAATTAAAACTGTGTTCATATCACTTTAACTCAGACACCTGCAGCTGCTTGACCACTTAAGTGAGGTTAAGTGAAGTCACTGCAGGCTAGCACATAATCCTGGGCTTAATATGCAGATTCATCTTCTCAGTTTTTGTTCTGAAATCATTTGTGGGTCACATAAATCTTTGTTTATTCTGGCCCATATAGTCTCATGCTGTTGGAGTGTATACATAAGTACATTTATGAACAGATTTGGAGAAACCGGCTAGCTGGACTTGAGTCCCAGAGGTGGGAGGTGCAGTGCCTGCATTCTGAAGGAGGGGTGGTGAGAGGTGCAGTGCCTGCATTCTGAAGGAGGGGTGGAGGTGAGAGGTGCAGTTGCCTGCATCTGAAGGGAGAGGGTGGGAGGGTGAGGAGGTGCAGTGCCTGCATTCTGAAGGAGGGGTGGAGGTGAGAGGTGCAGTGCCTGCATTCTGAAGGAGGGGTGGAGGTGAGAGGTGCAGTGTTTGTACCCTGAAGGAGGGGTGGAGGTGAGAGGTGCAGTGCTTGCACCCTGAAGGAGGGGTGGAGGTGAGAGGTGCAGTGCCTGCATTCTGAAGGAGGGGTGGAGGTGAGAGGTGCAGTGCCTGCATTCTGAAGGAGGGGTGGAGGTGAGAGGTGCAGTGTTTGCACCCTGAAGGAGGGGTGGAGGTGAGAGGTGCAGTGCCTGCATTCTGAAGGAGGGGTGGAGGTGAGAGGTGCAGTGCCTGCATTCTGAAGGAGGGGTGGAGGTGAGAGGTGCAGTGTTTGCACCCTGAAGGAGGGGTGGAGGTGAGAGGTGCAGTGTTTGCACCCTGAAGGAGGGGTGGAGGTGAGAGGTGCAGTGCCTGCATTCTGAAGGAGGGGTGGAGGTGGAGGTGCAGTTTTGCACCTGAAGGAGGGGTGGAGGTGGAGGTGCAGTGTTTGCACACCTGAAGGAGGGGTGGAGGTGAGAGGTGCAGTGCCTGCATTCTGAAGGAGGGGTGGAGGTGAGAGGTGCAGTGTTTGCACCCTGAAGGAGGGGTGGAGGTGAGAGGTGCAGTGTTTGCACCCTGAAGGAGGGGTGGAGGTGAGAGGTGCAGTGCTTGCATTCTGAAGGAGGGGTGGAGGTGAGAGGTGCAGTGCCTGCATTCTGAAGGAGGGGTGGAGGTGAGAGGTGCAGTGCCTGCATTCTGAAGGAGGGGTGGAGGTGAGAGGTGCAGTGTTTGCACCCTGAAGGAGGGGTGGAGGTGAGAGGTGCAGTGTTTGCACCCTGAAGGAGGGGTGGAGGTGAGAGGTGCAGTACTTGTACCCTGAAGGATGGGGTGGAGGTGGGAGGTGCAGTGCTTTCACTCTGAAGGAGGGGTGAGGATATCTGCAGTTTTGAACTATATAATTGGTACCCCTCAGATCACCCTACTTTGGAGGGAAATGGCCAGTGTGATAAAAAAAAATCTTAGTTTATATTCCACCGTGCTCATGATCACCAGTCAGCATAATAGTGAAAATTAGTCATTAGTTAAAAATAAATAAAATATTTGTATCTGAGGGTAGATTTTAGCCCTAAAGGTTCTTTCCCTCTCCGAGTAACTGCCGGTATTTCCCAGCTGTGTAATGAAATTTAAGATGTCGAGTTTTGTTCAAAATTTTGTGGGATATAAACGGGAGACACTGTATTTGACTGCAAATATTTACCAGTATTACAAATCTGAACACCTTACTTGATGTGATCCAGGCTTGTTTCCCCACCTTTCCAGACATCCTGATTATGACTGTCTCCTAGCGCCCTGATCTTGGCTGTCTCCTAGCGTCCTGATCCTGGCTGTCTCCTAGCCTCCTGATCCTGGCTGTCTCCTAGCCACCTGATCTTGGCTGTCTCCTAGTCTCCTGATCCTGGCTGTTTCCTCGCCTCCTGATCCTGGCTGTCTCCTAGCCTCCTGATCGTGGCTGTCTCCTAGCCTCCTGATCGTGGCTTGTTTCCTAGCCTCCTGATCGTGGCTGTCTACTAGCCTCCTGATCGTGGCTGTCTCCTAAGCTCCTGATCCTGGCTGTCTCATAGTCTCCTGATCCTGGCTGTCTCCTAAGCTCCTGATCCTGGCTGTCTCCTAGCCTCCTGATTGTGGCTGTCTCCTAGCCTCCTGATCGTGGCTGTCTCCTAAGCTCCTGATCCTGGCTGTCTCCTAGCCTCCTGATCCTGGCTCTCCTAGCCTCCTGATCCTGGCTGTTTCCTAGCCTCCTGATCCTGGCTGTCTCCTAACCTCCTGATCATGACTTTTTTTTTTTCTCACTCATACCTTAAACTAATATTTTGTCTCCAAATTATGGGTTGTGAGATTTCCAGCCATGGTACTGTGATTATTTTTCTACTGCTGTACATATACATACTTTTTATTTGGGATATTTTTACACAAGAGTACATTATTATTATAATCAAGGGGGAAGCGCTAAACCCGGAGGATTATACAGCGCCTGGGGGGGGGATGTGGAAGGCATTCAGGCTTAATTCGGAGAATTGGAGCACAGATCCAATTTCCTAAATCAAGAGCCCCTTGCCAACATCAAGGAACCTTCCTTTAGGGGACACAAGAGTACAGCCTCTCCTCACTTAGCGATGTGTACTCGCTTACTGACAACTCGCACTTACGACAGGCTCTCTGACCAGTATGCATACCTAAATAATGTATATTAAAAGCTGATTTCCTCTATTCTGTTTATTACATATACAGTACACTACTGTATAAACATTTAAAAATATACCAGAAATGTTATAAATGGTGCAAAGGTGACATTAAAACAATATCAAAGATGGTTGACACAAACCCACGAATTGTGCTCTTTGCTTAGCGGTGAATTCGTTTACCGACGTGGACTTAAGAACGAAACTGTCATTAAGTGAGGAGAGGCTGTATAGTACTTAGATGATTTGAATAGGAAACATTACTATAAATTGGTATACTACTGATTATAAAAGCAGTGATGGATAGCTTTTATTTTCCAGGAGAGGATACGTCATGATTGGATGTTTAAATTAGTTGGATCTGAAGTGTTTGAAATAGGCGATACAAAATGTGTCATCAAAATCGAACCTATTGGCGGTTTTTCCTATGAATACTCCCTTGAGGTATGTTTATTATCTACAGATTTTCTCTTTGTAAGTGAGCTGGTAGCTGAGTGTATAAGATTATCTAAGGATTTCCATAGAGCTGACAATAATAATACTATTACCAGTAATAATAATTTTATTTAAAGTCATCATACTTTATATAGATTTATCTTTGAGGCTTTTGATATTATGAGAATGACCTAGGGGCTACAAAGAGTTTAAGCCAGCCCTGCCAATTGTGTAATTACGATTGTGTGAGTAATTTTTTTTATTTAACATGCAGGCAGGGTGACCCAGAAGAAACACTCACCATCATTCACTCCATCACTGTCTTGTCAGAAGTGTACCAATTCTACAGTTCAGATGCCTCTCCAAACTGCAGATATCCCCACCCCTCCTTCAGAGTGCAGGCATTGTACTTCCCACCTCCAGGACTCCAGTCTAGTTAACTAGTTTCCCCAGAATCCTTTCACATAAAGTTACCTTTCTCACATTCCAACAGCACGTCAAGTCCCAAAAGCCATTTGCTTCCGTTCACTCCTATCTAACACACTCACACACGCCTGTTGGATGTTCAAGCTCCTTGCACATAAAACCTCTTAGGGCAGCTCCTACCCCGCCATCCCTCCATTACAGTTTTATATACCCTCCAAGTGTCATCCTATTTTGCTCCATCCTCTCTGAATGTTCAAACCACCTCAACAAACCCTCCTCAGCCTTCTGGATTATACTTTTTGTAACCCCACACCTCCTAATCTCCAAGCTATGAATTGTCTGTATAATATTTATGCCACACATTTTCCTCAGACACTACATCTCCACTGCCTCCAGCCGCCTCCTCGCTGCAACATTCACAAACCATACTTGACCTCCATATAAGAGTGTTGAGTGTTGATACCACTATTCACTCATACATTCTCCATTTTACCTCCATGGATAGTGTTGTGTCCACAGATGCCTCAATGTACCACCCATCTTTTTCTCCCTCATAAGTTCTATGGTTCACCTCTTCTACCATATAGTATCCATCTGCTGACAAATTCACTCCCAGATATCTGAATACAGTCACTTCCTCCATACCCCCTCCTTCCAATCTGATTTCCAATCTTTCATTACCTAAATTGTTTGTTACCCTCATCACCTTGCTCTTTCCTATGTTCACTTTTAATTTCCTTCTTTTACATACCCTCCCAAATTCATCCACCAACCTTTGCTGTTTCTCTTCAGAATCTCTTAAAAGCACAATGTCATTGGCATAAAGCAACTGTGATAACATTTTCTATTAGATTCTGCATATTTTAATCCCCCACCTCTTCCTGACACCCTAACACAATGTTTTAGCTATGTTGACAGGCAAGGTTACTTTGGATCTTAAAATAATCTGACCTGACTTTATTATATAAAGTGGAGGTGCAAGCTTTATTTATAAGCTATAGTGCCTATTGTTAATTTCCTTCAGTGTGTCCCTACAGGTACATAAAAAACTATCAGTTATGCCACTTAAGAATGTACTAATTAAAGCATAATATTTATTAAAGGCATTTGCCATTCCACCTTATGTATGTGAATAATGTCCCATATATATATATATGACACGTTGAAATTCATAAAAGCATAAGCTATTGTTAAAGTGCATCAATAATACTTTTGATAGTGCATCAATAATACTTTTGATAGTGCATCAATAATACTTTTGCATTAGATTCAAGTTAAACATTATAAACATGAATATAACAACTGATTATGTCATCAGTCATCTGTGATATAACACTTAAAATTCTAGGCATAAATCCACTGTGTAAATTGTACTTTTAACTCTTTTATTTTCAATCTTTACTACAATATAACTGTAAACTGAGAGTAGTGCTATATTAGGCATACAGTAGAGTACAGTATATTTTTTCTATTCTTTTTTAACATTCTGATTTAATGGACACTTGAGCAATCCCTCATTAGCCCATCATATTGAAGGTGTACTTATTCATGCTTACAGGAACATAGGTATAGTGGCTGGTGGACTTGTTACTAGTGAACATATTAAATATAAATGAAACTTTGTGAGGGACTTAATACAATTTTAATTGGGGTTATTACTTGGCAGGTAAATGGTAAAAGCTACAAAAAATTTACGGAGAATCAGAGTAAAATACTAAAGACGTGGTTCTTCCCGCTAGACGGCTCCTACGTGCGTGTGGTGCTTGAGAAAGGCACACTCGATGTTTGGGTCAATGGCAGAAAGTTAGATACTGCAGTAAGTATAATAAATAATTCACTTCTGTCAGTGTCATGTCTGAGGGCAATGTGTGGTGTGAATATAATGCAGAGAATTCGTAGTTTGGAAGTTAGGAGGAGGTGCGGGATTACCAAAACTGTTGTCTAGAGGGCTGAGGAAGGGTTGTTGAGGTGGTTCGGACATGTAGAGAGAATGGAGCGAAACAGAGTGACTTCAAGAGTGTATCAGTCTGTAGTGGAAGGAAGGTGGGGTAGGGGTTGGCCTAGGAAAGGTTGGAGGGAGGGGGTAAAGGAGGTTTTGTGTGCGAGGGGCTTGGACTTCCAGCAGGCATGCGTGAGCGTGTTTGATAGGAGTGAATGGAGACAAATGGTTTTTAATACTTGACGTGCTGTTGGAGTGTGAGCAAAGTAACATTTATGAAGGGTTCAGGGAAACCGGCAGGCCAGACTTGAGTCCTGGAGATGGGAAGTACAGTGCCTGCACTCTGAAGGACGGGTGTTAATGTTGCAGTTTAAAAACTGTAGTGCAAAGCATCCTTCTGGCAAGACAGTGATGGAGTGAATGATGGTGAAAGTTTTTCTTTTTCAGGCCACCCTGCCTTGGTGGGAATCGGCCAGTGTGATAAAAAAAAAAAACTTCTGTCAGTATTCTCTTCAGTGGGAGCGCTGTGGTAAAAGGCTTTTGATTCAAGCAATTTTGACTACCTTCTTATTCCTTGGATCAAACCTGTTTACCTCCACTTTCATTCTCCATGTGTTGTATGACTCATGGGTTTAGCACTTCCTCTCTCGAGTGATAATACGTAGTAATAATCAACGTTTTAATCGCAAGGGACAGAGCATGTGTTATGTAATGAAATAATGAAATTTATGATAATAATTTGGGATAATATTTGTAAGTGTCTGCTCTTTTAATATTATTATTCTTATTATTACAATCATAACTAAGTGCTGAACCCACAAGGGTGATACAGATACTCTTTTGAAAAATTTGCAAATGCTTGCACACTAAGCCATAAATACAATAACAATGATGAAGAAGAAATGCTGAAGTTTATGTTTAAGAGTGACAGTATGATCATCAGGCTCATAAACTCTAGATAAGAGATGAGCTTTTAACTGAGACTCGAAAACATGAACAATTCCCTGATTCATAAGAGACGTGTGAGGCTCGGTCAGGCTAAAAGGATCTGTGGAAATTTAAGGTTGCTGTAAAAGGTACAAGAATACCAGCAAGATATTTGGGTTCATTAAACTCAATAAATCTTAATGAACTGAGTTTAAATTCCATTTTTGCAAGGTTTTTTCTGGTAAGAGTAAACCATATTTTCTGCAATTTTTGAAGCTTACAAATTTTAATGTTTTTAATTTTATCATGGGGGAGCGCTAAACCCATAGGATTATACAGTGCATGTGGGGGAGAATGGAAGGTATTTAGGTTTAATTCAGGGAACTGGAGCACAGATCCAATTTCCTAGATCAATAGCCCTTGCCAGCATCAAGGAATCTCCCTCGAGGGGTTTTGAAGCTACAATACGTACATCTAAATGAAAGATAAATTTCATATTTTGACATTCGTAGGGGTCATAAAGCACTCCTGGGGAATGCTCAGCCTGCATCCGGGGAGGGGGGTCATAGCACCCGGGGGCAATGGTCAGCCTGCAGCCAGGGAGGTCACACAGCACCCAGGGAGAATGGTCAGCCTGTGTCCAGGGAGGGTCATACAGCACCCAAGGGGAATGGTTAACCTGGGGCTGGGGGGGTCATACAGCACCTGGGAGAAATGGTCAGCTTTTGGCTGGGAGGGTCACACAGCACAGGGAGGAATTGCCTGCTTGTGGCCTGGGGGGTCATACTGCACCCGGGGGGAATGGTCAGCCTGAGGCCGGGGGGGGGGTCACATAGCACCCGGGGGGAATGGTTAGCCTGAGGCCGGGATGGGGGTCATACAGCACCCGGGGGAATGGTCAGCCTGCAGTCTGGGGGGGTCATACAGTACCTGGGAAAATGATCAGCCTGCAGCTGGAGGGTCATACAGCACCTGGGGGGAATGGTCAGCCTGCAGGGGTTATACAGCACCCGGGGGAATGGTCAGCCTGTAGCCAGGGAGGATGGGGTCATACAGCACCCAGGGGGAATGGTCAGTCTGCAGCCAGGGGAAGGAGCAGTCATACAGCACCCGGGGAAATGGTCCGCCTGCGGCTGGGGGGGCGGTCATACAGTACCCAGGGGGAGTGGTCAGCCTGTGGTAAAGGCAGGAGTATTCAAGGGAGTCACGTGATGCAAACTGACAAAAGAGGCCCATGTAGGGGTGGCACATACTATATCCTACACAAGAATTGTACCATTGACAGTTTATTCCAAGGACAGGGATCAAAAACCCCTCACTGGCAACAAGGAACCTTAATTTAGGGATTTTGAGCAGGCTACTGTTTTTTGTGTTGTATGGCTAAGCTAGGAACTGTTTTGTTTGATGTGATGTCCATAATTGGTTAATGTTAATTGGGTTAAAAGTCTATTGTAGGGTTATTAAGGCTAGATGTTGCCCATTCATCACTATGTCAAAAAATACATTAATACCTAAAACAAAGGTTACCGAGACATGAGACACTCTGGTGGGGGGAGGTGATTGTGCGTGTCCCTCCACTCTGAAAAAATGTTTAAGAAACCAGCAAGTTGATTTTATTATTATAATAAAAAAGAAGTGCTAAACCTACAAGGGTCATACAGTGCAGCAGGGTAGGGAAGGATACAGGGGTACAAGAAGTTGATAAATAAGACACTTGTACAACATTTCCAGAATAGAGATACCCAAATGTTGCACAAGTGTCTTGTCCCTTCATTATTGGCCATAAATATTTTTAAATGTCTTTTATTTGTCTTTTCATTATAATGTTCTTATTTTTTATAGGGTGAATTTGTGGATGATGGCACCGAGACACACTTTGACCTATGTGGTCATCCATCTTACATCAAGGCAGTGAGTAGTGGGAACCGCAGAGAAGGCATCATTCACTCCCTTGTTGTAGACAACACAGAGATTGCAGAGTCATTGGAGTGATGGAAGTTACATTCAAAATATAGTAATGTTAAAAACACTTGAGCTGGAGACAGGATGATCTTCATGGCTGATTGACTGTTATCATCTGTTGAAAACAGGAGTTACTGTCCTGTACAGAAAGAATAATAAGGCACAATATTGTGACTGGAACAATGCATAAATAACCTGCACACAGATGTTTTGGTCTGACTTGGACCATTGACTTGTCACACACTATATGTGGGTTATTTGTGTTCTGTACTGTACCTTCAATTACAGCACTTGCCATATAGGCTCACTTTCTAGTCTTAGATGAAAATTATCAAAAAAAAACAAAAACACCATATATAGTAATGAATATTAACCAATTAACTGGAGGCTGTGCCTGTGGAGGTAGAATCTTTAAACATTGCCAGAATATATGCTGTACTGTCACATCATATAAAATGACAAAGATGTGCAACAAAAAAAAAATCAATGTTAAAGATAGAATTTGATATCAAGTGAGCAGGTGTTTGTCATTCTTTGAACAGGAAGAGCCTCCAGATGATACATGCCATATTTCTTCATGCATTTAAATTTACATTTTGAAAGGTATTGTTTGTTCAAATTGGTTCCTCGTCTGAATAATATATTCTCTAGAAGATATGCAGCTATTGATACTGTACTGAGCAATATGTGCATTTGTTGATCTATGCCCTAACTGGGTGTGCAGATAAGGCTTTCATAGGTTAAATTGGCCCTTGTGGGTTTAGCATTTAGTTTTCATTATAATAATAATAATAGGCTAGATTATCATTGCTGACAACTGCATGAATTCATAGGTAGAAATGACAGATAATACCCTAACAAATCTGTGTTTACACAAGTTCACCATTACTATTAATTACAAAATAAGCATTAAACCCCTCATGGGTCCTGCAGTGTGATGTGTAAGGGTAGTTGTTAGTGGTGTTGGGGTTAGTACAAGTGGAAAATTAATGTCAGAATTGCTGCAATACGTTAGTTTCTATATAAGACACATGCAGCACCAGCATAACTTTATTGATGAGATATTTGTCAACATAGCAGACCTTTCAAATTTCAGAGGCGATTTTTTTAATACTGAAAACAGTGGATAGGTAATTTTAACCTTTACCTATCAATTTTAAGTCTTGTTACAGAGGATATCTTCTATAACTTTATTATAAACCTCTGACCTAACTTTTCAGCACGACCAACTTCCATTTATAGGTCCTGCCCACTTATCTTTAATTACTTCACCTCTTCTCTAGCTCCAGTATACACACCTACCAAGGTTAAGGGACTGAATACCTTATATCAAAATTATCTCTCCACTTCCATTTCCAGTAGTATAAAAGCTGCCTCTGCATTAGATTGAAAAAGCCTGCTGCCCAGGTGAAATATCTTGACAATTAGATATCCAGGTGTTCCAGATGCATCTTATTTATCAAACATTGGTATTGTATACCATTAATGCAAGGTCAGATTTTGTTAAAAAGTCAAAGATTGAGTCTACAGTATGTTGGTGAGGTTGGCAATTGTGCCATGTCATCACAGAAATCGAAAACCACACGAGTTCACCCATTAAAGAGTATCCATACGTCATGAGATTATCATTTAAATGGCAACAGCAATTTAATTTAGGCTTAGTTTACTCCAGTAATTTTAGTAGTGAAATCAAACGCTACACTGTCATTATAACCTAAGTAGCCATTGGTGGGAGATTCATCTGTAAATATGTACTTGCATTTGTGGTCACAGTGGGTTCCATGCTAACCTCCCTATGATGTATAAATATACCTAATTGGACAAATCTTATTGTAGCCAGCTGGCCCAGTGGCTTACGCACTGGCCTGGAGTTTTACAACTCTCTCACCGAGGGTTCAAACCCCGCCCATTCCGTGGTTTGTTTGCAATCTCATTATTATGATTCTGTGAGTCATTCCTTGTGTTCTAATTATTACACAAATGAACAGGCCGTTTTATGATTTATGGGTCAATTTACGTGTTTCTGTGATGCTAGTGTTGACTACTTGAATTATATAGTTACTGATTAGTGCTGGTGCAACCTGAATAGTAAATATTGTACTGTATTCTTATCAGAAAAGTGTCTGTTCAGTTTTATATACATATTTGGCATATTTCTTGACTTTTATTTCAAGCATTATGACTATTATTCATTTCAACATTTCTCACATCAGAATACAGTACATCCTATGTATGTCTATAAACAATTTTACTATTGACTGTTAAGTTTGTATAGTCAATTTTTTTTTAGTTTGTACACAAGGCTGACAAATTGCAAAGTACAATAATTAATTTGGTAGCTTAACAATAATGTCCATATAAGTGCTTAACTCTAAGGACATAAGACACTATGTGGGAAAGATACAATAATGTTAAAAGTGAGTGAAGGGGTAAGAGACAGTGCAAGAGTAATATTTCAATCAAAATTGGTGCAACAGGTTAGTTTCTGTTAGAGTTGAGGAGGTTAGGTTGGGTAAAGTTTGTCAGGAAACAGGACAAATGTTTCCTGACGTGGGTCTTAAGTCATATGCTGACCCACAGCTGGAGCTTTTGGTCATCTGACAGAGGCCTTCCACTGACTTACCAGTCCACCACTCTAAAACTTACAGTTTTGATTATAACTGAGGAGAGTGCATCAAAGGCAAGACTTTTAGCAAAGAGATGATAACTGAACAGCAGTATAAAGCTCTGTAAAATACACTTGAACTGAATTGTGAAATTAACATAAGATATTGTACATGCATTTTCTATTTTAATTAAACTTATTTCCAAGAGAAAGGCTCGTAAACTTGTCGCTACAATACTTGTAAAAAATGTGCAGGTTAATTGTTTTCAGAACTATTGTTCTAGTGTTTATGTTTTAAACATAGTTTAATGTATTTTATATAAATATGTGTAATATTTTGTTTGCAAGTGCTATGTATTTTGAATAAAAAGTATATGCAACATTTGTTGTTTTTGTAAGACCCATAAAAACCCATTTTTGTACAATGCCACAAGTAAAGCTATGTTGCTGCAGCTGTGATGAGGCTACATACTATATACCATAATGCAAATATTTTCCTCAGCTGCCCAGGGTTCCTACCAGTATCACTGACTCCCTCACTAGTTCTCACCAGTAAGCCAGACAAATGCCTAATAATATAGCTGTGTCACAACACTACACAACTTTGGAATGTAAGTCTCTCTGTAACAATGTTAACTTTTTACCATCCTGGCCATCTGCCACCAAGGTAGGATAACCCAAAATGAGAAACACATTTGCCATAATTCATTTGATGATTATTTGACAGAAGTGTGCAGACATCACAATTCAAGTGACCATCTGAACTCTAACATCCCACCCTTCCTTTTATTATTATTATACTCAAAAAGAAACGCTAAATATCCGTTCTTCAGAAAACAAACATTGCACTTCCCACCTCCAGGACTCTAGCTCATCTAAACAGTTTCCCCAAATTCTTCCCATTATTGTTATATTCACAAGAGGAGGGTAGGGGAGCACTAAACCCATAGTGACTGGGAGACTGGGAGGCAATCTGATTCAGTTCAAGGAAACGAGGATAGATCCGATTACTTGAAACAGGAGCACTTCACCAGCATTAAGGCACCTCCTTTAAGAAAAGGTCCCTTCACATATGTTGCAATATTATCATCATTATGGGGAGTGTTAAACCAATAGGGATTATACAGTGGCTGTGGGGAGGTGGGGCAGAAGGCATTCAGGATTAATTCAGAGAACTGGAACACAGATCAAATTCCCTAGATCAAGAGCCCCTAACTAACATGAAGGAACTTCCCTTGAGGGGCACACATGTTGCATTACTGACACTCCAGCAGCACATCCACTCTTAACCCTTTCAGGGTTCGTCCCGTAGATCTACGTCTTTACGTTCAGGGTCCAAACCGTAGATCTACGTCATGAGCTCAGCTCACTCTGATAAACTGTGAGTGGCACATTTGGGCCTAGATATGAGAGAATACATGTATGTGGTATGTGTGCACCACATAAAACAAATCCTGCAGCACTCTGTGTATAATGAGAGAAAAAAAACTGAGACCATGATTTTCGATTGAAACAGCGACTTTGCAGTGTTTTTTCGTATGTTTTTATAGTTGTATTTGCGATTTCTTGGTCTCATTTGATAGAATGGAAGACATATTACTGAAATAGAGATGATTTTGATTGGTTTTAGCACTGGAAATGGCTTGCAACTGAGCTCAAAGTAGCGGAAATGTTAAATTTTTGCCGATGTTCAGGAGTAAACAAACGACCTCACACATCTAATACACGCCAGCTGGTGGGTCTAATATACATTCACAAATATGGTGATGATATTTATACAATTATTACAATATTGCATAACAGTAAATCTTCTATTTTTTGGTGTGAATAAACATTCATTATGTGAATAAAAAATCAAAATGGAATTTATTTGTAAAGCCTCAAAACGTAACTAATGAACAGAGGAAATGTTAGTTTAGTGCCAGGAATACCTACATTGTTTATTCTGGACCTTATTTTGAAATTGGAATATTTTGAACTTTGTGTTAAATTGGCCAAATTACCAACTTCCGATCACTTTATTTTGTAGTTGAAACAGTTGACTGGGCGATTTATTGTGCTCAATCGATAGAATAGAAGTAATACTAGTAAAATAGATAAGAATTTGGTCAACTGGAATAATGTAATTGGCCTAAAATGGGAGTCAAAGTCGGCAAAATCGCTGATTCGTAAATATCGCTGACACATCAAAATTCGCGAGAGCATAATTTCGTCAATTTTCTATCAAATTTCATACTTTTTGTTTTATTACCTTCATAAAAAGATTCTCTACCATTTCATAAGAAAAAATAACAAATTTTTTTTTTGAAAATTCTTGGACACTGGGGCACCACTTCAGATTTTGGCCTTGGATCCTGAAGGGGTTAAATACGCTGTCATGACCCCAAAATTAAGTCACATCAGTGTTGCAATTTAAAAAAATATACAAGATTTTTTTTTTCAACAAATCGGCTGTTTCCCACAGAGGCAGGGTGACCCAAAAAGAAAGAAAAAAAAACTTTCATCATCATTCAGCATTTTCACCATCCCTCATACATAATCAATGTCTTTGCAGAGGTGCTCAAATACGACAATTTAGAAGTCCCTCCAAACTGACAATATCCCAACCCCCCTCCTTTAAAGTGCATGCATTGTACTTCCCATTTCCAGGACTCAGGTCCGGCTAACTGGTTTTCCTGAATCCCTTCACAAAACATTACCCTGCTCACACTCCAACAGCTCATCAAGAATTTTTTTTTTTTTTTTTTTTTTTTTTTTTTTTTTTCAACAAGTCGGCGGTCTCCCACCGAGGCAGGGTGACCCAAAAAAGAAAGAAAATCCCCAAAAAGAAAATACTTTCATCATCATTCAACACTTTCACCACACTCGCACATTATCACTGTTTTTGCAGAAGTGCTCAGAATACAACAGTCTAGAAGCATACACATATAAAGATACACAACATATCCCTCCAAACTGCCAATATCCCAAACCCCTCCTTTAAAGTGCAGGCATTGTACTTCCCATTTCCAGGACTCAAGTCCGACTATATGAAAATAACCGGTTTCCCTGAATCCCTTCACTAAATATTACCCTGCTCACACTCCAACAGATCGTCAGGTCCCAAGTACCATTCGTCTCCATTCACTCCTATCTAACACGCTCACGCACGCTTGCTGGAAATCCAAGCCCCTTACCCACAAAACCTCCTTTACCCCCTCTCTCCAACCCTTTCGAGGACGACCCCTACCCCGCCTTCCTTCCCCTATAGATTTATATGCTTTCCATGTCATTCTACTGTGATCCATTCTCTCTAAATGACCAAACCACCTCAACAACCCCTCTTCTGCCCTCTGACTAATACTTTTATTAACTCCACACCTTCTCCTAATTTCCACACTCCGAATTTTTTGCATAATATTTACACCACACATTGCCCTTAGACAGGGCATCTCCGCTGCCTCCAACCGTCTCCTTGCTGCTGCATTTACCACCCAAGCTTCACACCCATATAAGAGTGTTGGTACTACTATACTTTCATACATTCCCTTCTTTGCCTCCATAGATAACGTTTTTTGACTCCACATATACCTCAACGCACCACTCACCTTTTTTCCTCCATCAATTCTATGATTAACCTCATCCTTCATAAATCCATCCGCCGACACGTCAACTCCCAAGTATCTGAAAACATTCACTTCTTCCATACTCCTCCTCCCCAATTTGATATCCAATTTTTCTTTATCTAAATCATTTGACACCCTCATCACCTTACTCTTTTCTATGTTCACTTTCAACTTTCTACCTTTACACACATTCCCAAACTCATCCACTAACCTTTGCAATTTTTCTTTAGAATCTCCCATAAGCACAGTATCATCAGCAAAAAGTAACTGTGTCAATTCCCATTTTGAATTTGATTCCCCATAATTTAATCCCACCCCTCTCCCAAACACCCTAGCATTTACTTCCTTTACAACCCCATCTATAAATATATTAAACAACCATGGTGACATTACACATCCCTGTCTAAGACCTACTTTTACCGGGAAGTAGTCTCCCTCTCTTCTACACACCCTAACCTGAGCCTCACTATCCTCATAAAAACTCTTTACAGCATTTAATAACTTACCACCTATTCCATATACTTGCAACATCTGCCACATTGCTCCTCTATCCACTCTATCATATGCCTTTTCTAAATCCATAAATGCAATAAAAACCTCCCTATCTTTATCTAAATACTGTTCACATATATGCTTCAATGTAAACACCTGATCTACACATCCCCTACCCACTCTAAAACCTCCTTGCTCATCCGCAATCCTACATTCTGTCTTACCTCTAATTCTTTCAATTATAACCCTACTGTACACTTTTCCTGGTATACTCAGTAAGCTTATTCCTCTGTAATTTTTACAGTCTCTTTTGTCCCCTTTCCCTTTATATAAAGGGACTATACATGCTCTCTGCCAATCCCTAGGTACCTTCCCCTCTTTCATACATTTTATTAAACAAAAGTACCAACCACTCCAACACTATATCCCCCCCTGCTTTTAACATTTCTGTCATGATCCCATCAGTTCCAGCTGCTTTACCCCCTTTCATTTTACGTAATGCCTCACGTACCTCCCCCACACTTACATTCTGCTCTTCTTCACTCCTAAAAGATGGTATACCTCCCTGACCAGTGCATGAAATTACTGCCTCTGTTTCTTCCTTAACATTTAAAAGTTCCTCAAAATATTCTCGCCATCTACCCAATACCTCCATCTCCCCATCTACTAACTCCCTACTCTGTTTTTAACTGACAAATCCATATTTTCCCTAGACTTTCTTAACTTGTTTAACTCGCTCCAAAATTTTTTCTTATTTTCATTAAAATTTCTTGACAGTGCCTCTCCCACTCTATCATCTGCTCTCCTTTTGCACTCTCTCACCACTCTCTTTACCTTTCTTTTACTCTCCATATACTCTGCTCTTCTTATAACACTTCTGCTTTGTAAAAACCTCTCATAAGCTACCTTTTTCTCTTTTATCACACCCTTTACTTCATCATTCCACCAATCACTCCTCTTTCCTCCTGCCCCCACCCTCCTATAACCACAAACTTCTGCCCCACATTCTAATACTGCATTTTTTAAAACTATTCCAACCCTCTTCAACCCCCCCACTACTCATCTTTGCACTAGCCCACCTTTCTGCCAATAGTCGCTTATATCTCACCCGAACTTCCTCCTCCCTTAGTTTATACACTTTCACCTCCCTCTTACTTGTTGTTGCCACCTTCCTCTTTTTCCCATCTACCTCTTACTCTAACTGTAGCTACAACTAAATAATGATCCGATATATCAGTTGCCCCTCTATAAACATGTACATCCTGGAGCCTACCCATCAACCTTTTATCCACCAATACATAATCTAATAAACTACTTTCATTACGTGCTACATCATACCTTGTATATTTATTTATCCTCTTTTTCATAAAATATGTATTACTTATTACCAAATTTCTTTCTACACATAGCTCAATTAAAGGCTCCCCATTTACATTTACCCCTGGCACCCCCAATTTACCTACTACTCCCTCCATAACATTTTTACCCACTTTGGGCATTAAAATCCCCAACCACCATTACTCTCACACTTGATTCAAAACTCCCCACGCATTCACTCAACATTTCCCAAAATCTCCTCTCTCCCTACACTTCCTCTTCTCCAGGTGCATACACGCTTATTATAACCCACTTTTCACATCCAATCTTTATTTTGCTCCCACATATCCTTGAATTAAACTTTTAATAGTCCCTCTTTTCCTGCCATAGCTTATCCTTCAAACATTATTGCTACTCCTTCTTTAGCTCTAACTCTATTTGAAACCCCCGACCTAATCCCATTTATTCCTCTCCAAATGAAACTCTCCCACCCCCCTTCAGCTTTGTTTCACTTAAAGCCAGGACATCCAGCTTTTTCTCATTCATAACATCCACAATCATCTCTTTCTTATCATCTGCACAACATCCACGCACATTCAGCCCTTTCCCCCTTTGACAATTTTCTTTTTCTTATTCTTTTAGTAATCTTTACAGAAAAGGGGTTACTAGCCCATTGTTCCCGGCATTTTAGTTGACTTTACAACAAAGCATGGCTTACGGAGGAAAGATTCTTATTCCCTTCCCCATGGATATAAAAGGAAAATTAATAAGACCAAGAACTATTAAGATAAAATCAAAGAAAACTCAGATGAGTGTGTATAAATAAATGTGTACATGTATGTGTAGTGTGACCTAAGTGTAAGTAGAAGTAGCAAGACATGCCTGTAATCTTGCATATTTATGAGACAGACAAAAGACATCAGCAATCCTACCATCATGTAAAACAATCACAGGCTTCGTTTTACACTCACTTGGTAGGACGGTAGTACCTCCCTGGGTGGTTGCTGTCTACCAACCTACTACCTATAAAGAATTTTATCTTCTAAAATAATAGTCTTTCTAAAGATAATGACATCAAAAATGTAAATTTTTGTAATTAAGCATGTGAAACTGAACTTCTGACTTTGCCCACTTTGAGACCTATTTGAAGCCTATTATGTCTGGAAAATTTCCAAAAGTCATTGCATATTTTATATGTACTCTGATAATTATACTTATGTGTATCTATACCTAAATATACTTACACACCGTGCTGGCATGCAGGTACACATTAAAATCACTAAGAGTGATTTTAATGTGTCCAACTGTCCTAATTCCTGGCTATTTTGCTTGTATGGTTTCTATTCTATTGATGCAGCGCTGTATAGCCCTTGTGGTTTAGCGCTTCTTTTTGATGATAATAATACACGTAATCTATTCTATTGATTTAGCACAAGAAACTGCCTATTCAATTATCAGAACTCCCATATAAATTACACATAAGCCCTCTGAAAAATACTTTTAGTAACTCCACACCTCCTAATTTCAACACTATTAATATCCTGCAACTCACCCACTGGTGAGTTTAGATCAATGTTGATCAGTAATTGTGCGTGTTCACTAAAAAAACCATACCCCGGTCGGGATTGAACCCGTGGTCAGAGAGTCTCAAAACTCCAGACCGTCGCGTTAGCCACTAGACCAGCTAGCCACAATAAGATTCGTCCAACTAGGTATATTTCTACACCATAGGAAGGTTAGCATAGGCACCACTGTGACCACAAATGCAAGTTTTTACAGACGAATCTCCAGCTAGCGTGGCCGTGACGAACTCTAGCTCAAGTCCCCTCACTGCCGTCAACATGACTCACGAAATCGTAATGACACGATTGCAAACAAACCATACCCCGGCCGGGATTGAACCCGAGGTCAGAGAGTCTCAAAACTCCAGACCGTCGCGTTAGCACTAGTCCAGCTAGTTGACGGCAGTGAGGGGACTTGAGCTAGAGTTCGTCACGGCCACGCTAGCTGGAGATTCGTCTGTAAAAAACTTGCATTTGTGGTCACAGTGGTGCCTATGCTAACCTTCCTATGGTGTAGAAATATACCTAGTTGGACGAATCTTATTGTGGCTAGCTGGTCTAGTGGCTAACGCGACGGTCTGGAGTTTTGAGACTCTATGACCGCGGGTTCAATCCCGGCCGGGGTATGGTTTGTTTGCAATCGTGTCATTACGATTTCGTGAGTCGTGTTCACTAAAGTTCTTACTTACAATACTTATCATGGTTCCATCATTAAACTACTATGATACTCCCATTATTTCAAAGTTATAAACAGATTACTAGTTTTTGAACTGTAATTTTGGCACACCTCTGGCAAAACAGGGATGGAGTGAGTGATGATGACAATGTTTCGTCTTTTTCATGTCACCTCCGCCTCAGTGGGGAAATGGCCAACATGTTAAAAAATTAATACAGTATAACAAGTCAAATATCTGCACATCTGCTTTTAATCAAATAAACAATCTACCTTTTGAATTTGCACAAATTAAACATTAACCCTTAAACTGTCCAAACAGATTTACGTCCACATGCGTAGTGCTCCAAAAGTAGATCTACGTTTTTTTTACATATTTTCAAATATGACAAAAAAAAAAAAGTAGATCAAAGTTTTTTTTACACGTTTTCAAATGTAAAAAAAAAAAAAATCTATGTTTTTTACATACTTTCAAATGTCGAAAAAACGTAGATCTACATTTAGACAGTTTAAGGGTTAAATCCCACTGAAATATTGTACAGTAAAAATACACTCTTTTGGTACACATGTCTAACAAACATTAACTACTCCAGGGCTTACAAAATATCTAAAATTTACATAAAAAGTTATTAAATTTTATAACATACTTGAACTAAGCTTGTGGGTGAATCTCCTATCACAACAGTAAGGTGTTAAGGTATCTGAATACTCACATTCACATTGTATTCCAAGACAGTATAAAGACTATGATAAGTCTAAGCTGTCTCCCTTCCTTTTTGTTCACCTTTTTGTGGTTTGGTGATTGTCACCACTGTAGATACCATGAGTTACATTAGCTGGGGACTTCCAATGCCAGTGGAGCCATGGTTGAGACAGTTAAGGATTTATTGTATTTTCTGCCTGAAAAAAGTAACTGATAACTGGGTAGTGTACTCAGCTCACACACTGAGGTCCATGGTTCAATCCCTGGTATGGGTGGAAACATCAAGACTCGCAAAATTGTAATAACATGATTTGTTTGCAATTGTGTTATATTACGATTTCGTGAGTTTATAAAACTTACTTTGCTTATACTCCAACAGCATGTCCATTAAAATCATTTGTCACCATTCACTCTTAACACACTCACAGAAGCTTGCTGGATGCTCAAGCCCCTAAAACTCAAAATTTTTATTAAATAAAATTTATAAATGCTGCATTATGTATTGTACCAGTTAAATAATGAGATAGCAAATTCATTTCCAGACTTAGTAATGCTGCTTTGGTTGGAAATGACTGGATTATTGAAAAAGTATTTTACTCATTTTCTAAAATTTACTCACACAAAATTCTCATACATAAAAACTATAAACTTTACTTGATGTACTAGTAAAATTATAGGATCAAGTCCAAACATCTTGTAAATATCTCTTCTCTATTTGCATTTGAGCCAACAAATTCCTAGCACTATTTTCTGTTTGGTTGCAATTAGCTTGCAGTATTGATACAAATGCTTCAAAAACATCTTTTGCCATGTTATGAGCATCGCCACACACATACACCACAGCTCCCTCATTTACTAAGAGAGAAGCCAGAGCAGCACCATGTTTAAGAATATTATCTTGAACATATTTTACACCATTACAAGCAGTAGTCTCTCTTGAGAAACTAACAATAAAATGATTTAAAATACCTTCATCTTGGAATCTTTCAATCTCTTCTTTATAAAGAAAGTCGTGCTCTTTATGGCGGCAACCAAAAAATAACCACGACTTGCCAATAATGTCATTAGGGTTTGAAGCCATGATTTTTTGACGATGTCTAAGAAATCCCACAAAGGGTGCAACACCTGTGCCAGGACCAATCATGATAATAGGAGTTGCTAAATCTTTTGGGAGGTGAAAATTTTGGTTAGAACGCAAGTAAATGGTGGCACATACGTTACATTTTTCTGAAATTGTTAACCCACTGAACGTTGTGTTCAAATCTGTGCCATTACTTGCTAGTTCATTATACACAGAAAACAACCAACCAGTGCAAATGCCTTTCCTTGCATATGTGACTGTGTTTTCCTTTGGGATTTCTACTACATTAAAAACAAATGAGATATTTTCAGAATCCACAAGAGGAGAAGAAATAATGGAATAAGCTCGGGGTTGAAGCCGAGGTAAATGTTCCAGGAGAGTTGTGACAGGTGGCTTGCATGATCCAAAGATTATTAACAAGTCCAGTAAAGTCAGATTTGCTTCCCGAATGTTTTTGGTGTATTCTGATGCCCCTTCTTTACTGACAAGTTCTTGTAAACGCCTTTTCTCTGATGGACTAGATGTATATTCCAACAAAGCTCTTACTAAAGGTTTCTTGGGGACAGATCTAATATCCACACAATGTTCCAGTATATATCTCAGAGAACTTTTCACAGGAATAAATTTTGGCACTGCTGCTGCCTTCTTTTTGGTGTTCGGTAGGACAGAGAGTTCATAAATTTTATCTGCTCTATCAGATATTCCAAGTAAATTTAAAAGAATTTCTACCTCATTCTCTTTATTTTTCACAATAATTCCAAATGAATCACCTGGCTCATAAGCAAATCTATCTTGATCTTTAGGCAGTCTTAAGGTAACTTCCAGAGCAGTTTTTACAGCATCAGCACTAGTCAGTCGTCTAACTGATACTACATGTGTTTCAACTACCTGTGATGCTGCACTTGGCAGAGGGGAATTAACCTGAATTGTTCTACCTTCAGAATTATCTACACATTCTAATGTTAGATACGGTGGAGATTGAGCAGGTAAAGTTAGTTTTTTGTCTAAAGGAAAGCTACACAATTTTATAGGAAGGCATTGAATTTCTTCTTGAGATAAAATATCTATATTATATTTACCTGCAATGGCTAAAGTTCTTTGTGTGCTGTCATTGTCTTCAGGGGCTATACAAACATGATCAATCACAGATTCATCAATTACTTTAAGTGAACTCTTATTTGTCTCAAGATTATTCTCACTGGCATGGATAAACATCTCATTATTCCCAATTGTAGTTACATCATTTGTAACTTTCTCTTTGCAACTATAATTGCTTAGATCTGTCTTACTGGCATCTTCCATAGTGCTATCCTGGCTTATAAAACTGCCTTTTTTTTGGATTAGAAATTTTTTTAGAGCAGGAAAAAGCCCTTCCATCCAAGGTTCAATTACAACTTCAAGTCCAGTTCCATCATCAGCCCAGCCACAGTCATAGAACCTACAAATAAAAATACACATTACTACATGTATACACAATGTAAACAATTGCAGACAGGTGATCTTAACTATGCAAGACAAGCCATGGGGCATGGAAATCTTTAGCTGAAGTACTTTCACATTTCTCAGTGAGTCATCTGGAGCTATACAATGTTGTAAGGCAGCAACTGAAGGAGTGAGGGGAAGTTTTCTCAGAGTAGCACAGTGTGGGGTTTGTCACCTGCTGCAGGCTGTGGCAGGTGACAAACTCATACACCCAACTGCAACTATAAATACAAAAGCTACAAATAAATAAAAATACAAAATTTAAAAAAACTGCATAAACAAATCAAACATGAGCCTGCCACCAGTCAGGACTACAGTTCTAGTCCTCGGCCATTCTTCCATTTACTCATGAGCCTTCCATTATCAATAAATACATAATATGAATATAAATTTCTTTTGATATAATTTTCATGTAATATGCTGAAAATTAAATTATATTCTTAATCACCACTAGTACAATTCCCAGTACAATACAGGAATAAGAAAAAATAAGATGGTTTTCTTATGGCAGCTCAAATAAATGTTTCTCACACTAACAGTATAACTTTGTTACTATTGTTGTAGGACGTCTTTCATGTTTTTAATATTACTGTACAGTAATGGTAGTCTGGTACTAACCCATATACAGTGGAACCTCAAATATCAAACTTAAACCGTTCCAGGAGCTAGATCTAAATTCGAAAAGTCTGAAAAGTGAAGCAATATTTCCCATAAGAAATAATGGAAATACAATTAATCCGTTCCAGAAACCCAAAAATATTCACAAAAAAAAAAAAAATTTAGAGAGATTAATTATAGTTTTACATACACACAACAAATATAGTGTTCAATTATGTATTAATAAATTTAAATAAACATATAAAATAACATTTTTACTTACCTTTATTGAAGACTGGTGATGGCATCCAGAAGATAGGGAGGAGGAGAGAGGGAGTTGGGGTTAGTGTTTGGAAGGAGAATCCCCCTCCATGAGGACTTCAGGTATCAAAACCTCTCTGGGGTTACTTCCCTTCTCTGTATTTTAATGCCACTAGGACCAGCTTGAGAGCCACTGGACCCCTGTCTCACAAAATAACTTTCTACAGTCCTCTGTTTCTGTCTCACATAATAACTGTCCACAGTCCTCTGTGTCTGTCTCACAAAATAACTGTCCACAGTCCTCTGTGTCTGTCTCACAAAATAACTGTCCACAGTCCTCTGTGTCTGTCTCACAAAATAACTGTCCACAGTCCTCTGTTTCTGTCTCACAAAATAACTGTCCACAGTCATCTGTTTCTGTCTCACAAAAAATAACTGTCCGTCCTTTTCTGTGTCTGCTCACAAAATACTGTCCAGTCCTCTGTGTCTGCTCACAAATAACTGTCCACATCTCATCTTCTGTTCACAAAATAACTTGTTCCACATCTCTGTGTCCTGTCTCACAAAATATGGTCCACATCAGTTTCTGTCTACAAAATAATGCCCACGTCTTTCTGTCCCAAAAATAACTGTACCACAGTCAAAATTTTGAATCCAAAATAACTGTCACTGTCCTCTGTAGTCTGCTCACAAAACAACTGTCCACAGTCCTCTGTTCGTCGTCAAATAGCGTCCACAGTCGTCCGTTCTGCTCAAAAAAATCTGACCACAGTCAAGTTTCGTCTTGCAATATAACTGCCAGCGTTCGTCTTCTAAAGCACAAGTCATCACTCAATTGATTCATTACATCTATTTCAATTCACTTCTTGGTGTTTCTCAACTTTTTGACACAGGGTACTACTGCAAGTTTCTTTGGGCCAGGACTTCACTTCACAGTCCCAAGCACTAAACAACATGAATCAAGTAAATTGAATGAGAGCGTAGGTTAGTGTTATTCTCAAGGCATCGACAAATCCGATGGTCACCGGGCCAAGTGCTTGAGGGTGTGACAGAGTAGGCGCCAGGCTGATCCGTCACTCAGGTTCGAAAATAGGCGAGTTCGACATAGGGACACAGCATCGTTCGAAAAAAAGTTCGATTTTCAAAAAGTTCGTAAGTGATACGTCGAAATTTGAGTGTTCCACTGTACACCACTCTCAGAACATGCCAGTCTTCTTGGCTTCAACAGTTGGGGATTAATTTAAAGAGTGGAGATATATGTAACCAAACTGAACCACATATTCAGAAGAGACGTACATGACCGTGTGCTACCAAGAGGTGCAGTGCTGTCAATGGCTGCCAAAGTTGCCAATTCCCATAGTAGTTGGCACCAAGGCCAAGGACGGATGAGACAAGTGACAGGCAACCCGGGCTGATCATAAATAAGCAGGTGCTATTAACATGAGGCAGTTCAGGGATCACCATCACCGAAGAAAATAAAGTTAACCAAATATTTCAATCCTCAGGAAATAGGGCTTTCACAAGTATTAAGGAACACTGTAGCCACTCTTGCTGTGAACAAGCCACTTTTACTATGTATTGGTCTTTAACCTTTGATGGGAAACTCAGAGTGGTACTCCTGAGCCCAGTCATGGGCCAGGTTTCTGGGATTGCTGGTCCACAGCTGTTCTGCTGATGGCCACTTCCCCAATATCCATCCGGACAAGGCGGGATCGGCACTGGTGAAGAATGTCAATTACCACATTCATAAATACAGCCTGACTTATGCTAAATTAGGTTAAGTTATATGTTTAGTAATAGCTTAGCATGATGCTAACCAATTATATCTGTTACTATATTCCCTTCAAGGAAAAGGGCTTTTGATCCAAGGAATTAACAACTACCATCCACTACTGTGGCCTGGTAGGCAAAGGTCTCGCTTCGCATATTGTGTTCGTGGTTTGATTCCAGACAAGGGTGGAAACGTCAGGCGTGGTTCCTTACACCTGTTGTCCTCATTCATCTAGCAAGCAATTAGGTACCTGGGTGTTAGTTGACTGGTGTGAGTAGCATCCTGGTGAACAAGGGCGAGGACCCCCAATGGAAATAAGACAGTCCTCGATGACGCACTGGTTTTCTTGGGTTATCCTCATAAAGGTAAAGATTTTACTTCTTTGCAAAGTTTACAATGTGTAATTACAATTTTAATTTGTTAAGTACAAAGAAAGCCACTATCATGATATTGCATTTTGGGCAGGCCAGGGCATTTCTGGGCATTCCTGGGTGGCTAACCCTCCGGGGTTAAAAATCTGAACGAAATTTTCTCTCTTATCCTACCTTAAATCAAACCCATTAAATCAAATCAAACCCATTAAATCAAATCAAACCCATTAAATCAAATCAAACCCATTAAATCAAATCAATCCCATTAAATCAAATCAATCCCATTAAATCAAATCAAACGCATTAAATCAAATCAAACCCATTAAATCAAATCAAACCCATTAAATCAAATCAAACCCATTAAATCAAATCAAACCCATTAAATCAAATCAAACGCATTAAATCAAATCAAACCCATTAAAATCAAATCAAACGCATTAAATCAAATCAAACCATTAAATCAAATCAAACGCATTAAATCAAATCAAACCCATTAAATCATATCAAACCCATTAAATCAAATCAAACCCATTAAATCAAATCAAACCCATTAAATCAAATCAAACCCATTAAATCAAATCCCATTAAGTCAAATCAAACCCATTAAATCAAATCAAACCCATTAAATCAAATCAAACCCATTAAATCAAATCCCATTAAATCAAATCAAACCCATTAAATCAAATCAAACCCATTAAATCAAATCAAATTAAATTAAATCAAAGCCATTCCCAGGTACTGCGTGCTACCCATTAATTCTTACTTCACCCATAAATATACCAGTAGTGAACGTGTTATTAAGTAAGTTCATTTAGGCACAGGTATACATAAGTACAATTATCATACATAGTGTAAATTATCCACCAGGATATTATAATAATCATGGGGAAGCGCTAAACCCGTAGGATTATACAGCGCCTGTGGAGGGGAGGGGATGGAAGGTATTCAGGCTTAATTCAGGGAACTGGTGCACAGATCCAATTCCCTAGATCAAGAGCCTCTCACCAGCGTCAAGGAAGCTCCCTTGATGGGAAGGGGTGACACAGGGAGGTTAAATAATTATATTAACCTGTGGTGGCAGCAACGAGGATGAGACACGTCACTTGATGAAGGTTATTTAAGTGTTGTTGTAATTGACTACAACACCTCAGACAGCAGCTCACACCCTCACTCTCACACTTCTCTCTTATATCTTCTGCAATTAACTTGGCATTTTCCTGTCTGGGAGGCGTAGAGCAGGAGAACATCTGCTGGGTCTACTGCCTCTAGGCCTACCCCAGTCATAGTTGTTGGGGTTCATAAGGGCCACTTACCAGCCGCCTCAGTTACCCTCTCTCATCTTTATTTTTCCATTATAATCTACCTTGTCCATAATTACCTTTGTAACTTGTGAGCTCATTACCTTTGTACCTAGTTCAGCTATCAAAACTTTGGGGGCCCAGTCCCTGGACCCATTATGTACCTCTGTAATCTGTAAATACCTTTGTAACTTGTCATGATTGTGACCAGACCTACCTAGAGTTCATTACCTTTGTAAATTGTGAGTTCATTACCTCTGTAAATTGTGAGTTCATTACCTTTGTAAATTGTGAGTTCATTACCTTTGTAACTTGCTCAGCTATCAAAACTTTGGAGTCCAGTCCCTGGACCAATTATGTACCTCTATAATCTTTTGACTACCGCCCACAGGATGGGTATGGTGTGCATAATAAACATATTAAACTAACTCCATAATTACTATCACATTTGCTCTGTCTGTTTCGTAAAATGAATCCAGGATCTTTCTTTAATTCATGATATAACTTAGCAAATCTGCAGGAGTCTTATTAAGACTTATTGACTTAAGTTTAATGGTGTCACCTGAGCGGATACTTTGATAATTTGTTTCCTGTTGCTAAGCTAGGAGTTAAACTGCTTTTTAGTTGTAAAGTAAAAGGACACAAGTGCAACTAATGTGACATTTTATTGTGGCAACGTTTCGCTCTCCAGGAGCTTTGACAAAGCTCCTGGAGAGAGAAACGTTGCCACAATAAAATGTCACATTAGTTGCACTTGTGTCCTTTTACTTTACATATTGTCGGTAATTCTACCAACATTATTACAATCTGCTTTTTAGTTGTTGTCTTGGCTTTCTAGGATTGATCTTGTATGGTTCCCAAGTAGGCCAAGTCCCAGCACAGCAAGAAATAAGCCACTTTGTCTGACTTTTTTGGGTTATCCTGGTGGGTAATTTACACTATGTATGATAATTGTACTTATGTGTACCTGTGCCTAAATAAAATTACTTACAGGACGCCCACACCCTCACCTGAGTTCAGCAGCCGGCTCCCTACCAAAACCGTTAAAGAAATTCCGCAAAGTAAAATGGAGCTGAAGCAAAATGCTCTTCCTGTAACCTGCCTAGATTATGGATGAGGACAAATCATGATGAGAACAAGCCTCTCAGAGAGAACTGGAGAAATTTCTCACTGATGCTCAAGCGAGAGAAGAACTTCTTCATTCATGACTTTTTTTAATTAGGGTTGTTAAAGGCTATCCATGCTTACGCCTTAATGAACCCTGTCTCTCGGTAGCCCTGGTAAAATATGTCGTCCAAATCCAGGCGGGAATTATAAATGAAGCAATGTTTCCTTCGGAAAGAGAAACGGGGAGGTGAGATTAGCAAGCAGATCAGGTAGACCCTAGTCTTAAGCATAGGCAATCTCTGAGTAAACACGTCTATATTCCACCAACATCATCGATGAAAATTGCATAACCATGGGCTCTGTGTGTGCACATCTGGAGTTTACTTGGAGAGAGTTCCGGGGGTCAACGCCCCCGCGGCCCGGTCTGTGACCAGGCCTCCTGGTGGATCAGAGCCTGATCAACCAGGCTGTTGCTGCTGGCTGCACGCAAACCAACGTACGAGCCACAGCCCGGCTGATCCGGAACTGACTTTAGGTGGTTGTCCAGTGCCAGCTTGAAGACTGCCAGGGGTCTGTTGGTAATCCCCCTTATGTGTGCTGGGAGGCAGTTGAACATCTGTCACCCATCTCTAAACAAACACTGTATCACGTGGAAAAATATTATCTTCCTGTCTTTGTTATCATTGGGGTTATTCAGGGCCACATAAGCTAAGCTTTATTGAGCCTTACTACCCAGAGTCCCAGACAAAATATATATTGCACAAATCTAGACAGGAATGAGAAAATTAAAACAAAGCTTCCTCTGGAAAAAAAACGACAATATTAAATTCCCAACTTATATCATGTAGAGGCCAGGCCTAAACAATGTTAGAGCCATGCTCTTAATAACTAAATAACTAACAAAAAAGGCACAATACCGTGACTGGAACGATACACAAATAACCCGCACATAAAAGAGAGAAGCTTACGACGACGTTCGGTCCGACTTGGACCATTGACAAAGTCAAACTGTGACTGTGTCAATGGTCCAAGTCGGACCGAAACGTCGTCGTAAGCTTCTCTCTTTTATGTGCGGGTTATTTGTGCATGCTCTTAATCTCCTCGAGTAAACAAGGCCCAAATGTCATGGATTCTTTTTATGGGATTTTAAAGCTACCTGCAGCTTACCTCGTATCCATTCTTCCCCGATGTATGGGGAAGAAATATTGCCAATAGCTGTTAGTAAATAAGTTTATTTAGACACAGGTACACATAAGTACAATTATCATACATAATGTAAATTACCTGGGATAACCTAAAACAGTCAGACTAAGTGACTTATTTCCACTGGGCGATGGGAAAGTAAGAAATGGAATTTTTTTTTGCAAATGTAAACAGAAACTAAAATTTCTGATGCGACCCCACCTTGCCTAAATTTCAGCAGAGCTGGGCACTCCCCGGGGTCAAGAGCTGTGATTAGACCCCTACAACTATATATAGGTGAGTACACTCTCACCTGAGTTCGCTAAACGGCTTCCCACTAAAACCGTTAAATAAATCCTAATAGAAATTAGCAGAACAACTGTCCATAATGAAATCTGTCAAGCATAATTATGGAGAAAGTAACAAGACCTGTGAGGTTTAGGACTTTCTTGTCATGGGTTCGAGTCCCACCCGTTCTGTGATTTATCTCTGGCAGTTGATAAATTAGACATATATACAACGTCTGGTGGCCTGGTGGCTCAAGCTCCCGCTGCACACACGCAGGGCCCGGGTTCGAGTCCCGGCGGGTGGAAACATTTCGACACGTTTCCTTACACCTGTTGTCCTGTTCACCTAGCAGCAAGTAGGTACCTGGGTGTTAGTCGACTGGTGTGGGTCGCATCCTGGGGGACAAGATTGAAGACCACAATGGAAGTAAGTTAGACAGTCCTCGATGACGCAATGACTTTCTTGGGTTATCCTGGGTGGCTAACCCTCCGGGGTTAAAAATCCGAACGAAACATTATCTTATCTTTATTGTAGACGTTTCGCCATGCAGCGGCTTTATCAATACAAAATCAAAGACATAACTGCTGACAGTTGCTGACAGGGCTATATGTAGGAGGAATGCCTCTACATATAAAAAAAAAAAGGCATACACCTTATCAGGGACCCACAAATTAGATATACAGATGGAAAGAGCAGTCTGTAACAGAGATGAGAAGGCAAAACAGAGGATATGGCAAGACACGTACAGTTCAGGACATTTATTAAAGGATGCCTTCTAGATCATGTGTGAGTTATGTAATTAACAGGTTAGATAACATGTCTAATACTGGAAACAGTTTCATTATCTGCCTCGTGCAGATAGTGAGAAGGGTTGTTGGATAATTACAAGACAGTTATTGACCTAATTAGGTCAAATGAAGGGTGCCAGATCATGTATAGTAATTTTATCTGGAAGTAGGCACTGACTGGGCGTAGTTGGGTGTGAATTTGACTTGCCTAGTGTGTAACAATAGTATTAATGCAGTGCTCCGCTGTTCTTTTATTTATTTATGTATTGTTCCAGTCACGATAGTGTGTCTTTTTTGTTCTTGTATTATTATAATGAACCCAGCTATGGACATGGTCCGGTGCCGGATTCATGACCGCAAAGTGGAGTCGCACAGGTCTACTGGGAAATGAGGTCCTAGGCCTAATAAAATATCCGTCGGGTAAATTTTATTACTTACTTGAACACTTATTTTTAATTATTTAATTAATGTATTGTTCAGAGCAAATTCTTAACGCATGTATACTAACATTTAATTCTTATTTGTCTAAATAAAGATTACATATAGTATTGCATCTTTAACTGCAAATTTTAAACATATGCTATATTTATAGAAAATTATTACTAATGTATCTCCATAATATTCTTATATTTAACATATATTTGGAGTAACTTGATACTTTAAATTTATATGAATGTAAATAAAGATGATGACACTCCATAATGAGTTAAAATATGTCAAACTTTTCAACTACTGCAATAAAGTTACTGTAGTAATAACTCTGCTGCTTCATGATATTTAAGATGAACTTATTTAGTTTTATATGTAACATTGCCAAGTGTTATCTACCTAATTATAAGGATTTTTTTTAATTTTTTGAGGAAAGCGCTGAAAAATAGATTATGTGATTTAAAGATAAAAAGATATAGCTAGTATGATTAAATTACTTTAAGACTGGAATGAAAATAATTTATAGTATAATTATTTTCTTAGACTCGAAAATGTAACTTAGTGCCAGATTATGATACATTAATATTATTTTTTCTAAATATTTACGCACATTTAATATCTCTCATATAAAATATCATGATATAACAGATAATAATTACATAATGTGAGAGTTTATTAGCCTGAGAGAAAAGTTTTGCCTAATAAGTGATGTGAGGAGAGGAGAAGAGAGAGAGTGTGGTAACCCTTGACTCTGACGTAGGAAGATGTAGTAAGAAGTCACATATTTCAACACTTGAAAATTCACTACTAAAGTGTTTTTTGGCATGTTTTCTTCCGTCCAGGCGGTTCTTTTATTCGACCTCAACAGTTTTAGCGACACTTGCAAGAGTGAAAGTGACTTAGAACAAAATGTAGCACAATTAAGATTGTCATGTTTAAAATTGTTGACAAAATTTGGCGCGCAAACAGAAAAAGGCACAGAAGTTAGATGGTCTTGTAAGTTTTATGATTCTAATTATTATAAACCCGACACGAGCAGGAAGAACTTTCTGGACTTCACCAAGAAGACTTTCGACGAGTTTGAAAACGACGTCACTGAGAGATATTGCAAAGTTTTCGACCGGCAGCAAAGTGGCGGTGATTCGAACCCCTCAGATATATGTAAACCTCACAGTTATATACTGAAGAAATGTCTGCAGGAGGTCTTGCTAGACTATAACTGGGACAGACCAGATATAACTTCTCCTGTAAAGCCAACTAGACGTAGTGTAAAGTCAGGTCGTAATATTATCTCCGAGGATAATGGCCCCTATAATACTGTCATTATCTTTACTAAAGTTCCTTATAATATTGTTGTTATTGAAGACTTTTGTGGGTGTGAGAGGCAGAACACTAACACTTCCAAGGTTACTGCTGAGGATTTCCTAAAAAGTATTCTTGATCACTCTATGGTGAAGAGTTTTCAGGAAGAGAAACATATTAGCCTAAATTTTGTGAATGTTTGCGATTTGTCTGCGTTAAAGGAAGAATTAATTGACACTCGGGTTATAAGTGCCATCCATGGGGGTCTAGTTAAGCTCGGTGGCGGGTTACATTCCATATCCAGCATTGTTCAAACGCGTTTCTCCGAAGTCGTCGAGGACGAGAAAAGTGTCACAGCGGCCGGAGTGTTCGCCGCCCCCGCAACACATGTGGCAGGTGTCGATGTTCAAGTTTCCTGGTGGAAGAAGACAAGGTGTGGGAGACCTCGACGACCTCAGCCTGGACCGACCTTAATGTGGGAGGACGCTGAGGGTCTGTCATACCTCAAGGCTCAGCTGGAAGTTTTAGCTGTTCATGGAAGGCAAGTCAGCCTTATTTGCTATCTCTAACAGATAGTTAATAACTTATTTTACAGTTTCATATCTTATAAGTTTGTACAATTGTTCATAACTCTGTGGTCATATTTATGTTACAGACTTTACCAAAATAACTTAACTCAGGTGTCACTGTGACTTATTTTTCCATATTTTTTCAAATTATAGCATCAAATTCTAAGACTTGATTCTCAGTAACCTAATAAGGTTAACCTAGGAAAACCCATCACCAGTTTACTGTAATTCTAGCATAGTACAGCCTCTCCTCACTTAGTGACGTACTCGTTTACCGACGACTCGGATTTACAATGGGCTCTGACCCGTATGCATAACTAAATAATGTATATTAGAGCTGATTTTCTCTGTTCTGTTTATTACAATATACAGTACACTACTGTATAAACATTTAAAAATTTTACCAGAAATGTCACCTTTGCACCATTTATAACAAAATAACATCGAAGATAGTTGACACAAACCCACTACCATTATAGTATGCTCCTCACTTAATGACAGATTCACTTACCGATGTGGTCTTACGAACGGAACTCCACCATTAAGTTTGCTGTAACATATGCTAGCAGTTATTGTCTTGTAATTTTACATGTTACATTGTCTTAGTATAACTTAGATAAGATTTGTCCTTACTTTTAACCCCAGAGGGTCAGCCACCCAGGAAAGTCAGTGCGTCATGGAGGACTGTCTTATTTCTGTTGGGGTCCTCAGTCTTGTCCCCCAGGATGTGACCCACCCAGTTGACTAACACCCAGGTACCTGCTTACTTGCTAGGTGAATGGGGACAGCAGGTGTAAGGAAACACACTCAATGTTTCCACCCTTGCTGGGGATTGAACCATGGACACTGTGTGTGAGGCAAGAGCATTGCCTACCAGGCCACATAACACACAAGTACAATTAACAGTATCTTATGTAGTTGTTTTAGTGTTACATATATCATACCTGGATGGCATGAATTAAAAAAAAAGTGTAATGTACACTTCTCAGTGGTAAACAATAATGCACATGTAGACAGAAAAACAACATAAAGTTGGTCTGCATACAGTATTTTGTCTGAATTATTATAACATTCATAGGGAAGAACTTTACCTGTAGGTAATTTACACGTGTCACGTAGCTCAGTTACTTTCGCACTCACCTCATACACTGACGTCTGGAGATCTAATCTCTGGTATGGCTGGAAAACATTAGGACGTGTTTCCATAAGACACCTGCTATCCATGTTCCCCCATCAGTAAAATGGGTACCGTGATATAACAGACTAGTGTAATTGATATTGGATATACTGGACAAAAATATTTAGCTGGATAAATGTTCAATGGAAAGGACTAAGTCTTTGACATTTGAATAACTGAGTACAGCTGTTTTAACCCTTAAATGGTCCAAACGTATATATACGTTTTTTCAACATCTGAAAGTATGTACAAAAATGTAGATCTTTTTTTTTGTTTTACATTTGAAAACGTGTAAAAAAACTTTTAGCTACATTTTTTTTTTGTTATATTTGAAAATATGTAAAAAAAGTAGATCTACTTTTGTTGCACTTTGAATTTGAACATCGATCTCTTTGGACCGTTTAAGGGTTAAAGGTGCATAGGAGTTTTAGACACACATTAATGGTACACTATGGACAGTTAAGATAGGATAGCCAAATTAAGTCGGTGACTTATTTCCATTCCAGGGGGCCTTTGGATACTTGAGATATTAATGTATTTTTCCTATATCTCATGATTGATAATATTTCAGCTGTTCTCGTGAATGGGGCAATGCTGTAGTTGTGGGTGTTGTACGAAGCAGCGCCGTGAGTGTATTAGCAGTGGCTGGGAGTATGGGCCACCTGTATGTGTGCCATGCACCAAATACTGTCTTCACTACACTAGTTCATGTACTGGCTAAATATCAGCTGTCCTTGGTAAGATGGAGATTTTTATTATCTGTTATTTCTCATTTATTGATTAATTTTAATTTGTTTGCTAGTTTCCTTCACTTTTGCATAAGTTTAAAAAATCTGAATTTGTTCTTGCATTTAATTTTCATTACTCAAAATTCTCTGTGCACAAAAGTAGTTCCCACTTCCATGACTGCACAACCAACGTGCACTAGTTACCTGTGCTCAGATTTAAACCTCGCATACATTACTCACGAAATCGTAATGACACGATTGCAAACAAACCATACCACGGGCAGGTTTGAACCCGCGGTCAGAGAGTCTCAAAACTCCAGACCGTGGTCACAGTGGTGCCTATGCTAACCTTCCTATGGTGTAGAAATATACCTAGTTGGACAAATCTTATTGTGGCTAGCTGGTCCAGTGGCTAACGCGACGGTCTGGAATTTTGAGACTCTCTGACCGCGGGTTCAATCCGCCCGTGGTATGGCTCGCATACATTCATGCAATATGCCATGAAGAGAGCAGCAACAGCAGCTTCATCTCCTGTTCATGCTGTGTACAGTTGTTCTACTACAGTTCCTGCTTCCCCTTCTATTTCTGGAGGAAGCTCTTGTTCCTTCTTATTTCCAAAGAGAGCCCTTCTTCCCTGTTTCATTACTGTCCAAATTTAGGCCATACTGACTTCCGGTGCACAGTGATGCTCTCTATTTTTTATTACCCTTCTTCACTGCACTGCAGTGAATGTGAATTTGGGGAAGTAAGTAAAACATGATCTGGATTTGGTGCCTCTCACTCATCCCTTATCTTTAACTTATATATGTCTCTTCCTCTGCCATTCCTTTTATTAGGTGAATTTAACTCTTCATTTATTCCAGGAAGAGTTGCATTATGACTTGGAGACCAGGTAGTTTTTTTTTATTATCCTGCTACCTCTCCAGGCTCTGAGCAGTGGTATCCTGACACCTAGATTCCAAAACTTGTAGTCTGATGTACTCTTTCTGCTCCTTGCCCATAGCATTATTTTGATAGATGGTAATAAATAATCACCACAATAGTGGTTATTTCCCTATTGTTACTTCACGTTCGCTCACTGAACCTCACTATACTGGTGGCACTTTGAGTGTGCAGATTGAACACTTTAACATGAAATATCTCTTCTTGGTATTATGAATTTTTGTATCTTGCTAGTTTTGTGAATTACTGTGTTTTGCTAGAAGAGGAAGGTCCTGCTATTCAGCACTTTGCTTTATGGCATTTTGCTAATACAGCAGCTTTAAATTATAGCCATTTTTTTATTCAGACTCCCTACAATAAATGTATAGCCCTCACCATAAGCTATTGATGAAAATATTTTAAAGGGAGTAATGTGTGTACTGTATGTGCATTTTTTTCTTAGGCCTAGCTCTATTGCTCACTTAATATGATAGTGTTAACATGTTATTAGGCTTTTTTTTGCATTTGAAAGTGGAAAAAAGGTTGTTTTGCTATACAGCAAACATGTTTGGAATTTTTTTTACAGCTTATCATTTTTGTTGTTTTATTCTAATTACAACATTAAACAAGCATTTTTTTCATTTATTATTGTACAGTTGAACTCCAGAACTTCAGTCACATAATTCACTTGTGTATATTATGCTGTACAACATTTCTGAAGACCATTTAGCAGATAACTTCAATTCATATTTTTTCTTGGTCACATTGTGTTTGTTAAGCACAACATCCCTGTTGTCCACTAACCATAGGACTTCCTTCAGAAAATACTCATTCTTTCATATGAATGTCAGTATTAAGCAGCTTTATAGTATTTAAAAATATATGTCCAAGACTCATTTAAGTAATTTAGATCTATGAAATTCCCATTATTTGCAGCTTGAGGACTTTTGCCATCTTCAGGCACTTAACCCCTGTGAGTTATGGGGGTTCGGTTATATATAGTACTGTATCCTTAATTAAGCTTTTTATCCGAAGTTTTGATATATAGAACAGTGATATAAGAGAAATTGTGTGTTTAAAAGTGTTTAACTTTTTTTTAGGTGTTAAGGCTGAGTTGCAATGGCATTGCTATTCTGTGCCCCTGGGCTGGAGGTGTTGGCTGTTTGGCTGTGATGTCTGCATCAGGTCTGGCTACACCACCTCTTCATAGCCACATTGCTAATCAAGAGTCCCACATCACTGATCCTCACATCCTTAGATTTGTTTCATTAGCTGTGGAAAAATGTTTGAAAGTAAGTGAACCTAAGTCTAGCATTTCTGTTATGTCTGAATTATTCACTCATGTAACTGTTCATTATTGGCAGATGATAAGTAGCATTTTGTGACCTATATTATGTTGTGAGTGAACCCTTCAAGTGGGGTCTCTTGATGCTAGTGAAAGTCTCTTGAGACAAGGCACTGGAGCTACTTTTCCCTTTCTTGAATCAGTTCTAATTTCCTCTCATTACCCAGGTGCTGTATTATCTTAACTAGATGATTATAATAATACGTACAGTAAACTCGCTTTAACACGCCTCGATTGAATGTACTTTGGAATTTTGTTTTTATAACTGGCCATTTCCCACCGAGGCAGGGTGACTCGAAAAAGAAACACATTCACCATCATTCACACTATCACTGTTTTGCCAGAGGTGCACAGGTATGACAGTTTAGATGACCCTCCAAACAGCAGATATTCCCATCCCTCCTTTAGAGTTATACGGGACAAAATTCATTGGGTTATTTGGTTTTGAAACTGAATAAAGTTTGTTGGTTACAGGGTTGTCCGTTATTGTTACGATAATGGCAAAACAATATCCACCGCAGTTCATTAAACTGATGATTTACTGTAACATTTTGTGGTTGAAGGTTTATAACATAATTTTGTCCCCAGGTAGTTTTCTGAAATGTGAGTTATAGAGAAGAATAATTTCCATAACATAGTTTTATTTAACACTAAATGATGGTAAGAGTGAGGATATGAGAAGGCACAGCTTTAAGAATTCCTGGTTGTTACCAGTAATTCTTAAAACAGTGCATGAAAGTGAGAGTCAGGAAGTGTCATACAATGTCTTTATTGGTATAGTTTGATTTATTGGACTGAAACAGTGAGAAAGTAATAACATTTAAATTTTTTTAACAGGCAATGGATTTTTTTAGAAATGGCGACAGTGCTGAGTGGCCATATTAGGCTTAGCACTTTAAAGTAATAGAATAATAATTTAGAGTGGGAAGAAAGAACAGAATTAACGATTGAAGATATAATGGGAGTATCTGGCAAAATAGAGAAAAGAGCACTTAGGTGGTCTGGACACAGAGGAAATGGATAATTGCAGGTTGATGAGAATATGAGTAAGGTAAGAAGTAGAGGAAGATGAAGATTAAGAGGGAAATAAAGATGTGACTGAGACTGGTCATCGTGTAGGAGTCTACAAAGTTGTGTAATAAAAGTAATATGTAAAGGAAAGTATAACTGTCCTCTAGTAGGTTAGAGAGTAGTGCATTGGGATTGTGTGTTATATTGAGGAATGCATTATTTTATGTATTTAAAAATAGTTATTAGAGAGATGATCCATCAGATGATGCAGCAGCTCTTAATTATCCATACTTGTTTTGTTCGCCAAAATTGGCGTTGTAATCTTCCGTGTCTTACAGACAAATTTAAAGTATATTTGATACTGTATAGTAGTATATAGTTTTTGCTTTGTTTGATGAATGGTTTTTGTATCAAGATTTGTCATATTTTTTTTTAATTCTTTGAAGTTTTACAACTATTCAATAAATTTAAATAAATTGTCTTGCATAAGAGCTATTAGTGTTAGATTTAAGTTGAATTTTTTTCCCAGAGTGCTCCACCTCATAGTGTTGGGGAACCAACAACAAACACGAAGGTGTTCGCTGCGAACCAAACAGAACGGTGGTTTAAGCCTCTTGAAGCTTGTAGTGACACTATAAAATGCATCAGAAAAAGGTAAGACAATGTTAAGTCTGTTCATACTCTTTAATTTTTCTATAGCCTCTCCTCTCTGTATTGTCACGAGTGAAGCACAGTGGTCTACTTCAATCTCTTTTCTCTCGTGTACATACATTTTGTGATGCATGACTTGAAAATCATGATGTTTGGAAATTGGATTCAATAATTAGTCAAGAGGGCTGAAGAGGGGCTGTTAAGGTGGTTTGGTCATTTAGAGAGAATGGAACAAAGTAGAATGACTTGGAGAGCGTATAAATCTGTTGTGGAAGGAAGGTGGGGTAGGGGTCTTCCCCGAAAAGGTTGAAGGGAGGAGGTAAAGGAGGTTTTGTGGGCATGGGGCTTGGACTTCCAGCAAGTGTGCGTGAGGTTGTTAGATAGGAGTGAATGGAGACTAATGGTTGGAGTGTGAGCAGGGTAATATTTTGTGAAGGGATTCAAGGAAACCAGTTAGCAGGACTTCAGTCCTGGAGATGGGAAGTACAATGCCTGCACTATAAAGGAGGGGTTCAGGATATTGGCAGTTTGGAGGGATGTTTAAGCTGTCATATCTGAGTGCCTCTGCATAGGCAGTGATTATGTATGAGTGATGGTGAAAATGTTGAATGATGATGAAAGTTTTTTCTTTCTTTTTGGGTCACCCTGCCTCAGTGGGAAACGACCGACATGTTAAAAAAAAATTAATAAAAAATTACTAGTTTTGTAAAATGACAGAGTTACACAGTTGAACTTTTGGTGTTTATGCTTATGAGTGATTTACTTTTTTCCAGTCACACTGTTCTTTCATCACTTCCAGGTCTGAGTCTTCTTGCAGAGTAGCTGTGTCCTTGAAATACTTGAAATGTCCTTGGGGAAATTATAATGTTCTTGAACTTTTAAAAAAATTTTGATTTTCTTTTGCTAAAGGCAAATATTAAGATACTTCAAAGCTATTTGAGGCGTTTTCTGACATTTTTTACTGAAATACATAAGCCATAACAATTAAATCTAAACTGGTGCTACTATTGCATTTTATGGGAAAATTAAGCCAAATCATGCTATTGTATTTCAAGTAGTAAACCTTAATATTTTTTTACACTGAAAATAAGCTAAGCAAGACTGCTGAAGGCAGCAGTGACAAAAATTCTTGTTTTCCCCGAGATTTTCACATAACACTTGCCCTTTTCCTCGTCTGTTTTATGATTCACAGTGTTGGCCTGACATAAATGGAAGTTGTTTGGGAGTGTAGGGAAGATTTTTTATCAACTGTAAGCTTACAAGTCTTGGAATAGACACTGTTTATTGTTATCATCACAGTATCATCTTTTCCTCGCTGACTTTATCCACACATCACTGACACACTCAGCCAACTGTAAATTTAGGAGGAGTTGATGCTGCAGTTTTTCTGTTTGCTTAATTGATTTGTTTAATCTTTCAGCTGTGCTGAGGTGAGTATTATTAGGAAACAAGTGTGTCTGTCTGGCACTTGGCAGACAAAGGATCAAGCCTCCATCACATCTTGTGCTGAATGACCCACGTGGGTTTAGCGCTTAACATGAATTACTGAAAAAATTTTCAGCCATCCTATTGTTATGGAACTTTCCTTTCCCAGGAGGGTCAATAGAGTGGAGCGGAGAGCTATGCAAGAACGTCTTCAAAAAAGATACCGTCCTCAGATTCCACAACCCCTGGCTACTGGAGAAACTGGACCACTTGATCTCATTGACATTACTCAGCCTCCAATAGATTCAGCACCTGTGAGTGGAGCCAAGTCCTCCATGTCACGAGCGCAGCAGCTGGTTAAAAAGAGTCATATTGTAACTGCTCAGCTAAAAGTCAAGGTTAGTATTACAATTTATTTTCTTGTAAACCGGTCTAAATTATTTTAATGCATATTGAACTTAGATTTTTGGTTAGTGAAACATTACAGTTAGTCATTAGGTTGGTGTAATACACTTTATATACAGCTACAACACTGATTTTTTTGGCACCTTTCATTCTTAGGCTTACCTGAAGTATACCTGGAGGGTGTTGTAGGAACCAATGCCTCCATGGCCTGGTCCATAACCAGGCCGCGTAACCCTGTTACTGCTGGCCACGCACAAAACAAACGTATGAACCGCAACCTGGCTGGTCAGGTACTGACTGCCAGTATATTGATTTTGCTGGACCAACCGAGGTTACATAATAATTCAGCAATAAACTTCTAACCCAATGTAGACTGCTGGAAACTTGCATTAAATATTAGTATAAGTAAAACCGGTTTATTACTGTTCTTTCAAAGAATGTTTTAGTACTGTCATTGCCAAATTGGTCAATTTTACTTGAGGTGCAGAGCTATTCACTACACACACTGCCATCTGTGGCTTCCAGGGGAAACTATTTTGGAAAAAAAGTAGCTGTAATTTTGTCCGGACTAAAAGGTGCTGGATGATCCATTGTGTTGTGCCTGTACTGCCATGTTATATTGAGTGTGGTTATTGCACAGTCTGTCTTTTGCTGTTTTTTTGGAATATATCTCTCTTAAAAAAAAAACGAATTTGGTTTATATGAAATTGATTGTTGTATAGTCCATCAATCTTGTAGAAGATTGATGGACTGAACACATCGACTCCAGGCTGAGGGACTGATTACCTCATACTCCTCCTCTCCTTATGCCTTCCTCTTTGTATTGGACTGATGAAGCCACTGTGTGGCGATACGTTTCCTGAATAAAGATTCCCATATGCTGCATAAGTGTCTCAATTTTCAACAGTCTTGCATTCACTGTATTTTATGAAATAATGTGACCCTTAATGTTGTAAACACACACAGAGATAATAAAAATAATTGTAATGAGTACTGTGTACTGTATGTTTTTTGGTACTCTTTTCAGTTTTTTTAGCACTGGCTGTTTCCCTCTAAGGCAGGGTGACTCAAAAAAGAAACACTTTCACCATCATTCACACTGTCCTAATTTCCCTGAATCTCTTCACACTCCAACAGCTCATTATGTCCCAAAAACCATTTGTCTCCACTCTTATCTTAACACACTCACACATGGGGCTGCTGTATGTCAAGTCCCTTGCACATGAAACCTCCTTTACCTCCTTCCTCCATCCTTGCCTGGGATGACTCCTATCCTGCCTTCCCTCTACTACAATTTTTTTTTTTTTTTTTTTTTTTTTTTCCAACAAGTCGGCCGTCTCCCACCGAGGCAGGGTGACCCAAAAAAGAAAGAAAATCCCCAAAAAGAAAATACTTTCATCATCATTCAACACTTTCACCACACTCGCACATTATCACTGTTTTTGCAGAGGTGCTCAGAATACAACAGTCTAGAAGCATACACATATAAAGATACACAACATATCCCTCCAAACTGCCAATATCCCAAACCCTCCTTTAAAGTGCAGGCATTGTACTTCCCATTTCCAGGACTCAAGTCCGACTATATGAAATAACCGGTTTTCCCTGAATCCCTTCACTAAATATTACCCTGCTCACACTCAACAGATCATCAGGTACCCAAGTACCATTCGTCTCCATTCACTCCTATCTAACACGCTCACGCACGCTTGCTGGAAGTCCAAGCCCCTTACCCACAAAACCTCCTTTACCCCCCTCTCTCCAACCCTTTCGAGGACGACCCTACCCCGCCTTCCTTCCCCTATAGATTTATATGCTTTTCCATGTCATTCTACTTTGATCCATTCTCTCTAAATGACCAAACCACCTCAACAACCCCTCCTCTGCCCTCTGACTAATACTTTTATTAACTCCACACCTTCTCCTAATTTCCACACTCCGAATTTTCTGCATAATATTTACACCACACATTGCCCTTAAACAGGACATCTCCACTGCCTCCAACCGTCTCCTCGCTGCTGCATTTACCACCCAAGCTTCACACCATATAAGAGTGTTGGTACTACTACTTTCATACATACCCTTCTTTGCCTCCATAGATAACGTTTTTTTGACTCCACATATACCTCAACGCACCACTCACCTTTTTTCCCTCATCAATTCTATGATTAACCTCATCCTTCATAAATCCATCCGCCGACACGTCAACTCCCAAGTATCTGAAAACATTCACTTCTTCCATACTCCTCCTCCCCAATTTGATATCCAATTTTTCTTTATCCAAATCATTTGACACCCTCATCACCTTACTCTTTTCTATGTTCACTTTCAACTTTCTACCTTTACACACATTCCCAAACTCATCCACTAACCTTTGCAATTTTTCTTTAGAATCTCCCATAAGCACATTTATCATCAGCAAAAAGTAACTGTGTCAATTCCCATTTTGAATTTGATTCCCCATAATTTAATCCCACCCCTCTCCCAAACACCCTAGCATTTACTTCCTTTACAACCCCATCTATAAATATATTAAACAACCATGGTGACATTACACATCCCTGTCTAAGACCTACTTTTACCGGGAAGTAGTCTCCCTCTCTTCTACACACCCTAACCTGAGCCTCACTATCCTCATAAAAACTCTTTACAGCATTTAATAACTTACCACCTATTCCATATACTTGCAACATCTGCCCCATTGCTCCTCTATCCACTCTATCATATGCCTTTTCTAAATCCATAAATGCAATAAAAACTTCCCTATCTTTATCTAAATACTGTTCACATATATGCTTCAATGTAAACACCTGATCTACACATCCCCACATCTACACTCTAAAACCCCCTTGCTCATCCGCAATCCTACATTCTGTCTTACCTCTAATTCTTTCAATTATAACCCTACCGTACACTTTTCCTGGTATACTCAGTAAGCTTATTCCTCTATAATTTTTACAGTCTCTTTTGTCCCCTTTCCCTTTATATAAAGGGACTATACATGCTCTCTGCCAATCCCTAGGTACCTTCCCCTCTTTCATACATTTATTAAACAAAAGTACCAACCACTCCAACACTCTGTAAATCATCTTATTTTGCTCTGTCCTCTCTAAATAACCAAACCACCTCAACAACCCCTCCTCAGCTCTCTATATGTTTATTAAATCCCTTGTTAATTACTGTGCGTCTCATGTGCAGGAATTACGTGCAGAAGAGGAAGAGAGAGTTCAGGCAACAGAACGTCGAGCAGCTCAGGCCTCGGAACGTGCACGCAAGAGTCAGCAACTTGAATCACAAGTCTTAAATGCAGTTTCAAATCCACAAGTATGTGTTGCATCTCTTGTTTCCTTTCAAGATTACCAGGTGATAAATTTACAAATGTTACTTTGTGAATCAGTCTTATTAAAGTTTTAGGTTTTTGCCATAGGAGCAAATTAATTGGACAGAGCCACCCTTGCTGTGATAAACATTCTGTAAAAAAAAAAAAAAATCACTTCATGTCAAAGAACTTTATATCATTTTATTTACATGATTTTTAATCTCATGTTCTAAAAAAATAAAAGTATTTGTTTAATTATTTAAATTATGACTTATTCATCACATTGCTGATGTCTCACTGTACATTGACTTTGATCTTTTAATCTCTGCTCCAGTTGGACGATTGTGACAGATATTTGAGAAGCTTGATCACTAGCGCACTCGGCTCTCACACTAAGGTCCAGGGTTCAATTCCCCAGTACGGCAGGAAACATTAGAACATGTTTCCTTAAGGCCTGTCCATGTTAAACGATCAGTAAAATGGGTACCTGGGTGTTAGTCGACTGGTGTGGGTCGTATCTTGGGGCAAAAATTGACCTAATTTGTCCAATATGATCTGCATAACAAGGGGCTTTCTATATAGTAGTATGTCATTGATGTCAGCTAGGCCTGTATACCTTGTACATGTACTTGTAAAAATAAAGATATTCTTTCAACAAACCAGCCATATCCCACTGAATCAGGGTGGCCCAAAAAGAAACAAAAGTTAAATAAAGATCTTATATTATTATAAATATCCATCTGGTCTGTTCACTTTCCCTTGATGCTCTCTTGTGAGGTACTGTTTTGTGCAACTAGAATGGAAGTCTGTTAAATGGGGATGGGGGGATACCAAAAGTTTTGCTGATACCTGTACCATCAGAATTGGCTGATACCCACCAATACCTGTTAAATGTTTTATACACTGGCAGGACGACTAATATTTTCTTACTTGTGAAGATATGAGTTGATAAGCTTAGCTACAACCAATTTACATTCACTGTATATTTGTCATTACTTTTTTGCATTTGTTAGTACTATATTTCCTTTATACTTTAGGCTAGCTGGTCTGAGACCAGGCCTCATAGACAGCGCTCCACAGAGCAGTTAGTAGATAGGTAATAGATACAGGAGGGCCCTGCTTATACAGCAGGTTAGGTTCTGGGCTGCTGCAGTTAGTAGATAGGTAATAGATACAGGAGGGCCCTGCTTATACAGCAGGTTAGGTTCTGGGCTGCTGCAGTTAGTAGATAGGTAATAGATACAGGAGGGCCCTGCTTATACAGCAGGTTAGGTTCTGGGCTGCTGCTGTAAAGTGAAATGTATCCTTTTTTTTTCACTTTCAAGTGCTTGTTTACACTATCATATATTAAGTGAGCAATATAGCTAGGCCTAAAAAGTGCATATACAGTACACACATTACTTAAAAATATTTTCATCTTTTGCTTATAATGAGTGGTGATTTTTTTTTTTTTTTTTTTTTTTTTTTTTTTTTTTTAAGAAGTCGGCTGTCTCCCACCGAGGCAGGGTGACCCAAAAAAGAAAGAAAATCTCAAAAATGAAAACACTTTCATCATCATTCAACACTTTCACCTCACTCACACATAATCACTCTTTTTGCAGAGGTGTTCAGAATATAACAGTTGAGAGGCATATACGTATAAAGATACACAACATATCCCTCCAAACTACCAATATCTCGAACCCCTCCTTTAAAGTGCAAGCACTGTACTTCCCATTTCCAGGACTCAAGTCTGGCTATATAAAAATAACTGGTTTCCCTGAATCCCTTCACTAAATATTACCCTGCTTACACTCCAACAGCTCGTCGGGTCCCAAATACCATTCGTCTCCATTCACTCCTATGTTACACGCTCACGCACACTTGCTGGAAGTCCAAGCCCCTCGCCCACTAAACCTCCTTTACCCCCTCCCTCCAACCTTTTCGAGGACGACCCCTACCCTGCCTTCCTTACCCTACAGATTTATACGCTCTCCATGTCATTCTACTCTGATCCATTCTCTAAATGACCATACCACCTTAACAACCCCTCTTCAGCCCTCTGACTAATACTTTTATTAACTCCACACCTTCTCATAATTTCCACACTCCCAATTATCTGCATAATATTTACACCACACATTGCCCTTAGACAGGACATCTCCACTGCCTCCAACCGCCTCCTTGCTGCAGAATTTATAACCCAAGCTTCACACCCATATAAGAGTGTTGGTACTACTATACTTAAATACATTCCCTTCTTTGTCTCCATAGATAAATTTTTTTGTTTCCACCTATACCTCAACGCACCACTCGCCTTTTTTCCTTCATCAGTTCTATGATTAACCTCATCCTTCATAAATCCAACCGCTGCGTTAGCAAAATGCTGCGATGTGAAGCACTGTAAAATGAGGTCCTCCTGTATCCACTGTTGCTTCCTAGGTTGTCAGTTGTTTTCCTGGTCTTGAGCACTTATTCCTTGCTCTTGTGAACTTTTTCTTGTTGGATTAAAGTTAAATAAGTTTAGTTCAGTTAGCCAGATTTGAGTCCTGGAGGTGGGAAGTACAGTGCCTGTACTCTGAAGTGTGGGAGGAGGGGTGGAGATATATTGCAGTTTTTGAACTGTAGTATGAGCATGCCTCTGGCAAGACTGTGATGGAGAGAATGATGATGAAACTGTTTCTTTTTCGTGTTGCCTGGCCTCGGTAGGAAACAGCCGATGTTTAAAAAAAAAAAAGGGAAAAGATGAGTTGCAGATGAGGGTATTGAGCATGCAGCAGCATCATCAATGAAGACTTTGGTTAGCTTTAAAAATAGCTTCAAGAAATCTGTGATTGGGAAATGGTTGGGTGTAAAACGTGTCTAGCATGGGCAAGTGAGCTTGCTTTCTTTTGTCATTCATTATTTCTTTCCCTTCAAGATGGTGGCTTAATACTGGTGAATGGTTATTGATTAATGGAAATGGAACTACCCTCCCTTTCCTCAGATTGAACCTGATTACCTCCCATTCCTCAGGCACAGTATGACACTAAATAGATTTAGTATTTCCTCGTGTGGAAGAGATACGTATACAGTTCAGGATATTTATTAGAGGAATAAACGTCTTATTAGAGGACATTTATTCCTCTAATAAATGTCCTGAAATGTACACAAGTCTTTTTCCATATCTTGTCAGCATCACCATATCATTTTTCAGTATTTCCTAAGGAATTTAATGCAGAATGATTTTATTTCAGGACACAGGTGAGCTAGTGCAATCACTGGTGTGCTTACGTGATGGTGACGGCATGCACACTGATCTATTTACAACAGCTCAAACTATCATCAATCTGGCGCTGATGCATGTTAAAGGCACCAGTAGGGTGAATATGGAGGTTAGCAACAGTATTATTTGTGGCCAGAGTTAATGAAAATAATCATTTATTAAAAATGAAGATTTTACAGACCACAAAATGGCTGGAGTTGGAACTTGTGATGAATGAATCCTAAAACTCCAGGCCAGTGGCTTACAAGTGGCTTATGCACTAGCCTGGAGTTTTAAGACTGGGTTCAAACCACAGCTGTTCCCTGGTTTGTTTACAATCATATTTTTTTCAATTTCATGAGTCGTCATGATTTTACTCTCAAACATAATTGTGTTGTCATTAAATTCTGTCTCATATTGACTTTTTGTATTAACCATTTCAAGTGGAAATATTTACCCCGGAAGCATAAATTTGTTAACCCTTTCAGGGTCAAGAGGCCCTCTCCTAAACTTGTTCTCAGGGTCGAAAATTTTTTGGAAATTTTTTTTTTATTTTTTTTATGAAATGATAGAGAATCTTTTCCTGATCATAATGACACCAAAAGTATGAAATTTGATGGAAAACTTATGGAATTATGCTCTTAAGAAGTTAGCGATCTCAATGATGTTTACGCATCAGCGATTTCGCCCAATTTGAGCCCTATTTTCAGCAAATTCCAGTGTACTAGTCAACAAAAATCATAACTATTTCACTAGAACTCCATTTTTTCTATCGAAAGAGTACAAGAAACCACCCATTTACTGATTTCAACTATCCAGTAAAGTGGTCAGAAATTGGCAATTTTGCTAATTTCACACAAATTTCAAAAGATGCCAATTTCCAAATAGGGTCCAGAATAAACAGGACAGACATTCCTGGCACTAAAATAACATTTTCTCTGTTTATTAGTCACGTCCCCAGGCCCCTCTTACATCTCTCTTGCTTTCCACTTTGAATTTTCATTCTCACTAAAAATAGATTTACTGTTATGCTGACTACTGCATTAGTGTAGAATCTTTTTCTTTCAACACACTGGCCGTACCCCACCGAGGCGGGGTGGCCCAAAAGGAAAAACGAAAGTTTCTCCTTTTACATTTAGTAATATATACAGGAGAAGAGGTTACTATCCCCTTGCTCCTGTCATTTTATTCGCCTCCTACAACATGCATGGCTTACGGAGGAAGAATTCTGTTCCACTTCCCCATGGAGGTAAGAGGAAATAAACAAGAACTAGTAAGAAAATAGAAGAAAACCCAGAGGGGTGTGTATATATATATGTTTGTACATGTATGTGTAGCGTGACCTAAGTGTAAGTAGAAGTAGCAAGACGTACCTGAAACCTTGCATGTTTATGAGACAGAAAAATGGACATCAGCAATCCTACCATCATGTAAAACAATTACAGGCTTTCGTTTTACACTCACTTGGCAGGACTAGTAGTACCTTCCCGGGCGGTTGCTGTCTACCAACCTACTGCCTAGAATTAGTGTAGATATGGTATAAATAATATCAGTGCACTTGTAAAAGAATATTAGACTTACCAGTTGACATGTATTGGACGCGTGGCATGATTTGTTTACTTTTGAACTTTGGCATAAATCAAACATTTCTGCTACTTTGAGCTCAATTTCAAGGTACTTTTCATTGTGAAACCAATCAAAATCATCTCAGTTTCTGTAATATGTCTTCCATTCTATAAACTGAAACCAGGAAAACTAGAATACAACCTTAAATACCATACGAAAATACACTGCAAAGTCGCTGTTTTAAACCAAAAACACGGAGTTTTTTTTTTTCTCATTATGCACTGTGTGCTGCAGGATTTTTTTATACTGTGCACACTGACCACGTGGACCCATTCTTTCATATGCAGGCCTACCAGCTTTCTCTCGCTAGATTTGAAGGCGCTAGCATTTACACGTACTAGTACATCAATAACCCTGGTGCGTAAGCCGTACTAGTACGTTGGAAACCCTGAAAGGGTTAAAATGTGAAGTATTGTGTTTTTTGTGAGCTAAGAAGAGAACTGCTATAAAATATTGACATGCTTGTCACCCTGCCTTGCCTTTCCTTGCCTTGCCAGGAGACAGCTGCTGAGTTAAAATAAAATTGAGTCAGTTTGCACATTCAATATTGGTACATAATAAGATCATAAGAATTAAGGAGCACTGCTGCAGGCCTACTGGCCTATACTAGGCAGGTCCAAGTCACACCCATTTAAGAAGGAACACTGCTGCTGGCCAATTGGCCCAAGCTAAGTAGGTCTAACTTGCACCAATGCACACCTGCGTGTACCCATTCATAATGCTTTAATATAGTCTGGTATTTATAACTTAATATTTATAACTTCAAGAGTTGCATACTGGCTAAAATATGTAAAATTACCTTTGCTTTGTTGTTGAATTATTGTCATTTTTCTTTCAGGATGGCTTGCGCAAGGTTTTAGGATGTGGTGTTTTGCAGACGACTGCTGAAATTGCTAGTAGACATTCTCCTGATGCTCATCTTTGGCATTATAAATTGCAAGTTCTCTTGCATCTGGAGCTGCTCTGGGTGTTAGGTAAGTTAATGTTTCCAGGGGTCTCTGCTGTGTAATTTGGTAAATAATTGCCTATAAATTACCTATTTGAGTTTGTGGAGGGGTATATCTAGCGCTTGGTCCTGCCTTTTTACTTTTGACCCCTGCATGAATGAACCCTTGATTATTGATTTGGAACCCCTGTATTGAGTATCATTCTGAGGTACTGTATAATTTTGTTAATGCAGGTTCTGTGGCAATGGGTTGTGGCTTGCAACATTCATGTAATCGCCTATTAATGGTTATCTGTTTTTAGTGATAAGAGCAGAGCTGTGTTCATGGTGGTCATGATTCACTGTTTCTAATATGGTTACAAGTTTCTAGTAACTATGGCACTTGCTGCCTTTTGACTCATTATGTTATTCTAACTGAAGCAAAACTTTTTTTTTTTCACTATTTTTTTCACTTGTTAAATTTGTGACTTTGTTCTCCTTGATAATGGTCCTAATGGTGTAATGCAGGTGCTTCTCGACTTACAATGGGGTTACGTTCTGATGAACCAATTGTAAGTTGAAAATATCGTAAACGAATATGAATATACAATATGATATTTTTTTTTTTTAACAAGTTGGCGATCTTCCACCTAGGCAGGGTGACCCAAAAAGAAAGAAAGAGTCCCCAAAATGAAAATACTTTCATCATCATTCAACACTTTCACCTCACTCACACATAATAACTCACCGAATAAGTAAATAAATAATTACTGTAACTAAACACTATTGAAAAGTAAATAAATGTAAAGTACTTTACAGTATAGAATGTGCATCGTTATCACACCATTGTAAAGTTGAAATACTGTAAGTCAGACCATTGTAACAAAAAAAGGCACAATACCGTGACTGGAACGATACACAAATAACCCGCTTACGACGACGTTTCGGTCCAAATTGGACCATTTACAAAGTCACACTTTGTAAATGGTCCAAGTCGGACCGAAACGTCGTCGTAAGCTTCTCTCTTTTATGTGCGGGTTATTTGTGTATCAGACCATTGTAAAACGAGGAGCATCTATACTGTTCATGATGAGCTCTACTTGGATGTCAACCAACAAACTTGTGCTCAGTATTGACAACACCTTGTACATAATGTTTGGAAACAAAGATAAAAAAAAAATCAGTTGAACATTAAGTTAGAGAATACATGTACAGTTGTACATCTTAACAGTACATCTTAGGTGTACATCTTAACAGTACCCTGTAAAATTCATCACTCACATTCAGTGCATATGTAAATAAATAAATTTCCAAAACAGTGACCATACTTTCAAAATCTGCTACTGTGTATCTCAGCCGTCACTGTTTGCTCTGTACTACTCTCTAATCTCTCCTCACTTGTATAGTATATGTGCATTAGGAGCTACAACAGAAAATCACTTAAATCGTTCATTACTCAACAAAAATCTGTCACTACCTGTTGGCTTAGCCATTGTTTATCGTATTAAGTGAAGCTTATGTACTACATGTAGAGTTACTTAATGCACTGTGTATTTGATGTTTGTCTTGTTTTCAACAGGCTACTCATCAAGTCAAGTAAATGATGAAGAAAATGAAAGCAGTCATATAAGAGAGCATCACATAGAAGAGGTCATGAAGATGTTACGGGCAATTTCACTTCGCCATAACCCAACTACCATGGCCGCCTTCCTTCAGGAGACAATCCTTGAAAAGTATGTTTTGGCAAAATATTAGGTATAGTGTCTCTTTCTCTTACCAGTTGGACTAAAGTCTCTCCACTTGTTGCATTAAATAGGCTTAGTGTTTTCCTCTGTGCTTTTAAGGAGTGGTGGAAGATGTTGAAGTTTGAAAGTGTCATTTCAGTTGTGATGTCCACCCTTCTGCTAAGATAGCTATTGGATAAGTAATGGTGAGCGTTTTTCCTTCTATGGATCGCCCTTCTCTGATGGGAAATGGCCAATGTGGTAAACAAGAAAAGTCAGTTTTGACATTAGGCTACTTGAAAAATTTTGCCAGTTAGTTCATTTACTTTGTTATGTTATGGTATAGTGACAGAGGTACCAGTCTGTATATTTTATTTTTTTAATACGTCGGCCGTTTCCCACTGAAGTGAGGTGACCCAAAACAAAAGGAAAAAAAAGTTTCATCATTCAACACTTTCACTATCATTCATACATAATCACTGTGTTTGCAGAGGTGCTCAGATATGACAGTTTACATGTCACTCCAAACAGCCATTATCCCAAACCCCTCCTTTAAGTGTAGGTATTGTACTTCTCACCTTCAGGACTCGAGTCCGGCTAGCCGGTTTCCCTGAATGTCCTTCACAAAATTTTACCCTGCTCACACTTCAACAACTCGTCAGGTCCCAAACCCATTCGTCTCCATTCACTTCTAACACGCTCACGGATGACTGATGCATGTCCAGGCCCCTTGCACACAAAACCTCATTAAAAAAAAAGGAAGGTGGGGTTGGGGTCACCCTAGGGAAGGTTGGAGGGAAGGAGTAAAGGAGGTTTTGTATACGAGGGGCTTGGACATCAGCAGGCGTGTGTGAATATGTTAAATAGGAGTGAGTTGAGGCAAGTGGTTTTTGTGATGATGTGCTGTTGGAGTGTGAACAAGGTAACATTTTCTGAAGGAATTTAGGGTAACCAGTTAGCCAAACTTGAGTCTTGGAGGTGGGAAGTACAGAACCTTCACTCTGAAGGAGGGGTGGGGATATTTTGCAGTTTGGAGGGGCATCTAAACTAGTATCACTGCACCTCTGGCAAGAATGATGGTGAAAATGTTTCTTCTTTTTTGGGTTACACTGCCTCAGTGGGAGACAGCAGGCATGTTAAAAAAATAAAAGGTCTTAAAAATTTCATGTGATTGTAGTTACAACAGGAAGAAAAAGAATTCAAAATTCTGAGAATAGTATCAGAAATCACATTAGATGGTTTCTTTTCTAATACATTAGCAATAATAGAAAACTGGAATGAACTCCAAGAGAAGGTAGTGGATGGTAAAACTATTTGGAACTTTGAAAGTTTTTATTACAAATTGATGATAGAAGAGCTGAAGCCATGATCATAGTTTAACTGTAATAATATATTGGTAATTACACTTGTCAGTTACCTGTGAATGTTCATCACTTGTTTCTCATCTTGGTTACAGTTACTTTCACATTATATAATTATATCATCATAGCCAATAGCAGACATTCTTTATTCACCCAAGAATTTTTTTTTTTTTTAATATGTCGGCCGTCTCCCACCTAGGCAGGGTGACCCAAAAAGAAAGAAAATCCCCAAAAAGAAAATACTTTCATCATCATTCAACACTTTCACCACACTCACACATAATCACTGTTTTTGCACAGGTGCCCAGAATACAACAGTTTAGAAGCATATACATATAAAGATACACAACATATCCCTCCAAACTGCCAATATCCCAAACCCCTCCTTTAAAGTGCAGGCATTGTACTTTCCGTTTCCAGGACTCAAGTCCGGCTATGTAAAAATAACCGGTTTCCCTGAATCCCTTCACTAAATATTGCCCTGCTCACATTCCAACAGATAGTCAGGTCCCAAATACCATTCGTCTCCATTCACTCCTATCGAACACGCTCATGCACGCTTGCTGGAAGTCCAAGCCCCTCGCTCACAAAACCACCTTTACCCCCTCCCAGCCTTTTCGAGGGTGACCCCTACCCTGCTTTCCTTCCCGTACAGATTTAGACGCTCTCCATGTCATTCTATTTTGATCCATTCTCTCTAAATGACCAAACCACCTCAACAACCCCTCTTCAGCCCTCTGACTAATACTTATAATAATTCCAACCTTCTAATTTCCACACTCCGAATTTTCTGCATAATATTTACACCACACATTGCCCTTAGACAGGACATTTCCACTGCCTCCAAGAAATAATATACACCAGAATATTCTAGTCTGGAGATGCAAGCTGTGCTTGTAACAACCTTCCATTGAAGGAGATGTTCCTTGGTGTTTATAAGGAGCTTTTTATCCAAGCTACCCTTGCCATTATCCCAGTCACTTTATAATCTTATTGCATTTAGTGCTTTCCCTTGAATACAGTAATAATAATAATAATATTAGCAACTTTCTCACCACATTTTTGTTTAGTGTCAAGTTAGAGGCTAGAAACTTCTTGTTTAAATTTGAAACGAATCTGTAATTAGCTTCTGTCTACAAATTCTGAAAATATTAATAGTGTTCCTCTCTGTTTTTCAGCTACATGGAAACAATGGGAGAAGTCTTAGTTGAGATCTATGAAGAATTGAACCAACCCTTGCCAGAGCCTCTGCGTGTACTTACTGGGGATATTGGGTCTGTAGAAGACAGACCGTCTTCTGTCAAGTCACATGTATGAATTTCTTTGTGTGTATTAATGCTTTCTTAATGGGTTTAACTTGTCGCTTGCAAAGCTTTACTAATTAGATATCTCTTATTGTTTATTTTTTACTATGTTTCCAGCAGCCACTCTTATATCACTTAGTGTTCCTGTCATACATATATTCAAGTGTCACAATGTACTAAAACAATGATATTTGCTTTTTAATACTTCTTTTTCTAAACTATTACATTGGTGGCATGTGTACCAACAGTTCATATTTACTTCTTATTGCTAAGAGGGCCAAATGATCTTATGGGTGAAAGTGCTGTTTGAGTCTCACAGCTTCCTTCCTATCCCCAGGAGAGCTCCATTGCAAGCTATGAGAGTGCACCTGGTACAGCTGAGAATCCTGGCTCTGGCAGGTCAAGAGAAGGCCGCAAGGTGTCCTCTCGTCATCCATCCTTGAAAGAAGCCAGTAAACGCAGCATTGTAGTACCGAAAGTAACGAGAGCTTTGACAAGAACTCTGAGCGAACAAGCGAGGGCACCACCTGCCACAGCTCCTGCTACCTCTGCCCCAAACAAAGGTGTCTGTACTAAATTTTTTTTATAAATAAAAGTAACAATTAAATAAGGTGCCCTGATTTGAGTTAATGGCCTGAAGTTCGTGAGAATGGCATGAGATGGTGCATCAGGAAGAGGGATTCTCTGCCTGATGCACCATAGAAAACTGGTGTAACTTTGAGTTATGATGTGGCTGGCACAGGAACGGACTGTCATTCTCATGAATGTTGAGCTGTCGGTTCAAATCCCAGTACTCCACTGAAAAGGTATAAACATATTTTGATTTTATAGTTAAGTTTTCACCAAACCCTGCACCTAGGTGAGTATTATGATGTTTTGGTCCATCCTGGACCATTAACCTTGACCATGGTCCATCTTGGACCAATTCTCCTTGACCATGGTCCATAATGGACTGTGGTCGTAAAGGTGCAAGTTTTTAGTGATTTATTGTAGTCATGGTATTGTGACCTGATATTCTTCACAGTAAGCACTGGATATGATGAACTAAGAGAGAGGAGAGGGGAGACAGTAATGGCACTTGTGGTTGATACAGAATAGATTGTTTTACTGTGATATTAACAATAATACAGTTCTGTAACTAACATTCTTTGTCTGCTGTTTCTGAATTGATTGACCCAATGGTGGATAATGTTCTGTGCCTCCTAAGTTCATTATATCAAGGTGTTATTGTAATAATTGAATTTTCATTTTTTTACCAGAATGATGATAAAGCTTTCTTACAGCTTACTGAAAACATATAAAAAAGTTTGAAGATGAAATAAATACTGGACACAGGTAAAGAAGGGAAAGAAGCTTGTGTCCAGAGCAAGAAAGATGAAGGGGAATAGTGGTGCAATAACAAACAGGGAAGAGACAAAATAGCATAAAACTCTGTAATCCATAGAAATATATTCAAAGAAAGGCAAACAGGAAAACCCACCTCACAGTAAACAAAACTGTAACTGCCACAGAAAAAAGTTGAAAATAGATAGGTACTAAGTAAAGGGGATCTGCAAATATAGAAAAAAATATAAATATCTGTACACCAGAGAATGTTCCATTTATAAAAAAGACTGTGGGTATTTTCACCCTAAAATATGCAACCATCACTGTAGACCAGGAATTTATTTATTTTCAACACATTGGCCTTCTCCTGCGAAGGCAGGGAGGGTGACCCAAAAAGGAAGGAACAGTTTTCTTTTTGCATTTAGTAATTTACACAGGAGAAGGAGCTACGAGCCTCTTCCTCCCAGCATTTTAGTTGCCTCTTACGACATGCATAACTTACAGAGGAAGAATTCTTCTCCACTTCCCCATGGATAGTCCAAGAAATGTGACCCACAATTGTCCAAAATTTGACATGAAAGGGCACAGTTTTATCAAATTTATATATGAGGAAAATGAACGTATGGTAAATGAAAATTGTAAGTTTTTAGGCAGAGAATATGATCTAAAGGAAGTAAAAGGACAAAGTATGAAAAACGTGGAATACAAGGCAGTGGAATACAACAAACCAGTCACATAAAGGTTAAGCCTACAACAGTACACAGTACAGTCAGTACTGAAGAGAGCAGAGATATGTACACCAGGTACCATATTGCAGAGAACAGATACATACATCAGGTGCCATATTACAGAGAACAGTTATGTACACCAAGTGCCATATTACAAGATGGCTCACAACCAGAGGTTCTGCAAAAGCCCAATAATCCAACACATCACAAATGAAACGGTTAACTGCAGTATAAGTATAATGTGTTATAGCTTGAATTACAAAAAATTATTTCTTTTATTTGGTAAAATAACATATTTTCTATAAATTCTTATCCTATTTTCTTTCCGGATTTTATTTATAAAAATAAAGTTTACCCATTTTTATTTGCTCCTTTCATGGCTGTTTGACTCTTAATTTCAGAAAATGGTGATAATAGCATAAAAAATGTGAGGCGTAACCTCTTTGACCTGAATGAAGATAGTTCATCCAAACCCAAGCTTAAGCGGTCCCAAACTGTGGGAGGTGTACCAATGTCTGAGCTTAGACGAAGTCCTCGCAAGAAACACCAGCATACATTGAGTAACGTCATGCAGAAGAGCAAAAGTGTCATCACTTCATCTAAAAACTCATACAAAACTCCAGTTAAAGCCTCAGTGATATCTGAAAGAGGGCTTAAAACTCCTAAGTCAAAGAAAGGTAAGACAATATAACGAGAGTTGGAGGGTTAGTGGATAGAGGAGTGGGGAGAGAGCCCTCTGATTTACTATTCTTGTCTCGTCCATCTGGTAAAAGTTGACAGTCCGCTGCAGATAGCCTCACTGTACACTATATCAGTATATAACTGTTACTAGTAATTTAGGTACATTATAATAATCAAGAAACAGTAAATCCTAAACCTATAAGAGTCATATAGAGGTGCAGGGAGGGACATGAGGAGGTTAGGAGTCAGTGAGGGTACAGGTGCCATAGGTGAGGGGTGGGGGTGTCAGAGGTGAGGGTATGGGAGCCATAGGTGAGGGGTGGGGGTGTCAGAGGTGAGGGTATGGGAGCCATAGGTGAGAGGCAGGGGTGTCAGAGGTGAGGGTGTGGGAGCCATAGGTGAGAGGCAGGGGTGTCAGAGGTGAGGGTGTGGGAGCCATAGGTGAGGGTTACTGGAGGTCAGAGTTAGTGCAGGATGAAAATAGAAATCAAAGTTGGTGCAATAGGTTTTTTTTTTAAGAGAAAAAAGTTGAAAAGAGTGCATCAGAGATGGAAGTTTTCAGCTATAATGAATGTTGGGGCTAAAAACTGGGTGCTGCTGGTCCTGTAGATATATTAGTTTATTAATATATATAGTGGACTGATAGTGAGAGCTGGCAGTCCTCGTATAGCAGTACTGGTCGTTACATGTAGTACACGTACCATTTGACTTACGACCGAGCTTGGTTCCGACCAACCGGTTGTAAGTCAAAATGGACGTAAGTCGAACCTTAGAAAATTGCCAAAAGGGATACTTCAAAAATTTAATCTTAATCTTGTAAAGCAATCATTTTTTTTATGTTTGTTGTGAAAATCACTTCAATCCATTCATTATTATTGATTGATTTTCACAAAATAGGTGAATAACTTACTTCCGAGATAATAGCCGAAAGCGCTCGCATACCCAAGTACTCAGGATATATTTTTCCCTTGAAAAAAATCCCAAACTGTGATATACACTTGTAATGCACCATAAAACTGAAACAAAAAAGCTATTTTCTGTACATAGATTATCATACATAGCAGGATATGTGTAGAGAACCTAGGATACCCCAAAAAAGTCAGTGATTTATTACCAGTACCTGGCATGGGCTTGCCATATATGATTTTCGGTAAATATTTTTTTTTCTCAGTTGTTTGTTGGGCTGTCTTATTGGAACTTGGGCAATGTATCGTTTTTTTAGGTCTCACTTGATAGAATGGAAGATATATTATAGAAATAGATACGATTTTGATTGGTTTTACAATAAAAAGTACCTTGAAATTGAGCTCAGAGTAGTGGAAATGTTCGATTCTGTGGCAATGTTCAAGAGTAAACAAATGATGTCACTGTTTAATACATGTCCATGTGGCTGGTCTAATATGCAGTCACGAATGGGTTGACATTATTTATACAATTATTACAATAATGCTTTAGTCTGCATAATGGTAAATCTTCTATTTTTTTGTGTGAATAAAAATTCAAAATGGAAAGCAAGAGTAATGTAAGAAGGGCCTGGAAATGTGACTGATGAACAGAGAAAATGTTATTTTAGTGCCAGGAATGTTTGCATTATTTATTCTGGACCATATTTTGAAATTGACATCTTTAGAAATTTGTGTGAAATTGGCCAAATTGCCAGTTTCTGACCACTTTATTGGGTAGTTGAAACAGGTGAACGGGCAGATTCTTGTACTCAGTCAACAGAATAGAAGTAAGTAAATAAGTAGAAGGGACACTGAAACATGCCTTCTCAAATTCATCCATCCATATAAATTTGCCCAATCTATATTTTATGCTACCTAAGCCATAGCTTATGGAACCTTTCTTTCTCGTGTACCAGCTAACTTTTCCACCTCTACTTGTATAAAGTAAAAGGACACAAGTGCAACTAATTTTTATTGTGGCAACGTTTCGCTCTCCAGGAGCTCCTGGAGAGTGAAACGTTGCCACAATAAAAATGCCAAATTTGTTGTACTTGTGTCATTTTACTTTACATACTGTTGGTAATTCTACCAACATTATTACTACCTCTACTTGTGTGGGCAAAACGTTGTCAGTAAAGGATCACATTATACTGCTGGAAAGGATTGGAAGGGGCTACAGGTATTGTTGTGAAGATACACAGCATATTGTTCATAATTTAACTATTTAAAGGTAAAAATCTATATTTACTATAGGTAAATATTTTTTCTTCTTTGCAAACCAGCCATATCCCACTGAGACAGGGTGACCTAAAAAGAAAAACAAGTTTCTTTTTTAAATTTAGTAATGTATATAGGAAGAGGGTTACTAGTGCCTTGCTCACGGCATTTTAATCACCTCGTACGACACGCATAGCTTACAGAGGAAGAATTCTGTTCCACTTCCCCATGGAGATAAGAAATAAAGAAGTAGAAGAACTATTAAGAAAAATATAAGAAAGCCCAGATGGGTATGTATGTGTACATGCATGTGTGTACATGCATGTGTAGCGTGTCCTAAGTGTAAGTAGAGGTAGCAAGATATACACCTACCATCCGACTTACGACCTGCTCGACTTACGACCACTCAACTTACGACCATGTTTTTTATGCCAAATTTCTGGGAAATAAACAACTATTTGTGTTGTACACAGTGTTTATCCTAATCTTTACAGTATAAAATACAGTACTAACAGCATAAAAAGTAAAGTAAAACATGAAATACCAAAATAAAACAATAAAATAAAGCCATTACAAAAATGTTTTGTTGATATTCAGTAGTAAAGTTCGACTTACGACCATTTCGACTTACGATCAGTTTCTCGGAACCGAACTCGGTCGTAAGTTGGATGGTAGGTGTACTTGTTATCCTGTGTGTTTGAGACAGAAAAAAAGACTTCAGCAATCCTACCATCATGTAAAACAATTACAGGTTTATAGTGATGTATATACATAGAATATACTGAAGGGGAAGGTCCCTGTTCAACACATTGTCATGCATACTGCTTGTTTACTAAGACATGTACCCTGCAAGGAAACAAAAGTCCGAACCCAGCTATGGCTCTGGGCCATAACTGGTCGAGACTCTCTGCCTCTGTTGGAGTTTGTAGGTTCATTCAAGAAACATACGACTGGGAAAAGTAAGTGCAAACAACTCTCTGGAATTGCTTTTTAAAATTCTTGATACTATATCTTGTTAAAATTTTCTTGTAGGTAATATTCTAATGTGGACTTACTAGTAAATTAGTTACCAGACCAAATCTAGGATATTATAATATTATTTTGCTTTGTTTGGCACAATTGTTAGATATGAAGATTCCTCATGGGAGGTTCCATGATGCTCATCATGGGCTCTTCATTCATGGAATTGGAATTATTTTATCTCTTCCTTGGATCAAACCCCTATTGCCTCTTTTTTTGAGGGTTGTTTGACCCTTAAGGGTTTAGCACTTTTCCATTTCTAATAATAATGTCTGACCCCTTATGGGTTTAGTGCTTCTCCTAAATATGATAGACACCAAGAAAAACAAATTCTCGTGAATGTTTTACATTTTCATATGGAAATTACTCCTCATTACATGCTGCTGCAGTAGTATCAGCAGTAAATACCTAATATGTTCCTAATATATTACCAAGCTTGTTTCTCTTGTTTAGGTGGTGTATTGGTGCCTGAAACTCCAGGTGATAAAGTTGGCCAGACTATATTCAACAAAAACAGAATACGCAAGAGCACTGGTACAAGACTTGTTGTTGAGAGCCCTGATGTCAAACGTATGTTTTATGTTCATTACTGGTTTTAGAAGTAACAATATCAGAATACCTCATATTTGAATCAGTTAATGAAAAGTGAGAAACCACTTTGCAGGAAACTGAGACATAAGCAAAAGGATGTGTATCAACCTCAGAGACCTCCTTCAGCAGACCTTCAAGCTGAAAGACACACTTCTTTTATTTAATGTTCTGTTTCTTTCATAACTGTTAAGCTGATTTCTTGATTCTGCATTTTATTTTTTTTTTTGTTCATTTATTATCGGAGTCTTACCCAATTTATTAAAAAGAGATTAGTGCATCTCTTCTCATTGTTATCAAAAGCTGTGTCTGGGACATCCTTACTTAGGTCTACTTATAATTTCCTGGTCTGGGCCTGGTATAAACTTGTGTGGCATTTAGCTGGTGTTTTCACCAGAGAATGCCACTATAAAGGTGTTTTACTGCAGTAAGTAGAGTGATATTGGAGGTTAGAGGATAATAAGAGAGATTCATCCTTATTGAAGCTGGTACACTGAGTTTTTTTTGATCTCAATGTTTTCACTGTTTTTTTGGTTTTTGTATTAATTTTCATTACTAATGTATCTTAATTTCTTAGTATCAGCATAAAATACAATACATTATTGTATAAACTTTACTCCATTTAAAAATAAATATCTAAAGAATGAAACTTAACTAAGTGAAAAATTAGTTACTATTATTTATTTTTATTATCACACTGGCCGATTCCCACCAAGGCAGGGTGGCCCGAAAAAGAAAAACTTTCACCATCATTCACTCCATCACTGTCTTGCCAGAAGGGTGCTTTACACTATAGTTTTTAAACTGCAACATTAACACCCCTCCTTCAGAGTGCAGGCACTGTACTTCCCATCTCCAGGACTCAAGTCCGGCCTGCCGGTTTCCCTGAACCCCTTCATAAATGTTACTTTGCTCACACTCCAACAGCACGTCAAGTATTAAAAACCATTTGTCTCCATTCACTCCTATCAAACACGCTCACGCATGCCTGTTGGAAGTCCAAGCCCCTCGCACACAAAACCTCCTTTACCCCCTCTCTCCAACCTTCCTAGGCCGACCCCTACCCCGCCTTCCTTCCACTACAGACTGATACACTCTTGAAGTCATTCCGTTTCGCTCCATTCTCTCTATATGTCCGAACCACCTCAACAACCCTTCCTCAGCCCTCTGGGCAACAGTTTTGGTAATCCCGCACCTCCTCCTAACTTCCAAACTACGAATTCTCTGCATTATATTCACACCACACATTGCCCTCAGACATGACATCTCCATTGCCTCCAGCCTTCTCCTCGCTGCAACATTCATCACCCATGCTTCACACCCATATAAGAGCGTTGGTAAAACTATACTCTCATACATTCCCCTCTTTGCCTCCAAGGACAAAGTCCTTTGTCTCCACAGACTCCTAAGTGCACCACTCACCCTTTTTTCCCCTCATCAATTCTATGATTCACCTCATCTTTCATAGACCCATCCGCTGACACGTCCACTCCCAAATATCTGAATACATTCACCTCCTCCATACTCTCTCCCTCCAATCTGGTATCCAATCTTTCATCACCTAATCTTTTTGTTATCCTCATAACCTTACTCTTTCCTGTATTCACCTTTAATTTTCTTCTTTTGCACACCCTACCAAATTCATCCACCAATCTCTGCAACTTCTCTTCAGAATCTCCCAAGAGCACAGTGTCATCAGCAAAGAGCAGCTGTGACAACTCCCACTTTGTGTGTGATTCTTTATCTTTTAACTCCACGCCTCTTGCCAAGACCCTCGCATTTACTTCTCTTACAACCCCATCTATAAATATATTAAACAACCACGGTGACATCACACATCCTTGTCTAAGGCCTACTTTTACTGGGAAATAATTTCCCTCTTTCCTACATACTCTAACTTGAGCCTCACTATCCTCATAAAAACTCTTCACTGCTTTCAGTAACCTACCTCCTACACCATACACCTGCAACATCTGCCACATTGCCCCCCTATCCACCCTGTCATATGCCTTTTCCAAATCCATAAATGCCACAAAGACCTCTTTAGCCTTATCTAAATACTGTTCACTTATATGTTTCACTGTAAACACCTGGTCCACACACCCCCTACCTTTCCTAAAGCCTCCTTGTTCATCTGCTATCCTATTCTCCGTCTTACTCTTAATTCTTTCAATAATAACTCTACCATACACTTTACCAGGTATACTCAACAGACTTCTTCTTTCTTTCAACACACCGGCCGTATCCCACCGAGGCTGGGTGGCCCAAAAGGAAAAACGAAAGTTTCTCCTTTTACATTTAGTAATATATACAGGAGAAGGGGTTACTAGCCCCTTGCTCCCGGCATTTTAGTCGCCTCTTACAACACGCATGGCTTATGGAGGAAGAATTCTGTTCCACTTCCCCATGGAGGTAAGAGGAAATAAACAAGAACAAGAACTAGAAAGAAAATAGAAGAAAACCCAAAGGAGTGTGTATATATATGCTTGTACATGTATGTGTAGTGTGACCTAAGTGTAAGTACAAGTAGCAAGACATACCTGAAATCTTGCATGTGTATGAGACAGAAAAAAAAAGACACCAGCAATCCTACCATCGTGTAAAACAATTACAGGCTTCAGTTTTACACTCACTTGGCAGGACGGTAGTACCTCCCTGGGCGGTTGCTGTCTACCAACTAACTACCTATACTCAACAGACTTATCCCCCTATAATTTTTGCACTCTCTTTTATCCCCTTTGCCTTTATACAAAGGAACTATGCATGCTCTCTGCCAATCCCTAGGTACCTTACCCTCTTCCATACATTTATTAAATAATTGTACCAACCACTCCAAAACTATATCCCCACCTGCTTTTAACATTTCTATCTTTATCCCATCAATCCTGGCTGCCTTACCCCCTTTCATTTTACCTACTGCCTCACGAACTTCCCCCACACTCACAACTGGCTCTTCCTCACTCCTACAAGATGTTATTCCTCCTTGCCCTATACACGAAATTACAGCTTCCCTATCTTCATCAACATTTAACAATTCCTCAAAATATTCCCTCCATCTTCCCAATACCTCTAACTCTGAACATCAAAATGGTATAAAATACCGACAGGTTGGTAGGTAAGACACAAAGGCAACAGTTAGGCAACTTTATTCCGAAACGTTTCGCCTACACAGTAGGCTTCTTCAGTCAAATACAGAAAGTAGGCAGGAACAGTAGAGAAGACGATGTAATCAGTCCATCACCCTTCAAGTCGTAGAATTTGAGGTTGTCAGTCCCTCAGCCTGGAGAGTTCAGTTCCATAGTCAGGAACTATCTATGGAACTGAACTCTCCAGGCTGAGGGACTGACAACCTCAAATTCTACGACTTGAAGGGTGATGGACTGATTACATCGTCTTCTCTACTGTTCCTGCCTACTTTCTGTATTCGACTGAAGAAGCCTACTGTGTAGGCGAAACGTTTCGGAATAAAGTTGCCTAACTGTTGCCTTTGTGTCTTACCTACAAACCTCTAACTCTCCATTTAATAACTCTCCTCTCCTATTTTTAACTGACAAATCCATTTGTTCTCTAGGCTTTCTTAATTTGTTAATCTCACTCCAAAACTTTTTCTTATTTTCAACAAAATTTGTTGATAACATCTCACCCACTCTCTCATTTGCTCTCTTTTTACATTGCTTCACCACTCTCTTAACCTCTCTCTTTTTCTCCATATACTCTTTCCTCCTTGCATCACTTCTACTTTGTTACTACTGTACTTGAATTAATTATTTATACTTATGACATTTTGAATGTGATTTTAATATTAAAATACAATATATGCAGGTACAGTGGTACCTCGGATTTCGGCCATAATTCGTTCCAGAAGGCTGTTCGAGTGCCGTTACCAAATGAATTTGTTCCCATAAGGAATACTGTAAATTAGATTAGTCTGTTTCAGACCCCCAAAAATACACTCACAAAAGCACTTACAAAAATGCACTTACATAATTGTTCGAGTTGGGACCTGTTCGAAATTTGAGGTACCACTGTATGTTGTTTATCATTTGTGCTGTTTTAGGAATAAAATGGGTTTGATCCTAGTTAATCTGAATATGGGGTTTATTTATGATTATGTATTATTATTAATTACTGTTAATATTTTATTGTTTTGTAAGTATAATATTTCAAGGTTTGCAAATTTAAAAATATATTAACTCCACAGGACTCTGCAAAACAACACCTCGTCGGCTACGAGCCAGCTTGACCATCACCCAGAGGAACACCTTCTACTCTGGTGCTCGCTCTCGTAATTGGGAGCGTGCTAAGACCCGGCTCCTCGCAGATCGCATCAGGGGACACTCAGACCGACGTAGTTTAGATTTGAGTACCACTCAGAGTGTGGCTGACGCTAGTTTCATCTTTTCTCAGATATTGCCGTCCACTCAGTGCAATCCATCCCAGCAAATCTCTACTCAGATTGGGGAAAGTAAGAACACTGGTTCAGCCCCAGAGAGAATATTAGATTATGGTCTTGATGAAAGTAAAAGCATTGAAGTGAAGAAAGCACATGACAATGTCTCTCTCTCAAAGGAACCTTATTCAGATGTAACAGCCAGAGGTTATGCATCAATGTCTGCCGAATTAGATGTTAGAAGTCCAATCAAAAGGGTTCGGAAAGTCTTGGCACTCAGCACACCATCAAAAGTAAAAGTAGCACTTGAGCAATCTCCAGGATCTGTGTCGGCATGCAGCTCACAGAGAGATGATCACATGCACTCTTTCACAGGATTTTCACCCCATGAGAAAGAAAAATTAGGTTCAGAAAATAAGGCCTTTAATTGTTCAAGTGTGAGTACTTCTAAAGATGTCTGTGAGATTATGCCGGATTCAGATTTGTGTTTATCAGCACTAACTCCAAATAAGAGAGTCAAATTCAGTTCGACTCTTACCCCAAGTAAACAGGTTTGTCTTGCCACTAATCCTTGGACTCCTAGGAATAAAGATGGATCACTCTCCAATAATCCCCAAACACCTAAAAGCATTTTAAAAACTCCAGGGAAAACACCAGTTAAAACTCCCTTAAAGAGGCTTTGTCTGGTGAAAACCCCATGTAAATCACTCTTAAGCATTCCTTCCCCATTGAAATCACCAGTCACAACACCCATAAATAAAAGTCTTAACTTATGTTCAGTAGTTAAAAATGGAATAAACAGCCCTTCTAAAACACCCATCAAAGATGTGGAACTAGGGTCTGAGGTAGTTCTCGAGACTCCTAATAAGGGTCGACATTCTGTACACTCTTCCTTCAATTGTAATAAAATTTCTTGTACAGAAAGTGAATTTGAGCTTCCATCTCCATCTAAGAGAATTCTGAGCCCTTCAAATGCTTCTGTAGAATTACTTAACACAATTTTGAATGCATATCCCATCAGTGAAATATCAGAGAGCATCCCTCAGAAGATGGACACTGCTTCTATTACACCTGGAGAAAATTCTGTCAATTTTTCTGGTATAAATCTTTCACTTGTCCCAAACCTTGCTCCAGAAGATGTTGAAATGTTGAATTCACTTATGTTTGGGTTAAATTTTCATCCAGACTCTGGTACCAGTACATTAGAATTAAGTGAAGACACAGACATGCCATATTTGAGCCTCGCCAGTAGCTTGCACTCGATTTGCTGTAGTCCGCAGAAGAAACTTGGACACACTCCCACAAAAAGGACTAGCGACTTAAGTGAGGGTTTTTGCAGCTCATTGTCAGAAGAAGAAGAGAATCTCAAATGCACCCGGACATCACTTTGGAGGATCATACAACCCCTACAAAGGATAACTGGCATCCTTTACACGTAAAAGAATGTTCGGTTAGTCCTGAAATTCCTATAGACTCAAAAATTAAATTTTACATCGAAAGGATGAGCAGAGTATTAAGCAAGAAAAGTAATGTAGAAAATACAACAGTATACAACAAGTTCCAGTTGCCAAATGGTGGTAATGGTAGTGATGGTGATAGTGGTGGTAATTGTGCTAGAGATGGTGATGGTGATAGTGATGGTAGTGGTGATGGGACAACTGTAGATCATTCATCTGTGAACACAATCAGTCCTATGAGAGACTGCCAGTCAGTAAATGAAGAGATAAAAAGTACATTAACCAGTGAGAAAAAGGAATTAGTTATCTATAAAGCAGAGACAGTTGTACCAGAAAATAAAATTAACATACCAACAAGTACTGCAGAAGAAGTTAAGCAAGTGAAAGAACTAGAAAGTAGTGCTTCAGACAAAATAGGTAAGAATTACACAGGACAGGTAGATCAAGATACACACACAAACAAAGCCCAGGAAAAAATATATGGAAAAGATAATGAAACTAAATTGCAACACAGAGCTGATGAAATGGTGTGTGTCTGGGTGGCAGAGGAATCATCACCTTTAAAAGACGCTAAAAATATGTTACATGTACAAGAAGAAGCAACAATATCTGTAGAAGATTTAAAACATTTTCCCGTCAAAGTAACTGATGCAAAAACTGCCACACTAGAGAGCAAACAGAAATTGAAAAAATCTTCTCGGGATAAAATCTCAAATGAAATTAAAAGTTCATGTGACCGAGATGCAGATATCAGTGTGCCTGGAGGGTGTTACAGGGGTCAATGCCCCCACGGCCTGGTCCATGACCAGGCTGCAAGGAAAGCATTGAGAGTGGGAGAGAAAGTACATGTTGAGCAGGAGGATCTTGTTGCCTTCTCTGCTACATTGAATATAGAGTCTAATGCTACTGTGCAGTGTAATGAATCAAAATCCATTAAAGGAAAATGTCTTGATAGTAGCGAGTCTGATGATAATGTCTGGGAAAATGTTAGAAACAGAAGAACGACCACTAACCAATATAGTTTAAAAAAAAGAAGGCATTCGGAAAGGAGAAGAAGTGAGAGGATAAAGGCAGAAAGCCGTCTTAATGCACACAGAACCCAGAGAAGTTGTAGAAAGTTAATCAAGTCAATGTGTGAACTTAGTAGTGATGATGACTTTGAGGAGGATGTCTACTTTGAGGAGGATGTTTACTTTGAGAGACGTTGGTTAACACCAAAAAGTAAAAAAAAGAGAATTTTTGATGATGACTCAGATTTCATAACTCCTGAAAAATTACCCAGAAATGAAAGTCCAGAAAGCTTGCCTTTGAAAAATGTTGAAAATTTACCAAGGCTGACATCAAGTGAATTAGGAATGGTTTCAGAGGAGGGTGAGAATAGGACAAGAAAAACTGGAGATAGTAGAAAGCAACACAGATTTTCAACAGAAAGCGGCACCTCTTCGGACGAAAGGCATAAACAGCAAAAAATTGATGTGTACCTTTCTCCTGTTCACAAACAACTACCTCTGTCTGAGACAACACCAACCAGACCTCAAGGAGAGTATGTAGTTCAGAAGCGACCAGAAACTCCAAATGATTGGAAAATAATCAAACCTAGACGGGGCAAGAGAAAAATTTCTGAGGTGAAGGGAGCTGTGGATGGAAACTCAGACATCAATCTCATAAAAAAATCAAGGAATGAAAGTGAAAAAGAGACTACGATTAATGCAAATGGGAAAAAATGTGTTAATAATAAGAAGAAAAAACGAAAGGGAGTTAAGTTAAAGATTACAAAAAGTGGGGAACATTATCAGGTCACAGAAACTAATGCTTCAGTTGGTAGTTCTGATAATTCCAATGCTGATATAAAGTTACAGCTGAGTCAGAATGAAAGTATGTTTTCCAATTGTAATTACAGTTTTGTTTCCTCTTCCAGTAGCACATCTGCAACTCCTGCTGCAAAGAAGAACAACACACAACCCAAGTCTTACATAACTCCTCATAGATTCACTCGCCACATGTCCAAAAACATCAGTGTATCACCGGAACACTTTCAAAAACTGATCACTTTATCCCCAGAAAAAGAAACTGATTCATTGCAAATTATTCAGTGCCCAAGCAAAGAAATTATTAGTATAAATAAAATGCTGACTGATTCTTTTACTGCTCACACCAGCTCTGAAAATTGTCCACATTTGGAAGAGGAAGAGCATCACAGTAAGCAATCAGTCAACAGAGATGTAGAGGAATGGTCAGTAAAGAGCAACACCGGCTCGCCTACTTTAAAGACGTTTATCCGTAAGCAGAAGCGGAAACACTCCATAATAATGAGCCCGCGTGTTGAACTGTCACCCATGAATAAGGGAAATTCAGGCTCGACAAATGAGAAAAAGTGCTTAGTAAAAGACTCTATAACTAGTGTTATGCCAACAAACTCGTCCCCAGTCCACTCCAGTATCAAAAGAAAGACACAACTTTCAAATCCAAGTCTTCTCAGTTTAGTGCACCTTTCAGTCTCGCCAATCCTCAACAATAAATTACCGGAAGACACAAATATGAGTGACATCGTCATAAAATCCAATATAAAACTAAAATCCAGTAGAAGATTATATAGAAGCTGGGACAGTAGTAGTGATTGAGAGTATTGTACAGAGATTCAGTAGTGTATAAGCTATAAAATGTAGGAGTTTATAGTGGTATGTACAGTAGTGTATTATAATATCTAGGGGTTTGTGTAATGTGTTAAAAAATCTAGGGGTGTATGGTGGTATGTAGATAACTTGCTATTTGTTTCCAATAATGCAAGTGTGGGGGATAGAGCAAGAATATGATGATCAAGTGCAGAATTTTCTTTTGTTATTTTAAGTTTCCTAAAATGTACATAAACAGTTCCTTTAGAAATGTTACTTATTTGTAAATCTTTGTACATTTTTATTTTCTTGTAGAATAGCAAGTAAATTTGGGTTTTTAGCATCGTTATTTTACGAGGTTTCATATACAGTACAATATAATATTTTACATTGTTTTAGATATTAGTTGTGCAATTTTCATCTGTGTTCCTGTAATTGTGAAATACCATATATAAACATGTCTCAGTTAATGAGAATGTGTGAATATGAAGTCATTTAATTTGCTTTAATTTGTCACTGTGTTAATTTGTATGTTTTCAAATTGGAATAATAACTTTTTATCCATAATGCATAGTGTAAAAAACTTTTATCTTATATCCTTCACTTTTATAATTTTTTGTTTTTTTTCAACCCAACCGTATCCCACCGAGGCAGGGTGACCTTAAAAAAAAAATGAAAGTCTCTCTTTTTAAATTTAGTAATGCGAATTGCTCCTGGCATTTTAGTCGCCTCTTACAACACACATGACTTAGAGGAAGAATTCTGTTCCACTTCCCCATGGAGAACTTTTATAATTATGTATTAGTATTTTTCAGATATAGTGGTTAAGACGGAGGTGGTGCACCATCTCCCTCATACTCTTACATCTTGCTGTAATACTGTACGTATATGTTTTACTCTACCAAATGGTAAACTATAAAACGTAAGGGAAATTACAGACAGACGCCTAACTGTTTTCAAGAGGGGCCTTGATAAGGTCCTTGAATCCATTCTAGATCAACTTGCCTGTAGTGTTTATATTGGTCTGTTCTGCTAGCTTCAGTGTCCTGAATGATCAGATCATAAACTAGCATTGTTGTACTGGATATACAGACTCCTTAAAACATGCACATTTTACAGTGAGATACTAGTGTTGAGGGCAAACATAAGGACGGAAGGGCAAGACATTAAGGGAGGGTGGGAGGTAAGACATTGAACTCATATACCTTTGCCAACTCATTATTCAGGTTAATGCATTTTAAGGTCAATGTCTTAGGGAATCCACAGGTGGACTGATTCCGTTGTTTATAGTTTTACCCAACCTGTGACTGTTGTCTGACACAAGCATGCTATAGTCGTGCTTCATGGAGCTTAGAACATTTCTGGGTAGAGAATCTTTTAAAATTATATTGTCAAGGTTAGACATATGGACACAGTTGAGGGCAAAAAGTATAGCAAGTTACTTTTGCATCCCCCATCTCTAGGGAGGATCTTTTGTCATCACTGTATCACCAGCTGCACCAGAGCAACGACCTCTGACTTAAAGCATCTTTATGAGAGTTTAGTCTTTTTTTTTTTTTTTTTTTTTTTTTTTTTTTTTTTTTTTTTTTTGTAAATGTAATAATTTTAAGCATCATGCTTGGCTTCAAGATAAAACCTAGTAATCCAGTTAATTTCTTAATGGGAAATGGGATAATAGAGATTTGTAAAGGAATAATTTCCCATGGTGCAGAGGAGTGCCACTAATAACTTACTATGTATCTACTTCAATTGTATTGTTTGTGATATTGGAGGAGGGCTCCAAATTCCTTGATCCAAGGAATTTAAGCTTGTCTCCCCTTGGACCAAAGTTTATTACCTCTCATTCCTTGGGAACTATATGACCTCAACAAGTTTAAGCATGTCCCTATTATATAATTCTTTCAGTGATAAGATCTCTCATGCTTTGAATACAGTTCTTTTTTTTTTTTGTATGTTAAATATTTTGAGGCAGAGTTTTAGGTGCTGGTGATGGCACTGAGAGTGAGTTAAGTGACTTGGAGGTGTAATGTGCAATGTAATTCAGGAGAGCAGCAGTGGCTGGGGCAGCTGTACAGAGGATCAACACAGGAGCATATGACCCTGTGTAGTCCACAATAGCACCAGCTATGGGAGGTCCTAACAAGGCTCCAACTCCAGTCACAAATAGTAGGTAACCAAGAACACGGCCCACCTCTACCCCAGAGCTTAGCTGTGAAGGCATAAGAGCGTACAGAACACTCTGTAATCCACATGCAACACCCATTCCCACCATGGCTGTCACCAGCTGTCCGGGAGTGTTAGAAATTGATGCACAACCGATTGTTACAGCTAATAGGATTTGTATACCACTGAATAGTAAAAGTGGTGGCAATCCCCGTCCCACAATGGCTCCTGCCAGCACCCGGCCCAGGAGGTCGCCAGCACCACTGCCAGCTAGGGCTGCAGAGAAAGCAGCTGCCAACCTGGCCCACACTGTCCAATCCAGGAAGACTGAATACATCGTGGTGGTGGCCATGAAGCTTAGGAAACAGGAGGCTTCCAGCAACCAGAAAGTTGGTGAACTCAGCAACTGTTGTATCTTTACTCTTTGAGCGTTAGTGCCTTGCTGGTGCTTGCTTGAGTCATTGTTTCTGATGTGGCGTTTGAAGCTTAATGCACCATCACGTAGTAGCCGGTAAAGGTAAGAGTGTGTGTTGTGATGGGCTAGTGACCACGTGCTGCCTTCCATTGCTATTAAAGGCAAAGGAAGATTCTGTGCTAAAATTTTGGTATTAGGGGCACCAGTTTCGCTGCTGTTCAAACTTTCTTTGGCAATGCAAATTTCACTGTCACAACCAGTCACAGACTTTCCCAAGTCTTCCACATCAAGCATTAATTCTTGGTGTCTTGGCAATGTTTCTTTGATAATGGTGGCTGTCTCAGTCTACTGTAAATAGTAGCCCCAAAGACAGAGAAGTTGAATGACATTCCAGCACAGATGAGCATAGCACCTCGCCATCCATACTTGGAGACGATAGTCTCCATGAGAGGCCCAAGCACGAAGACGCCAAAACCCGAGCCAGACATTGCCACACCAACAACAAGGGCATGACGACGCTTCCAGAACCTGGCGAGACCTACGATCCAGCCAGAGAAGTTGAGGCTTGTCCCCACAGCTGTAACAACAACGTAGTATTACATCATTTGTCATGGTAATGCCATAGCTTGCAATGTTATATTCTGAATATCTGTTTTACAAACATTCCATATTGTACGTTACACAATGATCAAGTTAATTGTCATTATCAGTTATTCAGGTTACTTCTGTATTGACAATGTGGTCATAAACAGTGATCAATGAACAGGTTAATCCTGCAGGGAGAACATAAACATTTCTCTGTATTTTATTTTTCATTCATGTGGAATTTACCTCTGCTGAAAAGTTTTTTACATGTTTATCTATAAGATTTATAAAGATTGACCTGTAACTGGCCTTTTTTAATACTAATAATTACAGTTGTACCTACACATTCATGTGCTTCTGTATTCACGAATACAGATTATTACCCATCATTTTTCTTCATGTACAACCAGCGTATAGTGTCAGTGTGTCCAACATTTTTCTACCTCGGTGGCTTTCTCATACTAAAAATTTTTCTTTATTCTGGTTATTATTTCTAATGAATGTCAATACTAACAGGATCAGAGTGATATGTTACAGATATGTATAGGATTGGTAAAGCACAAAATCTGAAAAAAAAAAAAAAAAAAAGTGTTTTGATGACTTAATTTTATATTTGCAGTTTTGAATTATGCTGGACCTCTAGGAATGTAATCCCTCCCTTCCTCCCTGTACATTTTAATATTCTGTTCTTTTAGCTAAAAGTTTGCTGAAAGAATAATTAAACAGTTTTTCTTTATTAATAGAAGTTCTTTTTAACAAATACATGTTAATTATGTACAGTATATTTTTGTATTACAAGTACTACACAGTACAGAATAGTGTATCTTAGTATAAATACAGACACTCCTCACTTAATGACCTACCTGTTAAATGACTGCAAAGACTTATGACCAGCTCTGCTATCAGTCAGTATTGTACGCTGTATGAGAACTTTGGCCATGGGAGAGGTGACTAATGAAGATTTAATGGAGTTGGAAGCACAGCAGCACTTGGCAGAGGAAAGAATGGAAGAAGTACCAAAGAAGTTCACTGTAAAAGGGTTAGCTAGTGTGTTCTCAAAAGTGACTGCAGAACGGAACTTGGTCGCTAAGTGAGGAGTGCCTGTACTGTGCATCCAATCTCTATATCAGTCAATTTGGATTGTGCTTAAGTGATCATTATCTCTACAAGCACAATCCATGGATTTTGGTGGGGCAGGGGATTCCCTTGACTATGTTTAGACGATTAATGTTTCTTGATCCTGATCAGTTTCTTGTCAACATTTTAGCACTGCATAAGGCCAACTGTTTTTTTTTTTTTTTTTTTTTTTGAGCAAAATGAATCTGTTGCTTGGCTCTGCAATATATGAAAAAAATTCTTGAAATGCAGTAAGCTGTGAGTAAAGTAGGTCTGCAATAAACTTACCATTGACAAAGCCATAAGTGAAGAAGATAACATTGAGATTGGGAGCAAAAGCACTCATGATGTATCCAAGGCCAGCAAAGAGCCCTCCCAGCATGACGGCAATGCGGGGACCCCAGCGCCCAATAAGCCACCCGCCCAGGGGCCCGCAAAACATGTGCACAGCTGAGTTGGTAGAGTACACCCAGCCAGTCTTGGCCCTGGTCTCCTCGAAGTTTCGCAGCAGCTCAACAAAAAACACACTGAAGGAGTAATACATACCTAGCAGAATGGGAGAGAGGAATGTTGTCAGTCACCATTCTACCTCTGACTCATAACCATTAAACATCTGACCTCCAATTCTGATATAAATCTGGTAAGTTTTTAAAGTACATACAGTGGACCCCCGCTTAACGATCACCTCCCAATGCGACCAATTATGTAAGTGTATTTATGTAAAGTAAAAGGACACAAGTGCAACTAATGTGACATTTTACTGTGGCAACGTTTTGCTCTCCAGGAGCTTTATCAAGCCATTACAAACAATACATGGACACAGAGGGTATATAAAGGCTCTGAGTGAGGTGCAATACTAGTGAGGTACCATTTCGATGTTCACTAGTGGTAGTAGTAGTAGTAACAAAAATAATACAGTATGGTAGAGCAATTAATTCGTACATGAGTAAAAGGATATAAAAGCTATTACATGTACTTGGGTAAAATAAAAATAGGTTGGACAAATATAGACTGGAAAGCGGCAGGTTGTTTCAGTGTTCACTCTGTAATGTGCTTTGTGTAGTATAACAAGAGAGACTATGTGATGGCAGGGTTTATTGTTTTCAGGAGGATTCTTGCTAAGACTTCGGAGATGGTGAAGCTGCCGTTGTTTTGTTTAATTGTATTCGAAACAGCGATCAGTGCTGATTCAAGGCACTTGCGTCTGCAGAAATTAGTTTCTTTGATCACTAATTGGGCGTCTCTGAATTTCATGAGATGATTGGTGGAATTTCGGTGTTGTACACAGGCGTTGTTCAAGTTGTCATTCCTACATGCGTAAATGTGTTCATTGAGGCGGGTGTCGAGGTTTCTTGCTGTTTCACCTACGTAGATCTTGTGTCAGCCTCCACAGGGTATAGTGTAAACTCCTGCATTGACTGGTTCGTGGTGCTTGGGTTTTGTCCTGGTTAGATCCTTTATTGAAGTGCTAGAAGCGATGGCGACTCTGGTGTTAGCTTGTGAAAGTACTTTTGAGACGTTTAGTGCAACCTGGCTGTTGGGAAGAATTATAACTTTGTTGGGAGCAGTGTTGATGCGTGGAGAATTAAAGATCTGAAGAGCTCTTTTCTTGCAGTCTTTGATGAAAAAAGGAGGAAATTGTAACTCAGTGAATGTTTGGTGAATGTATGTACATTCCTCGTCAAGAAACTCAGGACTACAAATTCGGTATGCTCTTAGGAAAACCCCAATGATGATGCCTCTTTTGGTCTTTGTATCTTGACTGGAATAGAAGTGTGTGAGATCATTTTTATTGGTGGGTTTCTGATAAACTTGAAATCTTAGGTTGTTGTCTACTTTGTGAATGAGGACGTCGAGGAAAGGTAGCTTGTCATTGGACTCTTCTTCTAGTGTAAACTGGATCGCCGGTTCAACTGCGTTGAGCCTTGCCTGAAGATTCCGTACATCAAAACGTTTGGGAGTTATTACGAGGACGTCGTCCACGTAACGTAACCAAGTGACGCTTGAAGGGATGATGTTGGCGAAGTGTTCGGACTCTAGGTGTTCCATGTATAAGTTGGCTAGGACGGCACTGATGGGGGACCCCATTCCCATGCCGTAGGTTTGTTTATAGAGCTTGTTATTGAAAGATTTTGTCACAAAATCTCCGGGAGGTAGAGGAAGATTAAGGTCCTGATTGACTTTACGTCGTAGAACCTCGATGGCTTTTTGGTAGGTACTTCTGTGAAGAGGGAAGTCACATCCAAACTGCTTAGTTTCTTGTTACGGATGGAGAGGTTTCGGATGCAGTTGAGAAGGTCGCCTGAGTGTTTAAGATGAGCGGGGCTGATGGTCCCCAGAAGGCAGGAAAGATGTTTGGCAAGAACTCCGGCTAGTTTGTGTGGAGCACTGCCTATTCCTGACGTGATTGGTCTGAGAGGAATATTGTGTTTATGGGTCTTGGGTAAACCATACATGTGTGCTGGTTTAGGGTTGCTTGGTAATAAGTACAGAAGTTTCTTCCCTTCTCTAGTGCATTTGAGTATTTGTCTGGTTTTGTATAGAAAATCTTTTGTGAGCGTCTCCCACTGTTGAGTGCTGATGGGTTCGTATGTAGATTGATCATTCAAAAGGTCCATCATTTTAGTGTTGTGGTCACCTTTTGAATGATCAATCTAATAACTCCCAAACGTTTTGATGTACGGAATCTTCAGGCAAGGCTCAACGCAGTTGAACCGGCGATCCAGTTTACACTAGAAGAAGAGTCCAATGACAAGCTACCTTTCCTCGACGTCCTCATTCACAAAGTAGACAACAACCTAAGATTTCAAGTTTATCGGAAACCCACCAATAAAAATGATCTCACACACTTCTATTCCAGTCAAGATACAAAGACCAAAAGAGGCATCATCATTGGGTTTTTCCTAAGAGCATACCGAATTTGTAGTCCTGAGTTTCTTGACGAGGAATGTACATACATTCACCAAACATTAACTGAGTTACAATTTCCTCCTTTTTTCATCAAAGACTGCAAGAAAAGAGCTCTTCAGATCATTAATTCTCCACGCATCAACACCACTCCCAACAAAGTTATAATTCTTCCCAACAGCCAGGTTGCACTAAACGTCTCAAAAGTACTTTCACAAGCTAACGCCAGAGTCGCCATCGCTTCTAGCACTTCAATAAAGGATCTAACCAGGACAAAACCCAAGCACCACGAACCAGTCAATGCAGGAGTTTACACTATACCCTGTGGAGGCTGTGACAAGACCTACGTAGGTGAAACAGCAAGAAACCTCGACACCCGCCTCAATGAACACATTTACGCATGTAGGAACGACAACTTGAACAACGCCTGTGTACAACACCGAAATTCCACCAATCATCTCATGAAATTCAGAGACGCCCAATTAGTGATCAAAGAAACTAATTTCCGCAGACGCAAGTGCCTTGAATCAGCACTGATTGCTGTTTCGAATACAATTTAACAAAACAACGGCAGCTTCACCATCTCCGAAGTCTTAGCAAGAATCCTCCTGAAAACAGTAAACCCTGCCATCACATAGTCTCTCCTGTTATACTACACAAAGCACATTACAGAGAGTGAACACTGAAGCAACCTGCCGCTTTCCAGTCTATATTTGTCCAACCTATTTTTATTTTACCCAAGTAATAGCTTTTATATCCTTTTACTCATGTACGAATTAATTGCTCTACCATATTGTATTATTTTTGTTACTACTACTACCACTAGTGAACATCGAAATGGTACCTCACTAGTATTGCACCTCACTCTGAGCCTTTATATACCCTCTGTGTCCATGTATTGTTTGTAATGGCTTGATAAAGCTCCTGGAGAGCGAAACGTTGCCACAGTAAAATGTCACATTAGTTGCACTTGTGTCCTTTTACTTTACATATTGTCGGTAATTATACCAACTTTATTACAAGTGTATTTATGTAAGTGCGTTTGTACGTGTATGTTTGGGGGTCTGAAATGGACTAATCTACTTCACAATATTCCTTATGGGAACAAATTCGGTCAGTACTGGCACCTGAACATACTTCTGGAATGAAAAAATATTGTTGACCGGGGGTCCACTGTATTTTTACTAGTGAGGAAAGGGTGCCTTGATACTGTTGAGGGGCTCTTGATCCAAGAAATTGAAGCTATTAACTCCATGGATCAAATGTAGTTACCTACCTGCCATTCTCTTCAAGTATATCATTTCCCTGTTAAAGCAGTAAGAAAGTAACTAACCTGAGGAGACGCAGAACTGCAGGAAGGCAGCAACTGCTACCACCCAGGCCCACCCACCATCTACGTCAGGGCTGCACACACACACACCCTCGTTATAGCTGCAGCTGTAACCACGTCTCCGACACGATTTCTCCGACGGGTCTTCCTCCTCCTCTGTTGCAAGTTTCACAACACTTCAAGTTTCTTAATGGTTAAGTCTCCTAACATTACACCCTTCATGGGAGTACTTTGTTGCTAGTAAAGGGCTATTGATTCAAGAAGCTGGAGTGATCCCTTTTTGAATTAAATTTAATTATCTCATTCCCCTGGTGCTGTACGATTCCTACAGATACAGCCTCTCCTCACTTAGCGATGTACTCATTTACCAATGACCTGGATTTAAAACAGGCTCTCTGACCAGTATGCATATCTAAATAATATAGTATATTAGAGCTGATTTCCTCTATTCTGTTTATTACAATATACAGTACACTACTGTATAAACATTTAAAAATATACCAGAAATGTTATAAATGGTGCAAAGGTGATATTGAAACAATATCAAAGATGGCTGACACAAACCCACTACCGTTATAGTATGCTCCTCACTTAGCAACGAATTCATTTACCGACGTGGTCTTAGAAACAGAACTCGTTAAGTGAGGAGAGGCTGTATAATAATCCTAATGTTACAGTCTTAATATAACATTAATTGGAACTACCAGGAGAATATCATGGAAGCAATGTACATGAGAAAAACAGATAAGAGAAAACTTTTGCATTTTACATTGTGAGAAATTGTCATAAATTTTATACAACTTCCATCTGCAAGATATGATTTCCCACATTAGGTAACACAGTTCACACACCAGTTATGGTAGCTCCCAATGGTGCCTCACCATGCTATGGTGGAAGGTTTGAAAAGTGTGAGTGTCTCACTCACATCACACCGCCCATACTTCTACCTTAATACCACACAGATTTTCCCTTACATCAGAATTTGCCATGATTTTTAGCCTTGACTTGGAAATAATTTTTGATATGGTTTGGATTATGACTAGTGAACTTGTTTTGATTGTTCAGTATTGTGATTATATTTGTAGTATGACGGTAAGTCAGCCACAATAACAACGAAATGATATTGACTAGTAAATTTTATCTGTAAATTGGTAATCTTGGCAGAAAATTACTAACAGTATCAGCTTTTTATGTTAACACTGAATAATGAAATGATTCAGGTGTTTTGTAAATTATACAACTCAACACATTAGTTAGCTCACCAAATATATTTGAGTGATCTTGCTGACAGCATATACCTGCTGCCATTAATGTTTATTACCAGCCTACTCTAATTGGAATTATTTTGCCCATCAGGAATTGTGCATTAATTAAACTGTATGCCTATTGTTCTCACAGTTCAGATACTGTATTATAAAATATAAAAATTAGAATTAAAGATCTTTCCTCCCATGCTATTTTTACTTTTGAGTAATTTCTTGTTTGATTTTTACTTGAGTAAGAATGCAAATAATTCATTTCTTGCATTCACAAATGATTATAATGCAAGAAATAAAGAAGTATAAGAGTAGGGTAATATTTAGTGAAGGGATTCAGGGAAACTGGTTATTTTATAACTGGACTTGAGTCCTCGAAATGGGAAGTACAATGCCTGCACTCTAAAGGAGGGGTTTGGGATATTGGCAGTTTGGAGGGATATATTGTGTATTTTTTATACATATACAGTGGACCCCCGGTTAACGATTTTAATCCGTGCAAGAGGGCTCATCGTTATGCGAAATAATCGTTATGCGAATGAATTTTCCCCATAAGAAATAATGGAAATCAAATTAATCCGTGCAAGACGCCCAAAAGTATGAAAAAAATTTTTTTTTACCACATGAAATGTTAATTTTAATACACACAAACTGAAAAAGGCATGCACAATTAAATGACACTTACTTTTATTGAAGATCTGGTGATGATTGATGGATGGGAGGAGGGGAGAGCATTATCTTCTTACTGTTTAGAAGGGGAATCCCTTCCATTACGACTTGAGGTAGCAAGTCCTTTTCCGGGGTTACTTCCCTTCTTCTTTTAATGCCACTAGGACCAGCTTGAGAGTCACTGGACCTCTGTCGCACAACAAATCTGTCCATAGAGCTCTGTACCTCCCGTTCCTTTACGATTTGTCTAAAATGGCCACAACATTGTCATTGAAATAGTCACCAGCACGGCTTGCAACAGCTGTGTCAGGGTGATTTTCATCTATAAAGGTTTGCAGTTCAACCCACTGTGCACACATTTCCTTAATCTTTGAAGTAGGCACAATGGATTCCACAACTGGCATAGGCTTCTCAGGGTTAGCCCCAAACCCTTCAAAATCTTTCTTAATTTCCATACTAATTCTCACCCTTTTTACCACAGGGTTGGCACTAGAAGCTTTCTTGGGCCCATGGTCACTTATTTTCCAGAAACAGCACCGAAAACACTGTAATAATACGAAATATTCCGAGTGTATGCTTGGATGTTACCGCGGAGGCTGGCTGGTAAACAATGGGACGGCCGGCACATGTGAGGCTGGCTGAGGGCACATTGGACGCGTCTCGGACGAAAATCGGTAAGCGGGTTTTTAATCGGTATGCGCGGCAAAAATTTTGCGATAAAAGTAATCGGTATGCGGAAAAATCGCTATGTGATGCCATCGTTATGCGGGGGTCCACTGTAGAGTGGATGGCGAGAATATTTTGAGGAACTTTTAAATGTTGAGGAAGAAAGGGAGGCCGTAATTTCATGCACTGGACAGGGAGGTATACCATCTTTTAGGAGTGAAGAAGAGCAGAATGTAAGTGTGGTGGAGGTATGTGAGGCATTACGTAGAATGAAAGGGGGTAAAGCAGCTGGTACTGACGGGATCATGACAGAAATGTTAAAAGCAGGGGGGGATATAGTGTTGGAGTGGTTGGTACTTTTGTTTAATAAATGTATGAAAGAGGGGAAGGTACCTAGGGATTGGTGGAGAGCATGTATAGTCCCTTTATATAAAGGGAAAGGGGACAAAAGAGATTGTAAAAATTATAGAGGAACAAGCTTACTGAGTATACCAGGAAAAGTATACGGTAGGGTTATAATTGAAAGAATTAGAGGTAAGACAGAATGTAGGATTGCGGATGAGCAGGGAGGCTTCAGAGTGGGTAGGGGATGTGTAGATCAGGTGTTTACATTGAAGCATATATGTGAACAGTATTTAGATAAAGGTAGGGAAGTTTTTATTGCATTTATGGATTTAGAAAAGGCATATGATAGAGTGGATAGAGGAGCAATGTGGCAGATGTTTGCAAGTATATGGAATAGGTGGTAAGTTACTAAATGCTGTTAAGAGTTTTTTATGAGGATAGTGAGGCTCAGGTTAGGGTGTGTAGAAGAGAGGGAGAATACTTCCCGTTAAAAGTAGGTCTTAGACAGGGATGTGTAATGTCACCATGGTTGTTTAATATATTTATAGATGGGGTTGTAAAAGAAGTAAATGCTAGGGTGTTCAGGAGAGGGGTGGGATTAAATTATGGGGAATCAAATTCAAATGGGAATTGACACAGTTACTTTTTGCTGATGATACTGTGCTTATGGGAGATTCTAAAGAAAAATTGCAAAGGTTAGTGGATGAGTTTGGGAATGTGTGTAAAGGTAGAAAGTTGAAAGTGAACATAGAAAAGAGTAAGGTGATGAGGGTATCAAATGATTTAGATAAAGAAAAATTGGATATCAAATTGGGGAGGAGGAGTATGGAAGAAGTGAATGTTTTCAGATACGTGGGAGTTGACGTGTCGGCGGATGGATTTATGAAGGATGAGATTAATCATAGAATTGATGAGGGAAAAAAGGCGAGTGGTGCGTAGAGGTATATGTGGAGTCAAAAAACGTTATCTATGGAGGCAAAGAAGGGAATGTATGAAAGTATAGTAGTACCAACACTCTTATATGGATGTGAAGCTTGGGTGGTAAATGCAGCAGCGAGGAGACGGTTGGAGGCAGTGATGTCCTGTCTACGGGCAATGTGTGGTGTAAATATTATGCAGAAAATTCGGAGTGTGGAAATTAGGAAAAGGTGTGGAGTTAATAAAAGCATTAGTCAGAGGGCAGAAGAGGGGGGTGTTGAGGTGGTTTGGTCATTTAGAGAGAATGGATCAAAGTAGAATGACATGGAAAGCATATAAATCTATAGGGGAAGGAAGGAGGGGTAGGGGTCGTCCTCGAAAGGGTTGGAGAGAGGGGGTAAAGGAGGTTTTGTGGGCGAGGGGCTTGGACTTCCAGCAAGCGTGCATGAGCGTGTTGGATAGGAGTGAATGGAGACGAATGGTACTTGGGACCTGACGATCTGTTGGAGTGTGAGCAGGGTAATATTTAGTGAAGGGATTCAGGGAAACCAGTTATTTTCATATAGTCGGACTTGAGTCCTGGAAATGGGAAGTATAATGCCTGCGCTTTAAAGGAGGGGTTTAGGATATTGGCAGTTTGGAGGGATATGTTGTGTATCTTTATACGTACGTATATGCTTCTAAGCTGTTGTATTCTGAGCACCTCTGCAAAAACAGTGATAATGTGTGAGTGTGGTGAAAGTGTTGAATGATGATGAAAGTATTTTCTTTTTGGGGATTTTCTTTCTTTTTTGGGTCACCCTGCCTCGGTGGGAGACGGCCAACTTGTTGAAAAAAAAAAAAATACAGTGAACCCCAGGTTTACGATCAGCTCCCAATGCGACCAATTATGTAAGTGTATTTATGTAAGTGCGTTTGTATGTGTATGTTTGGGGGTCTGAAATGGTCTAATCTACAGTGGAACCTCAAAAATCGAACTGCTCCCAACACAACCAATTATATAAGTGTATTTTTGTAAGTGCTTTTATAAGTGTATTTTTGAGGGTCGGAAATGGACTAATCTAATTTACATTATTCCTGATGGGAATAAATTCATTCGGTAAAGGCACTCGAACAGCCTTCTGGACTGAAGAAAGTTCGATATTTGAGGTTCCACTGTAATTCACAATATTCCTTATGGGAACAAATTCGGTCAGTACTGGCACCTGAACATACTTCTGGAATGAAATAATATCGTAAACCGGGGGCCCACTGTATTTAGTGAAGGGATTCAGGGAAACCGGTTATTTTATAACCGGACTT